CCTTCAAAATTTTTTCCTCTTTTTTTTCATTATTTTTTTATGCCAACTCCAGTGATTTTCGTGACCTCAAAACTTATCCCAAATTTTTATGTATTTTAGGTTAAAAAGATAAAATTTAAATAAAAGATGACGCTCGATAGATAGTCCACCCGGCCCTTAACTGAAATTTAGCCGACTGTAGAACGAGCGGAAGGGGGAAGCCACATCTTGTGGAATTTCAAATGTAAAAAATTATTCAATATATTGAAGATATCCTACAAATGAAAATATATTTTCGTAATGAGCGCGTTGTCTAATGGGCAACGTGCTTGGCTGGCATCCGGACGGCTAGGGTTCGATCCCACCATCATTTTTTTTTTTTTTTCAAAATAATTCCAATTTTTTTTTTGTAAATGGCTAATCAATGAAAATATCGTTTAAAAACTGAATACCTCCTTGACGTTCATGTTCACCTGGTACTTTTTCAAAAATCTAGAATTTTTCAATTTCTATATTTATACTTTTTTACTCGAGACTTTACTTACGCGTTACCCACTGTTGGTATTTCAGGGATCCGTATTATCGACCGTTGGTATTTCTCTGAAACTTGAAAATTCTAAATTTTTGAAAAAATATCGGGGAAACATCAACGTCGAGGAGGTATTCACTGAAATTGAAAAATTCTAAATTTTCGAAAAAGTATCAGGGGAACATGAGAATCGAGGAGGTATTCAGTTTTTAAACGATATTTCAATTGATTAGTCATTTACAAAAAAAAATAGGAATTATTTGAAATGAATAGTGCTGGAATCGAACTCAAGCCGTTCACGTGCCAGTCTAGCACGTTGCCGATTAGACAACGCGCTCATTATAAGAATATAGTTTCATTAGGAGTATATGTTTTGAAAAAGTATCGTTTCCAAAAATTTTGAATTTTTCAATTTCACTGGATATCCTTTCGATTTTCAAGTATTCAGTTTTTAAACGATATTTTCATTGATTAGCCATTTACAAAAAAAAAATTAAAATTATTTTGAAAAAAAAATGAATGATCTCGGGTCGAACCCTTGCCGTTCGTGTGCCAGCCGAGCACATTGCCCGTTAGATAACGCGCTCATTATAAAAGTGTAATTTCATTAGTAGTATATCTTCAATATATTGAATAATTTTTTCCATTTGAAATTCCACAAGATGTGGCTTCCCCCTTCCGCTAGTTCTACAGTCGGCTAAGTTTCAGTTAAACAAATAAAAAACAAAAAACATTCATACCGCAGAAAAAAAAATTCACCCCGTCGACTTGATGGACACCCCCAGCATTGTTTCGCCCTCCCTCTCTTGGGGTGCACTACTACCCTGCCGCTGGGGTTACTCAAACCCCCAGAACTGAGCCCCTACTTCAGTCAATCCTCTTTCGTCTCAAGGGCAAGAGAAATTTGTAAATCCAAGTGAAGATCTTGTTTCCATTTGAGCGATACGTAATTCCCGCCATTTACAAGCATTTGAGAATATTTTTTTTAATAAAAATAATTGAAACTCTTCCGAAGAAATGAATTATTGATTGATAAACGCTAGAAATTGTTTTCTAGAAGCATATGAAATTAAATAATAAAAATGATAATAGTTTCTTGAATAATAAAAAGTGCGGGAAATACGAAATGCGGTGTGTACGAATTTACCCGGAAATAAGAGTTTCCACGGAAACAACCGAAACGACTTTTTTATTCTAACCTGTAATTTATGTACAAACGAAATATCATTCAGTAGATGTAACAGTCACTATTGATTTCTAGTTATTGTTTCAATATATGTAATATATTAAATTATATTAACAATCATAAGTGCGCTGATATGCAGAAAAATCCGAATATTTCATGTGTTATTAATGCACAACCTCTGTGTCCTGAAATTGATATCGTCGTTAAAGTTTACCAGTACGGCAAAAAAACAATACAAATTATTTTTACAAATTCTGTACCCCAAATATGTATATTCATCCTTTTTATATATTTCTATATTAAGACATCGATCAATACCAAATCAATTCGTTTCAGATGATAAAAGTTCAAATGGCGATTTTATGTTCAAGTTTTAAAATGCAACTTTTATCCACCGATTATTTCTTGAATTTTTTAGGAATAAGATATTTATTGTTGCAACAAGCTACAAAAAATTCGGAGCACTAGTGTTAGTACGCCAAGGAGAACGTTTGAAAGAATTTGATACAGCAACTTACAACGCAACGTAAGAACAATTCGTAAATATTTTTTTATGTGATTCCTCAGAAAAACCAACTGAAGTGAAAAAAAAAAATGTAAATTAGAGTCACTGCGTTTTGAGATCTTGAGATGAACAATGAATCGGAGATTTTACTAAATTCAACACAAATTAATTTTTTTGCAGTGCACTTTTTGGAGCAGGATCAGACAAACAAGAAGAGAGTATCCTAGCAGCTGCTAAATACATAGCCCAATCCATTGACATTGATCGAAATCTTCTATTATCAATTGCCCTGTCAACCTACGACAAAAAAGTTCTGGACTCAGTGATAGCTGCAATAAAAAAATTCAAAACCTGGTGATCCCCTTGAAAAATGTCGCTGATCTTCGGACAATTGGTGATTGGCCCTCCTGGAAGTGGAAAGACAACTTATTGCAATGCAATGGGTAATTTTCTTCGAAAAATCGGGAGAAAAGTCGCCATCATTAACGTAGGTTCGTAAACCAATTGTAATTTCGTTTAACCATAACCAAAACGATTTAATTATAATACAAGTAAAAGGAAACAGAAAAAGATGTATTTATCACTCATGATGACTGAAATTTAACATGATGACTGAAAGTTAAATGAAAGTATTCGATTGAATAAATGCCGAATGAGAATTAAAAACGATTAATACTTTTTATTTCTGTTCATGTTAGATCCAGCGAATGAGAATATGGAGTATACAGCAGCTGTTGACATATCCGAACTCATAAAACACAACGAAGTAATGGACACATACCAGCTGGGCCCTAATGGAGCCCTGGTATACTGCATGGAATTTCTCGATAAAAATGTTGACTGGTTGATAAAAAAAGTTCTCACACTGAAGGATCATTACCTCATCTTCGACTGCCCGGGGCAAATAGAACTTTACACCCATCACAAATCAGTGGCTGCTATTGCTGAGAGGCTGGGCCAAAATTTAGTGAGACTTTGCAGTGTTCAACTCGTTGACTCTCATCACTGCAGCGACCCTGGTAAATAATTTCCTGATTCTCCACTAATTATGCAAAAATAGAAAATTTCCTTTATCTTTGCAGTATTTAAACGTACATTGGATTACAAAATAATAATTTATTTCACTTCAACAATTATAATTGCTCTCCTACTGCGAAATAAATAATCTCGTTGAGGGTTGAGGGTTTAAGAGATAAAATTGTTCATTGATCATGATTTAAAGAAAACAGACGTTCAGATACAGGCTGTGGCGTGTCAGATACTTGTAATATTCCTTCTCTAAAAAATATGGCATTTCATTGATTCAATTCGATTTTAGGAAAATATCTGTCATCTCTCGTGCTTTGTACTACTACAATGCTACAACTTGGTTTACCTCATGTTAATATTATGACAAAGCTGGATCAAATGAAAAAATTTCGTGATCGTTTGGCATTCAACATAGATTTTTATACTGAAGTGTTGGACTTGAATTTTTTACTCGATAAACTTGATGAGGATCCCATGACTGCCAAGTAAGTTTCTCCATTTTTTCGTTATCAATTGTGAATTTAGGAAATTTTTTTAGATTTTCGAGATTTAACATGTTATGAATGAAAATACATTCGAGTTTATAAAATTATCTTTAATATTTTTTTGTCAAGACAAATTGAAAAATGATTGAGGTCTCATTGTACTTTACTGATGATAAAAAGCCATTACTAATTACTATTTCTTTGCAGATACAAGAAACTGAATGCAGCATTGGTATCTCTGATCGAGGACTACAGTCTCGTGAGTTTTTTGCCACTTGATATTTCCAATCAGAGGCTTCTTCTCCAAGTAAAAAATGCAGTTGACAAAGCGAATGGCTACATTTTTGGTGGCAACGAGCCACAGGACGTGCAAACTCTACTAGCTTGTGCTGTCGGTGCTGTTAACGAAAGTGAACGAATGTCTACTCTAGATGCGTACTTCCAGTAATAAAATATTACACTCTTTCTGTATTCGTGTTCATAAATTATTTTGTTAATGTGTCATTCAACTGAGTTGCGATACAAAAACTTGCGCCAGGTCTTCATAATCGTACACACGTTTTAGAAAAGTGTCAACAAGTTTAAGCCCAGATATTGTAATTAAACCAGTTTGTAATGGAATGAGGCACAGAGGAATATCAGTGGAAGCTCCTGGTTTCAAAGATCCAATAGTTATGTCTGATATTCCGCACCAGGCGATTGAGCTATTAGACTCCAAATTGAGTAATAAATCCATACTCCTCTCCGATGTATTTATCACGTGGCACTTGAACTCCGTTATACTCTCGAGGAATACTTCTATCGGTATATCTCTTGCGGTAACTCTGAGATCTCCGTAATCAGGAGCCATTCTCTGAAGTTGACTAGTTTGCAGTCTTCCCCTTTCTCCCATATTACTCCTCCACACAATATCCAATTTCCCAATCTGCGTGGCATTGTGCATTATCTTAGGGTCCTTCAAAAGACTGGGTTGGGGTTTCAAGCAGTACAAATATTGTCTACTGCAATTTGGATCTAATACGTTAACACGCCCATATATGGACTCCCCCCGATCATTGCTGTTCAAAGTAGTTACTGCGAATAAAGATGAAGAAGATTCCAGTGCAACTTTCTCTAGGCAAATCGGTCCAACTGTGAGATTCTCTATTTGTGCTTCTACGTAAACCTCGTCGGACTCTGCATTGTAGAGTTTAGTTTTAACATCGAGGGGCTTCAATACTTGAAATTTGAAGAATTTCCTGAATGATTGGGGAATACTGCCAGCACCTGACGGCGTATAACTCACTTCGCACACTAGGATGTGAGTTCCAATTTCTTTCACCTCATGATGAATGACTTCGTCAATAGTACTGTCCGCTATCAATTCCCCAATATTTATATTTTTATTCGACAGGCGAATTGACTGAGTGCTCGTCTGCAGATCAGCCTTCACACTGATATTCTTCACCAGCTGATTACTCCCATTATGTACACAGAGGTAGCTCGAAAAAATTTCACCTAGATAAATATTTCTGTGTGGAATAATGAGATGCATTAATTCACGAAATTATCCAGAGATTTTGGAATCATCGCTGGGGATTTAATTAATTACTGATATCGAGCTATTGTCTCACCCAAAACTCTGAGGTAAAACCATGAATTGTCCAACTGCCAGGACCTCCATCCCCTGGAGAGCTGTGCAATCCTCTTTTAAGGCATTGTTCAAAGTATTACCAGGTAAATCAGCTGAGTCGCACGTCACAATAGCTGGAGTGGCGATCGTGGGTCTCGTCAGCCTCATCACTTGAAAGTAATTTAAAAAATGATTAAAAATTCATAATTTCAACTGAACAGACCCATTCTTACCCTTCAAAGACAACAGATGTTCACTCTTCAACTTTGGCTCCATTTTTGCAAAATAATATCTCACGTTGAATATCGACAAGTGACAGACTGGTTAGGAACCTGAATCGGTGGCATTTGTGCTACATTCCGGGCCTCTTCTCCACCTTTCCACGATTTCTCATTTTTTTTATCAAAATAAATGGTGAAAAACAGCCTGAGCCTCAGTACTTCGAATTTATTGAAGAAAAATTCACATTTTTACAGCAATCGCAGGTTTTACAATCACACGTACTTCGATTCCACTGGTGTCGACTTCGGAGAAGCTCGGGAAGTTACGCTGATGTTCGGACAAACCGGAGGTTTTCAAATGAGAAGAAAACCCGTGAATTTGTTTACATTTCAAAATCCTGGAGAAATATATATTAAAATCTCCCATTACTTGTCTTATTTCAATTGAATTCCAATTTCAGTGCAATTATAGTAACAACCAATCAAAACTTAATAATGTAGCGGTAATTTCAAACAGCAGCTACGGCAATTATTGCGGGGAATGTAATATCCGATGGTGAAGTATGAAAAAAAATTCGTCTGATTTATTATCTTTTATTGTTATTATTGTTAAAGTTTTATCTAACGTCCTCACCTCTGATAAGACCCATAACTCACATCTGTACGCAAAATGCATATTCAAGAGCAGGAAGCAATATGCCATTGGCATTCATTGACTCTTTCAAGCCACATTTGAAGGCGAACTCTGTTTCTTCAATCATGCGGATATTTTTATGCCTCATATTCCTTGCTACTCACTCTCTCCCTAAAGAACTGGATTATTGTTTCGCAAATGAAGAGGAACCGTATTTGTATTTTGGATCGAAAACGCCATACCGAATAGCGAGACCTCGAGAGACTAGTCACGGCTCAATACCAAGTAAATTTATATTTTATTTAAAAGTTTCTAATTATTTGTTTACGTCTCCCTGATTATTTCTCATTGAATTAAAATTTTTGAGGGACTTGGGCGATTTTTACTAATTAGATTAATTAGATTATTTTGGGTTGTTCATTTTAGGTGAGGAATTGATTAATTAATCATCTTCCGAAGTATGTGGGGTGTGCAATTCTTTGAGTAAATTAGTTATGCGGAATGTTTGTCGGGAAAATTACGTGTTTTGTGTGAAAAATTATCAATATTTATGGGATGATTACGGGTTTGCATTGATAAAAGTCATTCATTCAGGATTTTCCTCAACCATTACTTCAAAGGTTTTCATTGATAAGAACACCCCAATCAATCAAATCAAACTGAATTCATTACGTCCAAAATAGAACACCAATTCTGCAAAATGATTTCACAACTTCAAAATTCCAAAATGACGAAAGTAATTTCATTTATTCCCATTACACCACGATCCCCAAAAATTGTTTTTTACTCTCTTCCCTGGGGCATTCCTGACCCGATGAAATCAGGTGCAGCAAGTAGATATTCAAGGTCAACAATGAAAATAAATTGTAATTTTCTTAATGTACAGATTGTAAACCCGTTCAGATATGGATGTTGGCAAGACATGGAACTCGTTATCCCCAGAAAGGAGCTGTCCAGAGAATGGAGGAGTTACCAGAGATACGGGATCGAATAATCCGCAGTCATGAAGAATATGGAAGTGAGTACATAGACGTAAATTAATTTTTGAATAAATGTAAAATAAATGCTAAATTGTGAATAATTAAAATTTTTGATGGTTGAAAGCAAAAAAAAAATCGTATCTTCAAATCGAAGAGATTAGGATTGATTTTGAATTATTAGGACCAACTGAAAGGGGCAGTTTTTCACAGGAAATTATTTCAGGGGGACGATTGTGTCATGAGGACTTGAAGAAACTGAAGGAATGGTCTCCACACGATCAGATGACACTGGAATATGCGAGCAAACTTGCACCTGAAGGATGGAGAGAAGGCAATGAGCTAGGGAAACGCTTGAGGAATGCGTATCCAGATCTAATATCAGCAGCAAAAAATGTGAATTCAAAAAATTATACGGTAAATACGACTTGTCCTGAATTTCTTGAAAAAAAAATGCCCATTAAAATATCCTTGCCTAAAAATAGGAGCAGAACTTTCTTGTCATTAAACAGTTCCTCATTAAAAAATGATCAATATTCTAAAGAATGTCTCAGTAAATTGAAGTAAAATGTAAATTGGCATCTGTTATGCGAGTTCTCCCAAAGTTTTGGCACTCTAGTTTCGATCGATAAGAGGAGCACGCAGTGAATCCAGCATGATAGCACTGATGGAGGGATTGTTCGAGGATAAAGATGCTGTGGAGCCAGTCCCGACTCCAAGATCTGATGCTTTGTTAAGGGTGAATAAATTCAATTGAATCATCCTAAATAATTCTACATAATTTATCACCAAAATTGCCCCAGAGGAATTCTCTTGAAAATTCTATTGAATTAAATAAAGTAAAATAATAATAGAATAGAATAGAATAGAATACTTTATTTCCTTGATGTTACTTTTCTAGTTTTACATCTACACAGGCCACCTTCTCTCATCCAATAAGTTTCATTTTCTTACGTCTAATTTAGTTAACAGAGATAAAATAAGTAGCAAAGATCAATAATAAAACATGTCATATATATGTCTTCTATTCAGATTTTAGCTTTCGAATTCCAGCTCCTATGTTGTCTCATCACAGGCTGTGCCTTGCTTTCGTTTTCATCCTTTTCTGTCCTGATCCTCCCAGGTATTATTCACCATATTATTCGCCATTGTCCCTCAATACCTTCTCCATTCTATCCAACCTCAGACAGAGCCTTACGTCCATCTCCATTCTCAGGGCGTTTATCAGCTTCATTCTCCATCTTCTCGGGTCCAAGTCTCCTCTCCACCTTTTCCACCATTCTCTATCCTCTGTTGTCAGTCTTCTCATTACCAGCTCACAGCTAATGGCGTGTTCTAGTGATTCGCTCGTTTCTTTGCATGCCCGGGTAAAATAATAATAATTACCATGTTATTTATTTTATTTTATTGAATTTGATGCATATTTCACTGGATTTTGGAGTTTTAATGCATCGGATGTTCCAGGGAGATCAAAATTGTCGTCGATGGGCAGAAGAGAAAAAGGGAACGTATGAAGAACGCGATGGGTTCATCGATGGACGTGAATATCATCAGCTACAACAGAACGTCAGCAGAAGAATTGGCTTTGACGTATCACCAGGTGATTTCAATAAAATCGGAATAATCAACGGAGGATGGCATTTAATTTTTCTCTTTCAGAGACAATTCACAACATGCAAGATATCTGTCGATTCGAGACTGCCTGGAGTCGAGACGAATTATCGCCCTGGTGTGCAGTATTTAGTAAGGACGAGTGGAAAATCTTGGAATACATCGATGATCTTCAATATTATTACGCGTCAGGCTATGGACTCCAGATAAATTCACTGATCGGTTGCTTCCCACTGCAAGATCTCTTCAGCCATTTCAGGTGAGCTCAGTTGATGGATCAATTTTTTAAACCATTTTTTAGTTCTTTTGTGTCGTTTTTTCAATCTGGATTGTTGCAGAGACCTGGAGGATCCGCGGATGAAGACACCGAAGGGCGTTTTTTATTTGAGCACGTCCAGAATTTTGATGGATTTTCTGCATACCATTGATATTGCTAAAGACTCGGAACGTCTGCTGGCGAATAATTTTAGATACATGGCCAATAGGAAATGGAGAGTCTCTTTGATTTCTCCTTTCTTCTCCAATTTCGTCGCCGTTTTTCACAGGTGATTCACATTTATTTTGAAAACACTCTGGACGCTATAAAAATTAAAACTAAACTTGTCCACACATGTACACCCTTTCGGGCTTTTACATTTCCCACCCCCAGTTCCCCCTGTACCGCAATTACGCCGAAGGCCGAAGGGAAAACCTCATGGGAAAAAACCTTGGCCAGGTACAGTCGTCCCTTTCGAGACTACCGCTCGTACGATGAAAACCTGTGCAAGTTAGAGCGAATTTTATCTCTAAAAAACCCCTGGCATTTCCCCGACTGGGAATCGAACCCACGAATCTCATGTGCCAACCCCCTACGCTTTTTTTTTAGAGTTTCTTTGTTTTAATCCTTAGTATTACAGAAATTATAAGCTTTAAATTAACTCCTTGAAAAAAACATAGCTTTAGTGTATCATAGAGTGGTGACGAAGGTGGTCTGTTGAGGACATCTCGTTCATCATCAGTATAAGCCGGCTGCGGGCTAAAGGTGTGGGAGGTATCTTTGATTGGGTGAATAAGAATCGATGAGACGGTATTTCGCATAAGCGATGAACGTGGGGAAAAATTCGGCCCGTGTGGCACAAAAGAAAAACCACGAGACTTGAGTGGGAGTTAAGAGCTAGAGTAAACCTACTATGTACAACTATACACATGTGACGATTAAGGCTGCCGGGAGCAGCCATCCGTCTGCCATTCTTGGGCTAAGGCCTGGTGCAGTGGCGTTGGGGGACTGCAACGTTTCTGGGACCCCCTACGCTCTAACCGCATGACCACCGCACGTCGGTTATGGACGCTATAATTAAAATACAGTAATTAATAATATTAATAATAAATTGACTAACAAAATGTCTGTTTTTACATTTTTCGTGGATTTCAAGTCATTCATTTCTTACGATCATTTTAAATGATATTTTATTCGAATAATTGCAGATGCGAACATTCCGAGGTATCGAACAAAGTGACTTTTTATCTGAACGATGAACTCGTCATGTATGAAGGCTGCGAGGAGGGAATTTGTGATTGGGACTACTTGAAGAAAAAACTGGGAGGACGAGCCGTTCAATGCTCGGAAAATTGCCGGAAACGGGAAATTAACACCAAAAGAAATAACAAGACGTCATCTGAATACCGATTTTTCCTCCACATATTTTTATTGATAATTTTACAACTCCTTCTGGCAGCTGCGTTTCATCGGCGAATTATGGACTCTCTGCAGAGAATCACTCGATTCATCTCGTGGAAATTTGGGTTTAGGAAACTCATGCAAAATAATATCAAGTCCTAGTCCCCAAAATCTTGTATGCTTTCTTAAAAAATTTAATCTCAAACTGAAATTCATCAGATATTATTTTTTCATTCAATTTATTTTCAATTTATTAATGCAATATAAATAACATTTTAATCAGAAGTCTCGTAATTTTTTTCTAGTATTTATTTCCATTTGGATGATCTCTTTGTTGCCGGTGGAAACCGTCCATATATCATTAGGGCTATCTGTAATTATTGTAATTAACTCTATTGCCTTTTCCTGCGATAAGTCGAGAAAAAAAACAGGAAAAGGCAGGCCATAATTTAGTGAAGAAAATTTTGCATGCAATGAGAAGCGGATATGAATGAGACATGGGTTTCATGACAAATCGAATAATTGCGTACGTTTTCGTATCGATAAATTGGATAATGGCACGAGAAGTGGATTATTGTTTCATAAATGAGAGTGAACCGTATTTGAATTTTGGAGTTAAAACGCCTTATCGGTTTGCAAGCAGTGGGCAATTTCAGCGGGTGGTAATACCAAGTAAAATATTTTTCAAATCATCAAATTATCAATTTAAATTTTCAAATAGACGAATTTCAATAGAACTTATATTTCATTCCCACGATTAAAAAAAATTGGGATTTACGAATGATTGTGAAATATTTTATTTCATAAATTCTAGGATGTTTATTCAATATCATTTATCGATAACATTATTATTATTTATCATTTATCAATTGAGATTTACGAATGAATGAATGAATATGATTTCATATTATATAAATTTTAGAAAGATTATTTAATATTATTTGTCCATTTTATATTTTGAAATCCAAAAATTACGAACGATTTTATTATTATCAAGACTGTGAACCCGTTCAAGTCTGGATGCTAGGCCGACATGGGACGCGTTATCCTCAGGAAGGGGCTGTCCAAAGGCTTCAAGAACTTCACAAGATACGTTGGAAAATTTTGCATCACCACGAAAAAGGGAGTAAGTGAAAGATTAGCGAAAAGAAAAGTGTAGTAAAATGGAGGGATTAATTTTTATACAAAATATTCGTGGCAAGTGGGTCGATTGTGTAATGAAGATGTGGAGAACATCAGATTATGGCACCCCGACAAGCACTTGACAGAGGAACATGCAGCAAAAATCGCTGATGAAGGATTGCGAGAGGGTGAACAACTCGGAAAAAGACTCAAGGACGCATATCCAGAGCTTTTTCAACTTCCCGTTGAATACATCACCTCAAATAATTATACGGTATATTTTCAAAATTATTATTATCATTTCCACCACGAAATCCCATGAAATCGATTCAGTAAATTTGGTATAGAATTTTCCTAGAATGCAACTTCAGGTTTTTCATACGGAAATAATTAATTAAAATAGTTTATCCTTTTTAAATCCTCTCTGTTTTTCCAGACTGAAAAATAATCGCGTAATTAATTACTTGAATTTAATTAAATGTTGGGTTGCAGTTCAGGTCCATAAAGGCATCACGCAGTGTCCTGAGTCTGAAAGCTATGATGAAAGGTCTTTTTGGTGATGAATCAGCTGTCGAAGTCATGCAGAATCCGGGGAAAGATGTCCTGTTACGAGTAAGAATGAATTTTCTCAGAGTGCAATTGAAACTTTTTGCGTGCTGCATCTGCTCTTTTATTTACCCAGACTCTTCTGATTTTTTCGGTGGACAATGCAGCCTGACAGGAATTGTTATCGATGGTCACACGCTGACAGGAATGTCGAGGTCCAACGTGATAAATTTATTCAAGGTCCGGAGTATACAGAACTGCAGAGAAATGTCAGTCGACGACTTGGATTTCATGTGTCTCCCTGTGAGAATTAATTATCAAACTAATTATCAACACATTAATTATAATTTAATATTGCTTCTACAACTGAAATAATTCGAGTCATTGGTAATAATATTAATTAAACAAAATGATTTTACTATGCAGCAACAATTCACAACGTGCAGGACATGTGCCGATTCGAAACAGCTTGGAGTCCCAATAAATTATCATCCTGGTGTGCAGTATTCAGTAAAGAGGAATGGAAAATAATGGAGTACATCGATGATATCCAGTACTATTACTATTCAGGATATGGTACTGCATTGAATACTTTAATCGGTTGTTTTCCAGTGGAGGATCTCGTCAAGAATTTCCGGTAGAAGTTCTGTCTGAATTCCTCGAGGGGCTGAAAATTCTAACAATTAGTTTTTCCATTGCAGATCCACTGAGATTGCTGCACATCAAAAAGGCGTTAAAGCGGTCTTTTATATGAGTACTTCAAGGGTTTTAATGGATTTCCTTCACACCATAGGAATCTCAAAAGACACCGAACATTTGTTATGGAATAATTATGAACGAATGAAAAATCGCAAATGGAGAACTTCTCTGATTGCACCTTTTTTCGCTAATTTCATCGCTTCTTTCTACAGGTAAAAAATTAATTAAACACTTTAATAATTTTTGTAGCGAAAAAAATCATTTTCCCATTTCCTTGAAATAAAAAAAAATCCATTCCATAAATCGGAAAAAATCGACCTGAAAAACAAATTTTCTGATTGTGAATAATGAGTTAGAAATTGTTAATGTTTATATATTTTTGACGTCTACAGGTGCAGAGATTCTCCAAACAAAGTGACTTTCCATCTGAATGAAAAACTAGTAATGTATGAAGGCTGTGAAGAAGGTATTTGCGATTGGAATTACGTGAAGGGAAAATTAGAACGGGTAGCCTCGGATTGTGCAGAGAATTGTTTCTGGAGTAAGACAGCTGTTCCTGAAGATGCCGAAAGAATATTTCTGCTCATTATTGCGGTCTGTATTTTGATAATTGCCTGCCATCGTGGCATTGCACGCACTTTTTACAGATTAATCCAATTGAATTGGTAAAATTATAAACCCAAACAATAAACTAGATAATCCCCGTGGAATTTTGCTCAACGCAGATTTCACGTTTTTTTTTTTTTCATTTAAATGTTCAACCCCTTGTACGTCACAGCCCACGTGATATCGGCGCGCGCGCGCTTTTGGGGGTTCAAAAACTCTTCAAATACAGTTCACCACGCAGTGAACCCATTATCGAAATAATATTTACGAGAAACAACGCCTAAAGCCGCCCTCCACCTCACATTTCCACCCATAAAAAATAGAGAGATATCAGTGTAAAACAACTCGATAAATAAAAATAAAAATCCCTGAAGGATTTCCATTTCACACGAGGGTAAACTTCGAGGTTAAGGGTTTCACCAGTGAATAAATAATTCATCGGACCAGTTGTCTCCGTTATGACCTCGACAAATGAAAAACCGACTGTATCAATCCAAAGTCTAAATTTTCGCTGTTAATTTAGTTATATCTTCGCATATGAGTTGCGAACAAACATTGTGATAACACAATCTTGTTATCGCGATTACGTGGGTGAAAGGATCAGGAATGATTGCACTTTGAGGTACTAAATAATGGAATTATTACTGCTGTTGTTATTAATGTTGTGGAATTATTGGTGATGAGAATTTCTTTGACAGCCGCAGACATTCCGAGCCTTTGGATATCGTTTGGAGTGAATGATCGATGGATCAGTGGTGCAATTTTTTTCTGAATCATTCGGAAGGCCCTGAACGATTTGATGGCAGGTGTTTGACAGCAAGTAGTCGTCTTAGTACTCGTCAATAAGGGCTGCCAGTTACTGAGATCGTCTGGCTCTTCTGGTAATCAAGAATTATGGAGAAACCTGATGATTTCGTGAATCTACATTATCTCTCCATTTTTATGTTCTTGGCTCTTCCCATCACTGCTTTAATTTCGTGAGTGTCATCTGTTAGCGAAATTTATGAACGAAAAACGAAATGAAAATTAATGCCGTAAAAGATCACTTGGAAAAGTAATCGAGTGGATAATTGCATAATTGATAAATGAATCAATAGGAAAGGATAAGAATGATAAAGTCGCTAAAGAAAAATCGTATAATTAATTTTACGACTATTAATGCAATTTATGAAAGATGAATTCAACGAAAATTAATTCGCTACGTCTGATAATTAATTTTGTTTCAGGTACATAATAGCTGTTTCCCTTGGCCATGTGGAACCGGGATTCCCATATATTTCTGATGTAGGGGCCATCGCTCCGGAGAGTTGTATTTTCTCGCAACTCATGAACATGATGACAATCTTAAGTAATTATAATAATTCATTAACGAGCTGGTAAAGCCATTATTCAGGGATTTATTTGGAAGACGTTATTTAATTTAGAAAAGATCTTTATAACTTTTGCTTTGGTTTTCTTTTCTGAACAGCTGCATTTACATAAAAAATGAATGGCAATTTTTCCAGTGGCTGTCGTGGTGTACGTTCGATATGCCCAAGTGAAGGAAACAATCGCAATATCTCAAATGCCTAATTATTGGAATGTATTTAACAAATTCACTCTGGGAGTTGGATTAACAGCAACGGTGGGCGTCTCGTTGCTTGCTAATTTCCAAGTAACTTTAGTCTTCAGTGTTCATCTAGTTGGAGCTGTTTTCGCCTTCGTAGGATCTGGATTTTACCTGTGGTTGGAGGTACGTATTATCCATTTCATTATTAATCTCATTAATTAACTCGTTTGTAATAATCGTACAGAGAATTCGTATTTTTCCATCAATTTTTTGTGTTCTAAATAACTTTTTCTTCTTTCAGACAATTATATCTTACAAAATGCAACCATTCGGTCCATCGATTCCCATAATAATCCTGCGCTTGGCAGTATCCATAGGCTTCACCGTGTGCATATTCGGAGTATTCATCATCCCGATATTTGCGCTGAAGGCATTTCACGGTAATAATCAATTAATATGTTCGGCCATAAAAATTCTCATCACGACAGGGTAATGAATTTAATCTAAAAATTAAATTTACCAGGTAAAAATACCCTTCTGTGGCGATCAGAAGATGGTGGATGGGGATTACATGTGACCAGCGCAGTCTGCGAGTGGTTTTGTTTAATCTCTTTCTCCATTTACATATTAACCTTCACCAATGAATTCCGAGGGATCCAACTGAGTTGTCCAAAGGTAATGAATAAATTGAACTGAAACAAAAAATTATATTTGCTACTAAAATTATAAAATTTGTTCTGCCCCAGGTAATTCTGAAGACAGATTACATCAGGAAGACGTACCCCATCTTCACAAGCTTCTCAGCCTCCACAAGCCCCAGCCACAGCACCTGATCCCCCCCAGGACGTACTGGTTACGTCAGCCTTGTCTCCCCCTCAGAAACCCTGGCAATTGAGATTCACCAAAGTCCCTCCACCACCTCCGAGACCCTAGGCCTCCTGGATCCCACCCATACCTCCTCGTTGCCATTTCCCCCCCTAAAATACAGGACCTTCGATTCCTCCCTGACAGAGAGCCACAAGCACGCATTCACGCAACGCTACAGCAGATTCCGTGAATTTCCATCAACCGAATTGCCAGACACCCCGGAGTCATGTTCCTCTTATTCCCCAGCAAACAGCCACGAGGTCTACGGGGTATTCACCTCGGAGAGTCATAAAATCAATATTATTCTCCCCCCAGACATACCCTCGACTTACGAAATAGCAAATAGCCACAGCAACTACGAACTCTTCACCGATCACTTGATCACAACCAACAGTGAAACCAACAGAACAACTCTCAACGATCCAAAGGACATCAACACCTGTCCCACCAATTCCCCAAGTGTCATAATAAATGACAGTGCCTACGACATTGAGCAGTGCCTAATGGAGATTGAAGAGAGCCTATTGAATATTGAGCATAATTTAATTTACGTACACGATCTTGAGATTCCACAGTTCAATAATTTATTGCAATCAACGATTAATAGAAAATGCAGCGATGAATGGCCTTCGTACGTCTGTAAATCTAAAAGTATGATATTCAATGATGAACAAACATCATTATCCACCGATGACAGTGATGATGGAAATATTCATTTCATTGCCAGCCTTGATAATCTTCCAGCTAGACAATGTGCTAATAATAGTGATAATATTCCGAGTTTTAGGGATAACATAAATAAACCTGTTAATTTTAATTCTCATGGGAGTGGAAGAAAGAGTGAAGAGGGAAGGAGAAACTTTCACCGGAGGAGAAAAAATTCCCTGGACATGGGAACATTCAAGAGACGACGAAAGACTTCCCTCGAGCATTGTTATTTTTCTAAGAGCTCTGGAGCCAGTGGGGAGTACAGGAAAGCTTCATCTCATGGTGCTTTAGAGATATCCGCTAGAGAAAATAATAAGAAAAAAATCAGTTGTACGAGTATTAAATCAAATGATTGTATTTTCAATGAAATTAATGAGAGAGCTAGGGACTGTCGGCGTAAATTTGATAGTATTTGTACAGCGAGGGATAATGTTGATTGTATTAGTGGTAAAATTGATGAATCGACAGGGAAGGATAAGAATTATACCAGGAGTAATTCATTGCCTAAAGATAATGCACTTGTACCGGGCAAATTAATATCTCTGTCGTTTTCACTTCTGCTGGCAGCTTTGCTTCAGGCTGTCAGGTGTCTCGCTGATATTGTTGAGGACACTTTTCGATCAGTTGCACTCGATAAATACGCTTTACACGATTAATTGTTGATAATTTGAGGTGTCTTATTCTTATTTATGGAAACATCGTTATTAATAAAAGGAGAAATTGTTTTTGATGAGCTAGTATTTTTTAATGGACTTTCTTATTAAGGCGAGACGTTGTTTGTGGGCTTCCGTCACTGTCGCACGCTTGTAAGGGCGAACCTCGTCGGTGCCAAATCCTGGAATCCACATGTTCCAATTTCGCTCTGGGAAATTCAGATAAACATTATTATTTTCTTAAAAAAATTGCAGAGTTGATCAATTTCCAAATTTTTATGGAATAATTCTTTGCAAAAATTGTCGGAGAAAAAAAATTCTTCAGACAAAAAAGACAAAAAATGTTCATAACATTTCCTCATAAAAATCAATGTCAGAAAAATCAAAAACTATTGCCGAGTCTCACCTAAATGCAGCTGTACATCCTTGACCTCCACAGTATTGGCATGTCGATGTTTGGCAAGTAAACAAGCAGCATTGACAGTTGTTTCCACAAAATCATCAGCAAGCTGCAGCAGCATCTCCTCAACTTCCTCATCCAACTGCTCAGTTGGATCAACCTCTCTGACCAGCTCCTGGAGTCTGGTCTTCGTCAGGAACTAGAAACCGAAAATAAAACCTCAGTTCTCACCCCCTCTCTTACCAAATAAATTCTACAAAATTATACTTCTGGTACATCAGGAGTAGATGATAACTGTTGATTCTGTTTGTGTGGTGTGGTATGAGCATTTTGTAGTTGATTTTGTTGACTGGTCTCTGGCAAATTCGTCTGCATGGTCATTGGGGACTGATTGTTGGGCCCCACAGATTGTAAATTACCCAGCGATGGATTGTCCTGACTTCCCTGGGACATTTTCACTGATTTTTATCAATGGATATTATCCACTAACTCAATTCCCTCTCAGAGCTCTCAGACCACTTGATGATAAACATAAATAAACAATATTTGAGGTTAGAAATTTGAGTTTCTGTCCATTGGCTAGATGACAGCTGATCAGAACCAATGAGAATGAGTGATTGTCACTCGTGGGAAAAACGCCAGTCGTACACCGGCTGTTGAATCAATCCCCTCTATTATTTAAATACAACGGTTTATTTATTTAATTGATTTAATATGCGTAAGGTACCGAGGATAACGAGATCCTTGCGATCATTCACTACTTTGGATAGACAGGATAGACTTGTTGCTGATGCCAATGATCTTGCCGCTAAGGAAGTCGAGGTGCAAAATCATCGCAAGGGGTAACCTTATTTTTTAATTACTTTATTTCATGATTTATTTCATTAATTCGTCATGAAAAATTAATTGGTAATGTTTTTGCAGAGAAAATGAGTGGCAGGTACTCTGTAAGGGATTTCCTGCGGATGTTCAAGAACGATTGTCAGAAGTGCATCAGCTGGTTGGAATGTGCTGCAGTGAGTTGTCAGATTATTTGAATAAAATTAATTTATCGGTCTGAAGGATTCTCTACAGATGCTCTCCTCGATTTCAAGGTCAGGGCAGGATTTTCTATGGGTATCCCGAGGGATTTTGTCGTTGCTATTGAATTTTGAGATAATTCTAAGAGAATTCATGGTTGCACAAGTGATTGCAATCTGATATGCCATTTAACTCTCACTCATTCCACAACGGCTTTATTACCGAAGTCTCATTTTTCAGATGACCTGTGTTCCAATACATCGACAATTATCGATCAGCTCTCCCTTGACATCGTTCGTCACCTGATAGTCCTGAAGGGCTCCGCATCAACCAAGGACTTCCTGAAAATAAAAGATCTTCTGGGAACGGCAGATGTAAAAGCAGTTCGAAAGATACTGGACGCAGTGTCGCTGATCCAGTGTATCCTCACAGAGGAGGAGCTATCCCTCTTCGATCCTCTGGCCGAGGACTCCCTGAAAGCAAAAGCCTTTGGCTCAGAAATTCCCTACAATCCAATGACTCGTTGTTCCACAGAGGAGACACTCCTGCTCTCCAATATGAGCCAAGCTGCCTCGATAACTGCACCGACGAAATTCACAATGATCTACAGAGGTGATCAGCCGAAAACCAACGATTTTCACCAGAAAGACTTCCTCAGGTACCTGAATGACTCCCACAAGAGTTACTCAACGGCGACGTTCGAGCAATTTTGCTCGATGATCGAGAGTTGCCTAAAGAACTCTAAGACGAATGCCCAGGGAGAGCTGTACGATCTCCTGGGGTATGACCAACTGGATTTCATCAGTTACATTCTGAAGCACCGAGAGAAGGTAGAGAAATTCTTCACCACCCAGAAGCAGCTGTCGAAGATCGGTGGACCTGTGAAAACTGAAAAGCGTCCGCAGTTCGGTTGCCAGGTGATAGTCCAGTCGAAGAAGGAGAAAGAGCTCATGAAGCAAGTGAGAAAAGAGGAGAAGAAGTACTTAAAGGCCTCCAACAAGTTCGAGCAGAACGGCGATACATCTGACGACGACTTCGACCCCTTGATTCTGAGACTAAAACGCCAGCAGGCTCTTCAAGCCACCCAGGCACCAATTCTAGCTCCAGTCAAGCAGAAATTCCTCGCAGTGACGAGCAACACTGAGAAATACCCATTTGTATTCGACTGCCAGAAGGACTCCAAGACAATTCCAGGCTTTATCTCCGGGCAAAAGCTCATTCTTCCTGAGAATGTCATGAGAAAAGACTCGTCTCTCTGTGAAGAGGTGCAGATTCCAGTCTCCAGTACTGACCTAAACTTCTCCTACACTCCAATAAAGATCTCCAGTCTTGACGAGATTGGGCAGATGGCATTTGCAGGAGTGAAGGAGCTCAACAGAATCCAGTCGACGGTTTTTAATGCAGCTTACAACAGTGGGGAGAATCTTCTGATTTGTGCACCCACTGGAGCTGGAAAAACTAATGTTGCTCTTCTCTCAGTACTCCACCAGCTGAAGCTACACCTGGAGAATGGAGTTCTGAGAATAAATGAATTCAAGATCGTTTATATTGCCCCGATGAAGGCCCTGGCAGCAGAGATGACGGCTAGCTTCAACAAACGTCTTGGATGCCTCGGGGTAAATGTCAGAGAATTGACTGGAGACATGCAGTTGACGAAGACTGAGCTACAGCAGACCCAGATGATTGTGACAACTCCAGAGAAGTGGGACGTAGTGACGAGGAAGGGCACTGGGGACATCGCCCTCACGAGCATCGTCAAACTCCTGATTATCGACGAGGTTCACCTACTCCATGGGGACAGGGGACCAGTTGTCGAGGCACTCGTCGCGAGGACATTGAGACAGGTTGAGTCCTCCCAGAGGATGATAAGAATCGTTGGACTGTCAGCGACTCTCCCAAATTACGTCGACGTTGCCAGATTTCTCAGGGTGAACCCCAGAAAAGGTCTCTTCTACTTTGACCACAGATTTCGTCCAGTTCCTCTCAGTCAGACCTTCATCGGAATCAAGTCCATAAAACCAATGCAACAGATTCAGGATATGGATCTTGTTTGCTATCAGCAGGTGGTGGATATGGTGAGAAAGGGTCATCAGGTGATGGTGTTCGTGCACGCGAGGAATGCCACTGTTAGAACAGCAACAAAAATCAAGGAACTTGCCCAGCAGAATGACACAATTAAGATTTTTAAGCCAGATTCCGACTCAAAGCTGACGCAGAAGGCCTTCACAGGGTCCAGGAATAAATCCCTGGGGGAATTATTCAGTTATGGGTTCTCGGTGCATCATGCAGGAATGCTGAGATCCGACAGGAATATGGTGGAAAAGGCATTTCGTCAGGGCTCGATAAAAGTTCTAGTCTGCACATCTACCCTTGCCTGGGGTGTAAATCTCCCTGCACATGCAGTAATAATCAAAGGGACTGAGATCTATGACTCCAAACACGGTTCATTCATTGACCTGGGGATTCTGGACGTTCTCCAGATATTTGGACGTGCAGGTAGACCCCAGTTCGATACCTCTGGACACGCTGTCATCATCACGTCCCACAATAAACTGTCTCATTACCTCTCGCTACTGACTAATCAATTCCCCATCGAGAGCAGTTTCATTACTTATCTCCCTGACAATCTGAATGCAGAGATAGCTCTGGGGACGATATCAAATGTCGAGGAGGCTGTGGAGTGGCTGGGGTACACTTACTTATTCGTCAGAATGAAGTTGAATCCCATTCCCTATGGGATGCTCTATCAGGACGTCCTTGACGATCCAAATCTCGATAAAAAACGAAGACAACTCATTGATACTGCTGCCAAACACTTGGACAAGGCCAAGATGATCAGGTACAATTCAAGAACTGGGGACATGAGTTCAACTGATCTAGGCAGAACTTCCAGCCATTTCTATCTGAAGTACGATACAGTGGAAATATTTAATGAGCTCAGCAAGCCTATTATGACAGAGGCTGAGATCCTTGCGATGTTATCTCGAGCGCAAGAGTTCGAGCAGCTCAAGGTCCGAGATGACGAGATGCAGGAGCTCGATGACCTCACCAAGGAGTACTGCGAGCTGGTGGCTCAAGGAGGAGCTGAAAATATTCATGGAAAAGTCAATATTCTCATACAGACGTATTTGTCTAGAGGAAGGGTCTCTGGATTCTCTCTCATCTCAGATCAAGCCTACATCATTCAGAACGCTTTAAGGATCTCTCGAGCTCTATTCGATGTTATGCTGAGGAAGAACAACGCGATAATGGCTTCGAGAGTTCTAAATATTGCCAAGATGTTGGAGGCTCAGCAGTGGGACATGGTCACTCCCCTGAGGCAATTTTTCTGTCTGGGTCCTGAGATCATTCAGAAGATCGAGGATAGACAGCTGACTATTCCCAGGCTAAATGACATGAGTGTCCGGGAGATTGGGGATTATTTGAGGAATCAGAAGTTGGCGGCTCTTGTGAAAAAATGCTGCAGTGAATTTCCCTCGATTGAACTCGACGCATTCATTCAGCCCATCACGAGAACAGTTCTGAGGATTAAATTGAGATTGAAGTCCACTTTCAGGTGGAATGATTCAGTGCACGGTAAGAGCTCCGAGGCATTCTGGATCTGGATCGAGGACACTGACACTAATTATATTTATCATCATGAGTACTTCCTATTGACGAAGAAAATGGTGATCAGTGGAGATGAGCAGGATCTCGTGATGACGATTCCTCTTCCAGAGCCACATCCCACTCAGTACATTGTCAAGGCAATCAGCGATCGTTGGTTGGGCTGTGAGCAGCTGCTCCCTCTGAATCCCCAGGACTTGGTTCTTCCAGATACTCATCCTCCACACACAGATCTCCTGGAGCTCCAGCCCCTGCCTGTGTCATGCCTGAGGATGCCTGCCTTCGAGAAATTGTACAACTTTACACATTTCAATCCAATTCAGACACAGATATTCCACTGCCTCTATCACACAGACAACAATGTCCTGCTGGGTGCTCCCACAGGATCCGGAAAGACAATAGCAGCTGAGATCGCTATGTTCAGGGTGTTCAGGGAGTATCCAGAGAGAAAGGTCGTGTATATAGCACCACTGAAGGCTCTGGTTCGTGAGAGGATGAGGGACTGGAGAATTCGTCTCGAGGAGAAGATCAAGAAGAGAGTTGTGGAGTTGACTGGTGATGTTACACCAGACATCAGGCAGATTGCCAAGGCTGATGTCATCGTAACGACTCCAGAGAAGTGGGATGGCATCAGCAGAAGCTGGCAGACGAGGAATTACGTTAAAAAAGTTGCTTTAATCATCATCGACGAGATCCATCTATTGGGGGAGGACAGGGGACCAGTCCTCGAGGTAATTGTCTCGAGAACAAATTTCATTGCTTCACACACTGAGAAAACTCTCAGGATTATTGGCCTCTCGACAGCTCTGGCAAATGCTGTGGATCTTGCCAACTGGTTGAACATCGAAAAAACAGGACTTTACAATTTCAGACCCTCAGTAAGACCTGTTCCCCTCGAGGTGCACATCAGTGGCTTTCCTGGCAAGCACTATTGCCCCAGAATGGCAACCATGAATCGTCCGACCTTTCAAGCAATCAGACAGCACGCCCCAGCCAGTCCGTCGTTGGTATTTGTATCCTCCAGAAGACAAACCAGACTGACAGCTCTCGACCTCATAGCTTTTCTTGCTGCTGAGGACAATCCCAAGCAGTGGCTCCACATGCCTGACGTTGAGATGGATAATATCCTGGTGAATATCAAGGACGTTAACCTGAAGCTGACTCTGGCCTTTGGAATTGGTTTACATCATGCTGGACTCCAGGATAAGGATCGACAGACTGTTGAGGAGTTATTCGTTAACAACAAGATTCAAGTGTTGATTACAACAGCAACTCTAGCGTGGGGTGTGAATTTCCCTGCACATCTCGTGGTGATCAAGGGAACAGAGTATTACGATGGAAAGACTAAGAGGTACGTTGATATGCCCATCACTGATGTTCTCCAGATGATGGGAAGAGCTGGGAGACCCCAGTTCGATGACTCTGGAGTGGCTGTTGTTCTCGTTCACGATATCAAGAAGAATTTCTACAAGAAATTCCTATATGAGCCTTTCCCTGTGGAATCGAGTCTTCTGGAGGTTCTTCCTGATCACATCAATGCTGAAATCGTCGCTGGAACGATCGCCTCGAAGCAGCAATTCCTGGATTACCTCACGTGGACGTATTTCTTCAGGAGATTGATGAAAAATCCACAGTATTATAACTTGCCTGGGCTGGAACCTGCGAGGATCAATCAGTATCTGTCTACTCTCGTTGATGGGACTTTAGTGGTTTTAACAGAGTCCCAGTGCGTGGCTTATGAAGAGGAAGATCAGAGTCTCGGGCCACTGCCACTTGGCAGAATTGCTTCGTACTATTACCTTTCACATCAGACAATCAGGCACTTCAGTAAAGAGTTGAAGGATAATCTGGGACTGGTTGAGTGCCTGAAGATCCTCTGCAATGCTCATGAATACAGTGAACTCCCTGTGAGGCATAATGAGGATCTTATTAATGAGGAGCTGTCCAAGAAGTGCAGATACCCTGGGGAGGCCTTTGACTCTCCAAATACAAAGGCTTTTCTGCTCTTTCAGTGTCACTTCTCCAGGACAAATCTACCATGCACTGATTACACGACTGACTTGAAATCTATTTTGGATCAGGCCATCAGAATTTTACAAGCTATGATTGATATTGTTGCTGAGAGGGGCTGGCTATCCAGTACTCTAAGAATCATGCAGCTGCTGCAGATGATTATCCAGGCTCGGTGGATCGATGAATCAGCTCTGCTCACACTGCCACACGTGGAGAGAGATAGATTGAGAGTTTTTGACAGATTGCCAAGGGCACTGCCATTTTTTTGTGCTGCTGCTACCAATAATGAGAGAGGGATCCAGAAGGCCTTGAGGGAGGAATTCAAGGAGCACGAGGTTGGGGAGATCCTCCAGGTCGCCAGAGCAATGCCTGTGGTTCATGTCAGGTTGAGTCTTCAGGGTGATGATGACGAGGTGCAGGAAATTGAGCTGGGGGAGAAAGGGAAGGAGTGTCTGCTGGTGCATGCCAGTGGGGAATACACGTTGTTGATCGAACTGAGGAGAAGCAATAGTGGATCTAGGGTCCACAGTCCCAAGTTCCTCAAGGAAAAGGGTGAGGGCTGGTTTGTTGTTGCTGGAGATGTGAGGGGAAATGAAGTCTGGGCGATGAAGAGGACTCCAGGACAGGGGAGGACTCAACTCCAGTTCACAGCTCCACAGTTTCCAGGTAATTCTTTTACTTTGAATTAAAAGAAAAATATTGAGCAACCGCTAAATATTATATTTTCATGCTCCCCTGATATTTTTTTAAAAATTTAGAATTTCTAAATTTCAGTGAATACCTCCTCGATTTTCATACTCCCCTGATACTTTTTTGAAAATTTCGAATTTTTCAATTTCAGCAAATACCTCCTCGATTTTCATGCTCCCCTGATACTTTTTTGACAATTTCGAATTTTCAAATTTCCGTGAATACCTGCTCGATTTTCATGCTCTCCTGATACTTTTTTGAATAATTTCCAATTTTTCCATTTCAGTGAGTACCTCCTCGATTTTCATGCTCTCCTGATACTTTTTTTAAATTTCGAATTTTTCAATTTCAGCAAATACCTCCTTGACTTTCATGCTCCCCTGATACTTTTTTGAAAATTTCGAATTTTTCCATTTCAGTGAATACCCCCTCGATTTTTATGTTCCCCTGATACTTTTTTGAATAATTTGCAATTTTTCCATTTCAGTGAGTACCTCCTCGATTTTCATGCTCTCCTGATACTTTTTTGAAAATTTCGAATTTTTCCATTTCAGTGAATACCTCCTCCATTTTTATGTTCCCCTGATACTTTTTTGAAAAATTTCCAATCTTTCCATTTCAGTGAGTACCTCCTCGATTTTTATGCTCCCCTGATACTTTTTTGAAAATTTCGAAGTTTCAAATTTCAGTGCGGAGCGCGCCATATACGCTAGTTGAAAAAAAACAGAGTAATCACAGTGTAAATTTAATCATTCCAGGGAAAACTCGTTTAACATTCTACCTAATATCGGATTCTTACATTGGTCTGGACCAGCAGTACGACATCCCAATCAACGTAACAACATGAAGCACAAATTTCCTTGTGTTTTTTCACGTTAATTAAATGCATAAATGTAATATAAATAAAGCAGATCATTTATACTCGTTTTGTTGATAAACAGTGGGAATTTCAATTCAATATTTTGAAGTATTCCGATAATTATGTAATTATATTCGATGTGAGATTCTCTGACAATGACAAAAATGCAATGATAAAAATTATTTAAACTCCTTTCGTTGATAAATTGTACAGTGGATTTATATTCAATGAGTCTAAGAAATGTGTCAAGTGGCTCTGGTAGCCACTGCTAGCCAATTTCTCGACGACATGAGCAGGATAAGTCCTCAGGTCGCAGAAGGCCTCGTACATCTGCTCCAACTTGTTGTAATTCGATATGGTATAACCATTTGCTCCCTTGTGCCACTCATGAGACCTCAGGCAATTGTGAAACTTGAGGATGATTTTGAAGATATTACAGAGGCACTGACGAAGTTTCTCAGCTTTTGAAGTGAGCATGCACCTCGAGAGGATCTTCTTGATGTAACTCACATGAGTCGTGTAGATCTCATCGAGACTCGTAGCACTCTCCAGCTCCTTTTCGAATTCAGTCCAGCTGGCGTGTAGAACACTGCAAGTGAGATAATTGCTGAATGCAATCATGAACTGCATCATGGCATGTCGAAATAGCTGAAGTCTGTGGTACTGGGGGGACAGGGCTGCCTCTCTCTCCACTTTCAGGATGCAAAAATCCTCCTGGAGAACCCAGAGGACTCTTCCCACCATCATCAGGAACTTGAATACCTTGCTGTACTGCTGCATCAGGACCTCATCGATAATTACGTTGAGGGGCCAGGACACTTTGTAATGTAGACACAAGCAGTCGAGTGCCTCTGGATCAGAAACAGTCAGAAGACTGGGGGTATCAATAGCCGAGAGACTTAGCAACTCAGCATTCTCATACGAATAGTTTAAAGAGCTGTGCAGAGCGTTCTCCAATAAATTCGTGAGAGTTGCAGAATTGAACAATTCAACTGGCACACTGATCTCGTAGAATTTCCTGAAGACAGACCCAGTGAGATTCCTAGCAAACTCTCCATTCAGCAGAAAGAAGAAGCTCCTCAAGCTCTGAAAATGTGACAGGATTTTGTGCTCCTCGAGCAGATACTTGATAACAGCAGAATTAGCTAGTTTACTCTGAACCATCAGAGGAATCATCACAGACTTCTCCAGATAGATCTGCAACGAAGTGTTGTCAATTAACTCAACGTCGGCCATCGTTAAAGAGGATTCGAAATTGACAGGTCCATTGTCCAAGCCAAATCCACTGAAGAACGACTGACTCTCCGGGAGATTCTGCTTATCAGACTTGGGTAGATGCTCCTCAGGGCTCAATGGAGTCTCCAAATCATTCTTCGACCCTGCCAGAGATCCAACCTCCAGACAATTGTAGAATAACGATGAACTCACTGACTGGTGGTAGCTGTCAGTGGTGCAGGACATTGGAGTGACATCATTGACGTCATTAATCCCTACCTGAGACATCACTAACTGATTATCAACCACTTCCTTTCTGCTCTCATCACCAACGAGAGTATCAATTTTATCTACTGGATCATCCTCTTTAATTCCAAGATTGATGTTCAAGTTTACTCTAGTCGTTCCACCTGTTCTTTCATTTCCCTCTTTATCCAGAACTACACCATCCTCACGAGACTCTTCCGCGGTGTTAACTGAATCGTCCCCAGAGATGATTACAGTTCTCCTTTCCTTGAACAGACGATTGCTCTGTGAGATCTCAACCAGGATAGCTTCAGTGGTCATCGACTCCAGAGTCATCTCTGTAGATTTGGAATCGTTACTGGATGTTTTTTCCTTCAGAGATAGATCCCTGGGTCTTGGAGTTCTGGTAGAGCTGTCCTGACCACTCAAAATAGTCTTCTGACTGGCCGAATCACTTGTGGAATCATTGCTGTTCTCATCTTTCTCATCTATCCTGTCACTGGCCGCTGGAAGACTTGGCAACTCGTTGTTGTCGTCCTGATTTCCTTCATCGGCTGTTCCATCATCTTGAGATTCCTCATGCCTTGCTGCAATAATCATCTCCACCCTCTCCTCGAACAACGCCATCCTCTTGCCCCTCCAGACTGCTCTGAGCTTCCGCCTCCTGGCCTCCTCAGCAAGTTCCTTATAATAATCAGCAGTGACCTTAGCCTCCGCCATGAGCACCTTCTTCTCCTCCTCCTCCTCAGCTGCGTGCTTCTCCATCTCGAGCTTCTCTTCAAGTATCTTCGCCTCTCTGGCTCTCTCCCTTCTCGATACCGCTTCTTCAGCCTGATTCTTCAGGTTCGCCAGTAATTCTCTCTTATTTTTAGCCACTAGCAGTCTAGCCTCCTCCTGGCTCTTCTTAATCCTCTGAAGAGCACCAGCCTGCGCTGCCATCACCACATCAGCCTTGCACTTCTCCCGCACTCTCATCTGTTGCAGAGCTGAACTCAAGGTGACATTCCCCAGCAGCTCGATTCCCCTCGACATGTACTCCTGGCAGATTTCCTCCTGCTCAGATAACATATTCACGTTCAAGCAGACCTTCACCAGGGGATGAGCGCTGAAGAAGAGATTGCACATGGGATTCTTAGGGTCACAGATCTTCAGTAATCTCACGGCCTTTCCACATTGTAGAATCGAGTCTGTGAGATCCTTCAAAAATCCTGGCACCGACTCCTTGTTAATCCCATAACACTTGGACCAGAATTTATGCCCTCGAGTCCTCAGGTACTGAATCCTGATGTTGATCATGAATTCTCCATGAGTCTCGTCGCACCTCCCCTCGAATATCCATTTCTCCAGGTACTCGAAATACACTTCACAGCAGGACTTGAGAACCGAGTAATATACGAGTGCAATATTTGGTTTTGTTATTCTCGTAACTTCCTTGTAGATGTGAGAGAGAAGACCAATCCCCTCCCCGATAATCGTTCTCCTGACGTTGTCACACCTGCAGAGTCTCGCCACTTCGGAGATGAGGCAGCCAATGGGTCCCAGTTGGTGGAGAAGTGTCAGCAGCTGGGGAAAATCCTCACCAAATACCTGGAGTATCACTGCCTGGTAATGAATTAAAATCTCATCGATGTTTGTGCACATTGCCTTAAAGATGAGGCCATCCTCCCTGAGTTTTCCATTAGAGTCAGGTCCAGGGCGAATCAGGAGGCTCAGGAGCTTGAAGCACGTCGCCCAATGAGTGATTTCGAAACAGATATCCTTCAGGGATTCGTTGCTGAGGAGAGGAACGGTCGTGTTGGATTTGAATATGAAACCGAGTTTGGTGTTCCAGATGAAGACGTCGGACTCGATCCCCAGGAGTACTAGTTTAACATTCTCCAGGAATTGTCGTGTTGACAGGTTGATGTCTGGGGTTTTGGGGGAGTCAGCGGAGTTTTCTGGGTAGAAGGACCAGTGGCGGAAATTCTGGAGGTGGTAGAGAGCAGTTTCGGACTCCAGGATGAAGGTGGAAGGATTGGGAGGTGAGGGATTTCCCAAGGACTCCCAGGTTCGGACTCTAGTGGGCTCCAGGGGCGAGGGAGATGTCCAGGGAATGTTGAGGATGGATTGGGTGACTGGGGGGTGAGAGGGAATGGGTGAGGAGGGGGTTGGAGACATGTGGTCCCAGAAGGGAGGGTCGGATGGGTCCTCTTGGACCAGGTAACAGCTGGACATGAGCATCGGGGTCGACGGGATGAACTCGGAGAGCCGCGAAAGTTCCAGATGACCTGGGGGTAAGCTGAAGGGAGGGTCCATCGGAAGATCTGAGAACCTCAGGAGAGAGTTCGAGGGAGTGGTGATGTTGTACGGCAGGTGAAACGCCGAGGAAGGGTACGTTTGGTATTCTGGAATTCTTTTGGAGACTCGCGGCTCTGGCAGGACGGGATTCTGCTCCCCGAAGTGAAAGATGTTCTGGAATAAAACAATATTAAATAGTTTTGAGAAAATATTTCCCCTTAATCTGAAAGATTAAAATAATGATAATGCCCTCACCAAGTCATTCGTCTCAGGAATTTCATAGGCCTTCATCCAGTAAAGAAATTGTAATACTCTATCGAGTGGGCCATCGAGCTCCTCTGACTCCTGGAGCTCTTCAAGAGCTTCATCGAGCTTAGCAGCCCTCGAGGCATGTCCAAAGCTGCACCGGAGGACAAATGAATGTTTCAGGAGCTCAGCCAGGGGATCCCGAACGTCCTTTTGTTGATTATCTAATGAAAGTTATGGTTTTATATTCTTTTCAATGAATCCAAGGATTTTTTTAAGCTTTCAGAGATTAAAGAAGATTGAAAAACTCCTTCAATCAGTTCGTAGCTCATAACTGCAAAAAAAAAGACTTAACCCCCTTCCTTAGTTGCCAATGACGTGACATTAATCAGAAAATTCTCTCCAACTCACTATTATCATCACCTGTACCGGTCGGATTCCTCAGGAGCACCTCGAAGGCTCTCGTCCTCATCTTCTTGATGATCTTCTCTCGTTTATTAGCATAATTGTCGAATGGACCATCTTTCAGGACGCCACGGCACAGATCTGTCACCAGACCGTAAAAATCCCAGCTGTCAGCCCTTGAATCCATCGTAGATCAGCCCTCCAGACACTTGCTCAACATCTTCAACACTGAATCATCATTCACTCGATTTTTCAAAATTCAAGATAAAGTTATTGAACGACTACCGCAGGTGAGCCGTAGATTTGTAAATACCAGAGAACTCTGCGCATTCCCTTCACGCATATCACATTGGCTCCACCAATTGGAGGATCAGGATTTTGAGGTCTTCATCAGGATTGGAGGACTTTTCTGTTAATCCTTTTGCTCGTGAGCTGTCGGCGAACTGTCATCCTGTGGTCACTCTAGGGTTTTTCGATCAGAAAAACATGATCGATTGTTCCAGTCGATTGTATGAGTCTGCACTATATCGATTTATGGCCGATCGATCATTTTGGTTCTTTAATTCAACTTTTTCCGCGATTCAGACACAAATCTTTATAACTTACATATTTAATAATTTATGAATTTGAAATAAATTCAATAAATGACGTTCCCTCGTCGTTTGTAATCAATTTGCCGCAATAGGAGTAAAAAAAAAGATAATTAACACAAAATTGCGATTTCGACGAAAAAATATCGATCCATTGATTGATCGAGCCGCGAAAATCAACTTGAAGAATCGAGAATCGAGACAATTCTAATTAGAAGAGATTTTTGATTGGATGACGGTCTTAACCAATGACATCGCGGCAAATACGAGAGGCCAGCTGCTGCGAACTTCAGGAGGACACAATAAAAAAACGTAAATACATTGAAGTTGGGAAATGGGACTCGAACGGGGAGCCATGGAGAAGACGCAGAAGACCCTAGAGAGCCTCCTTCCCCCCTAGACTCGCCATTTCTCTTCAAGTTCACAACAGACCATCACCCACAGACGACAATTACCCGAAATTAATATCAACCGATCACAATTTCTTATTCCCTATAAGTTCAGACAAATATTGTCCTCCACCCGTACGTCATCAGCCCCGTCCTGGTGTTCCCTCTGGGGTGGAATTCGTCGACTCGTTATCCCTGTGAAAGATTCCATGTCAATCCATGTTTTTGGGTTATGGAAGTAATCAGTGTGTGAAAAATCCATAAAAAGTGCAAGGAAAAAGAGAAAAAAAAACTGAAGAAATTGGAAAAATCAAGGATTTGACGAGGAAAAGAAAAAAAAGTGTTCGGGGCGAGTTTTTTCGCTCGGAGGGTAGACTTGCAGTATGCTCAGGATTTTTGATATTAAATTATTATGGCTGGGGGTGAGGCTGCTGGGACGAAGCCTCGTCAGGAAAAACAGTACGATTATCTTTTGAAATTCTTACTCGTTGGTGATAGTGACGTTGGAAAACAGGAGATACTCAGTGGTCTCGAGGACGGGGCATCTGAATCCCCTTTCTGCAGTGGCAGTGGTACGTTATTTTATTTATTCTTCTTCAACTAACCAAAAAAATTCCCAAAATCCTCGCCCCAAATCTCCAATTAACTATTTCAATGTCAACTAGTTCTCCACGCGAATATCTCCGAATCTAAAGGCCATACCGAATTTTTTCCCAGGACCTCTCCTGGAGAACGAAATCAGAGCTGTAAAAATGGTCTCTACCAAAAATTCATTATCTATCTTTGATTGAGAGATATTCGTTGCGAACTGGGATACTGACAGATTTGCATTGTTATCCTTTGTGTCTTGGCGGTGGAATTTTTGTTGTGCTTCATTTTTTATGGCACCAGTAAATTTCATTAGCAGAATTTATTTTTTCCCAGTGCATGAGTTTATGCAACCGTTTTAACTGCTGCCATTTCCTCCGGGTAATATTATTTTTTTTACGGTATTTACTTGCGCAATGTTTCAATGGAATTTTTTTGTTTGCAGCGTACAAGACAACGACAATTCTGCTAGATGGGAAGAGAGTCAAGTTGCAATTGTGGGATACCTCGGGACAGGGGAGATTTTGTACAATCATTCGATCGTACTCCAGGGGAGCACAGGGAATACTTCTCGTTTATGATATCACGAATAAGTGGTCATTCGATGGAATCGACCGATGGCTCAAGGAGGTAGAAGAGGTGATGATTCCTTTATTCATTTTTCCCTGTAAAATCTTCAATTTCCAATCCAACATAAATGTTAAAAAATATCTAGAGCATTAGAATTTGAAAAAAAAAAAACAAATGATTTTCAGAACGAAAACGTAAAGAGTAAAATTCAATTTGTTCCCTACTCAAGTTTTCAGGATATCGTGGAAACCTTTTTTTTTTCCACGAAAATTTCACCATCTCTCTTGAATTCAGAATATATACGCATTCTCTTATTATCCACTGCTTACTTTTTACCTCTTTACTAGTACTTTCTCTTTGCTCATGGGCCCTTTACTTTTAATTCTACATCGATCAGCACGCGCCAGGTGTTCCAAAGGTCCTAGTTGGCAATCGTCTACATTTGGCATTCAAACGACAAGTCGGTGTCAGGGATGCTGAGGCATACGCAGCAAAAAATCGTATGGCATTTTTCGAAGTCTCACCCCTATGTGATTTCAATATAAGGGAAAGTTTTTCGGAACTCTCAAGAATGGCACTCCACCGGAATGGCATGGAGCGTTTGTGGAGATCAAATAAAGGTGAATTTTTAAAATTATATTTGAGTTGATTTAGCTCTCCGGTAAGTTTTACAGAAATATTTCCGAAATCAAGACAAATAATGAAATTCTTATCAGAATCTTTTTTGTGCAACTTTTTGAAACCTGTCAGAGAGGTCATCACAACAATTTCATGATCTTCGATATTTCCGGAGATATTTCGAAAAACCATTTTGCCGTTCACTCCAAAAATTTCTGAGACGGTCTAATAATACACAGATCATTAATTTAATCGTGAATGTATCATTAATTGATAATTAATTGATGATTTATAGAGGGTAATTAGACTAATTTGGTGAATTTTTTCCATGATCTTTCTCCATCAGTCCTGAGTCTTCAAGAACTTGCCTGTCGAGCAATCGTGGCACGAACAACAGTTTATGGAATTGATCAGCTGCCCTTGCCTACGTCAATAAAATCCCACCTGAAGTCATACGCCATGACAACAACAACGCAATTGCGCTACAATGGGAATCGTTCCCAAAATTCAAGCAAGAGTCTTGGATCTTATCACCGAAAGTTGCGATTCGTTGGAGCAGGTCACAATGGACTGACGACACCGGGCAATTCACCTGGCAGCATAACAGACTCTCGTTCCAGTTGCGCTGGCCGTAATTCTTGCGCAATATCCTGAGGGTAATGGAAACAACAACACATAGCCGTTCAACAATTTCATATTGATACAGTACTTCCGTAATAAAGTGCCAAAAAGAGGTAAGTTGACCTAGCTTTTGGGTTTTTCTCCAAAAATCGTCAAATATCATCGAAACTAAAGGAGATACGACAATTCATGTTGGAACCTTTTTTGTAGGGCTCATGGAGAGCCATTGAAAAGGTTATCACAGCAATTTTGTTATCACTCTTAGTTCACGGAATATTTCCGAAAAACCGAAGTGCATCAACTTTCCACTTTTTAGCAATTTACTACTGAGTTCTTCCTTCATCCATTGAATTTTTTTGTTTTATCTGATGTAACGGAGACAACAGGTAACTATTGGAAAACTTCTTTCGTAGACTGTGACTCGTAGACGAATCACGATTTCGGAAAATTTAGGGTAAGAATTTTTTCGATTACTCGTAACAGCACCAAATGTATAATCACCACGATTCGTTCTTTTTTTTAAAATTTTTTTTATTGAGGAGACGTATGACAATTCGATTTATTAACCAAAAATCATGTAGAGAGGAATAATCGTTAAAAAAATTGTGTATATCTGCAGTGAAGTGGTGAAAGGTAATAATTAATTAACAATGAATGAAAGTTAACAATGAATATCGATGAGTATATGAGGAATATCTCCGAATCTGAAAGAGATACTGAATTTTTCATGAGAACTTTTTTTTAGCTCTCATTCCACTCCATAAAAGAGGTCCTGAGTGAAATTCCCATATTTCTCTTAAACTCCGAGATAATTCGCAAAATCGTTACCCTTTACCACTGCACTCATATATTATTATTAAATTACGTGATTATATTATAATTGATTGCAAAATTACTACAAGTACTTAGGCTGTCGAGGCAGTTCGTAAAAATTTGATGAAAAATTCACAAACCAATGAACACCAAATGCTGACAGAATAATTCGATAATCGAAAAAAGTGTGAATGAAATTTCTCGTGCTGGCAACAAGTGATTCGTCCGATAAGAAAATTCAATAGGCAGTGGGAAACTAGACAACAACAAAACTACCATCATGTGATTACGAAGAGTAAGGTTTATTTATGAGCAGATTTTTTATGTACATATATTTATAACAATAATTATTAGTGTATTTTAAATGTTGAAGTTTGTAATTTGTTGATGGATTAGACTCCGAAAGAAATTATGTACACGACAGGTACAAAAAAAACGGCGAAAAAAAAAATGATGAGGAAAAAAAGTGTAGGGTATCACGTAAATTTGTTTGATGACTAGTCCCTTTGAGAATAATTCGTTGTAGTGTAAGAGGAATTGGAAATTTTGAAGGTAAAATCGATGAAAATGTATCCGATGTCGTGGGGTAGTTTTTTACACTCTCTCATGACTCTCTCAGGCTTTGAATTTCGTAGCAAGTGTCGGAGACACCGTCCTGTTATTGGTAAATCAGTATCACTAATCCTATTTCTTGTTTCTGTTTCCCTGCATAGACCAAATAACTCGAGTTACATTTGTTCATGTATATATTTAGATTTAGAGCCCTGTAACAATTGTTCTCTCGACGTTATGTAGGAGTTTCCATTTGATTGCCTTGTTATTATTTCATTGTGAAAATCGAGCCAACGGATTATTAATCTGTCATATTCTCAATGATCTGTCAGAATTTCTCAGAATAATCTGACGCCATTCGACGAATTTAAACAGAATCGTTGAATTGTTAATGAATTGCTCGGTTTTTAGAATTGTTTGAGGTAATGCACTGTCGTATGCAATTGAATAAATTATTTTTATTGCAATGACGGTACCACTTTGCAAAAATCAAGGATCAGTGTACAATATTTCCTCGTAAATAATTTTTTATTTCAACAATTTCAGAGTTCCAACAGGTGAGACATGTCCAGTATTTTCATCCTTCGCTTTCACCTGTCACTTTCTACCCAATACCATCCACGAAAACACCAAATTTGTTTCGAGTAACAGACGTGCCCAATTATAATCCCCTCAATTATCCACAGCAGATCAATTGAATAATTTTTTACCAATCATCGTGCCATTACGCAAAACAAAACCATAATTCCGTCTTTTGAATGAGAAAACAAAAACTAACGAGAATAAATGAAAAGAAATAGTAAATATTGGAGAAGATTTTTGCACTGACAATATAGTATATATGATGGAAATTTGGATCTTAAGAATTATTTTTGAAATATTTACTGACGTGAAAAAAAAAAATCTAAAATAGAAATGCTATGTGTTGTAGAGAAAAACGAAACAATTGAGATGATAAATTTGAGAAGTAGAAGTACTCAGCGTATTTGTCGGTTAGTCGCAGTGCAATTAGTGACATTCCGTTCATCATTAAAATGATGCGTTAAATCAATGATTAATTCGTAAGTGAAGGATTGAATGATAGCGTGACATTTTTCATGGAGCAATGAGCGTAAGATTTCGTGTGAAATGTACACGAGAGTGAAGGTGACAAATATTATCATAAGCCGAGGCATATTTTTGTACACTGTGTATAAAGTATGTTGACTGAAGTCTCATAAACCCCATCCGAGAAATTCTTCATCACTGGTTCAAATTTTCAATTAATCTCCTCAAAACTACTTTTTAAAAAAGCATTGATTTATCCATTAATTATTATCATTGAAGAATAAAAAGCAGCTGCACCTAATTGTCGACTAAATTAATATTATCTCAACAATTTTTATATCATTGCGTATAAATTAATACAATTCGATATGTTGGTTTTTGAAATTGAATTTTCAACTGAATTGATTGAATTTTTGGATTTTAAATTGATAAAAACATACATCAGATTTTTTTTATTCATCTGGAGGCTGGAGCTGCTTGAAACGATCCACTCGATTTTGAAGAACCAACAGAACAATCCGAGTAATAAACAATAATTTAAACCAGTGATCATCACATCTTTCATCACGAGATGAAAGTACAGAAAAGGGTAATCATGTGTATTTCTGCAAACGTCGTGTTACTTACCCTAAACTAATATTAACAATGAACGAAAAAAAAAAAGAAACAAAAAATTGTATCATAATAAATTCACTGTAATATTTATTTACTCGAATTATATACATTGCTTAAAACTTGAATAAACACGACATTTCGAATTTGGCATTGAAGGGAGAAAACAAAATAGTCGTTTCGCTGTTGTTTTTATTTTTTAGTTTTCACTACCGTCGAGTCATTTTCGTCATTAACTGTTCATTAAGTATTTGTTAAATCCTCGTGGTATGGAGAGGATTGATTGGAGTGAACCGGATGCCGTTGGAGTGAATGTCAGAGCATCACAATGCGTAAATCCTGTCCCAGAGTCTTTGAAGGAAGTCACTGAATTAATGGTCTCTGTGAACAGATGTTTGGAGGATTGTGCTGTTGGATGGCAGGCAATATTATCCAAGAAACAGTGGAGAATTTTAGACTCACAATCTAAATTCCAATCGTGGGAACACTCTCTGTTGGCGAGAACATATTTAGCTGACAGAATTCTTGATGAGGAGTTTAAAAAATTGAGACTCGCTGCGAACAAATTGCTAAAGGATTTCAACGATTTCATTGGTAATCCAATCATCACTCCAAACATCAATTCAATCAATCATTAAAGAATGAGATAATCTAGATCAAATTCCAGATGATAGGATAAAATTGTTGAATGAATTATTTGAAAAATTCATTGTGTAATTTTGATATTTATTCTTGAAGGTCTGTTGAAGGGAAAAAATTCAAATGGAGCTGAATGTATGGGAAATCAAGAGGTGAATTGTCCTCTGAGTGTGAGGACGAATCCCATTGTCTCGCCACTCGATCTTTCACTTCTCGATGATGATAAATCATCAGAGGAGAAGGCTCCCAAGAGACGGAGCAAGAGGTTGGCTGAAACTTCTAGGAATACGGTGCAACAGTCTTTCGCTGATCTCATAAAAGCTAAAATTGATCTTGACACGAAATTTCTGGGGTTTGAGGCGGTACTCAATGGCACTGGAACCTCTCCTGCTCCAACATCTGAAGGGACCAAGTGTCTCTGCCAAATTTGTTCGAGTGTTCTGGTAAAACTGAATAATATAATAAATATACTTTGTCAACAAGTTTTTTCTATAATTTTTCATTGTTTCTATTCAATTTCATAGGGTAGTGTAATTGATAACGACGAAATCCTGAGAGAAGCTGTGACAAAACCAAAAATTCGAAGAATGTCTCGAGTAAAGAGCAAAAGACTGATGAAATCTCAAAAAATTTGGAAGCGAAACACTGGGAAAATCGCGAATGAGTCCAACCGATGAATTCTGAACAATAAATTTCCGATGGTAAAATAATTAAAACAGGTGGAAAATCGAGAGAAAAAAAAAACCCAAGTGAAAGGTAAAAAACAGAGAAGACACGCGTTTGGAAGTAATTTATAAACATTCTTCGTTGAATCAATCGTCAATGCACGATCAACTTTTATTATTGTTACAATAAAATGTGAAATATATAATTTTTAAAAATCTTTCTCTCATATTTTTACTATTAAAACGTAATTAAAATTCTCATCTGTTTAATCGACAATTGCGTATGAATAAATATTTCATTGATCGTGCCTTCAGTTTACGACTCGTTTCCCTCAATTTCTGCCTGATAATATCTGGAAGGATTATTTTAATTGCTAGCCAATCATTGCACGCGTCATAATGTTGATTACAGACTAGAAATCATTTCATCACTCGTAATATCACATAATATCATCTAAAAAATTATGCAATTATCATGGATGAATAAATGAGGGGAGAGAGACATTGATAGAAATTTATTTTGTTCTAATAGTAGGAAAGAAAAATTATTCCAAGAAAATGAAAGGGAAAGTTCTGCGAGGATTGAAATTTAGTGAATACAATCTGCGTAATTTTTGTGCCGAGGAAGTTGTATTGATTCTTCTCTACTATTTAGCAGGGAAATGTGATTTTTTATCATGTTTTCACTAAGTTACATTGAATTGCTCTCATTTTCGCATCTCTCTCAGCCCTAATTTGGACATCGGCCCAATTCATCGTGATAAAGCAAAAGTACTCTACACTCAGAAAAAAAATTGAGTTATCAATCAAATCTTACTTGTATCGACTAAATCGTCTATTAAAAATGATGGAAAAATTATTTCTTCAGTCAGACAGAAAATTAATTTGTAAATTTAAATAATAAAAATATGACAGCAATCTTATGACTTGAGGACAAAATACTAAATGATGAACTTGTCACAGTGAAAGGTATTTTGAAATTCAAAAAAGGCACCCCTTGAACCTTTCGTTATATTTCGTTCTTGTAAAGCAGAGCAACTATTCATGATTGAGATTTTCGAATTTCAGCGGGACATTGTTTTTCTTAAATTTTCAACAAACGATTCTGTTGGACCAAACAAGACTTGGTTGACATCTTTTTCATTTTTCTCTCAATGTAGAGTAATCGCGTGTCTTCATTACGTTATCTTCACAATTATGTATACATTTACAGTAAGTAATGATAATAATCAACGTCTATTACTCTGCACATAAATATTTGCTAACAGAGGATTTGTTATTTCGATTTTAAAAAATGAATAGATTCGTTTTTGAAACATCATGGGGACATTTTGCCTTCAAATTCATCGATTTTCGCTTCGTCGTCGTGTGATAAACTCGATATGTTCACGCTAAAAAAATGTTTTCGGAGAAAAAATGAAGATAAATTGCTAGTAAAGTGGTAAAACGATCTAGGAAGCTTTCATTAATATTTTTTATACCGCATTCAATACTTGATATTATGCAAATTGGTGTTAATCTTCAATTTCATCATTGAGATAATACAAAACTAAAAAAAATTATTTCGACGCCCGAGCATTTGGGAAAACTACAAGAAAAAAACATAACAGTGATTATAGATTATTCTTTTTTTTGCTACAATTAAAATTTTTATCATTTCCCAGCAGCTCTCCAACACATTTCGCGCACCAATTTCATTCACACTCGTCTTTTCAATGAAATTCCCAGGCAAACAGATCTCACATTTGAAATATCATAATGCCAAACGTCTAATAAAGACAATTATGAATACAATTCTATCCCATTCGATCTGCCATTGAGCTTACAGCAAATAAACTCAATTTTTTAATAAATTTACAATTCAATGATACACATAAAATCGTCAGGTTTCAAAAATAATGATTAAAATATTTGTTTTTTTACAATTAATAAATTGTAGGTACCACGAAAACGCTCGTCATCCAGGATTGAGGCACTCATTTCCCCAAAACTATCACGACTTGTCGATATTTTCACTTGCAGAAATTGAAATAAGTGTTAATTATATTTATTACGTCATGTTTTAGTACGCTTCAATTTTAGATCTGTTTGCATCACTTAAAAAGACACAAAGCAATAGAAGGTAATTCATTGTTGAGGGTCGAACCGAGGGCATTTATTTCACCTGAACTCATATATTTGTATACTGTGCTCGGGTACGTGCCTCAGATATAATGATTGATACCTGCAAATGAAAACAAAATTTATACAATCTATTTCAGAAATTTGCGAAGCATATCTCAGAATGTAAGGCAGTAAAATTTATGTGAAAATCTTTTTTACGGTTTTCATTGCTGTCTACAAAGAAGTCCTGAAAAAAAAATCGTTCTTTCCTCCGGAGAAATAAAATCAAAATTGAAAAAAAACTGTAAAACATTATTATGGAATAAATTCAGTGAAGACAGAATTTTTCCCGTCGATTTTTTATTATATCCGCCGCAGAATTGCAGTTAAAAAAATATTATAACCCACGATAAAACTTACCACTCTGAACTACGATGGTAATAATATCCCTCGATCGAAGCAGCTGATTTTTCGAAGCATATGTAATAGAATCCGGCAAAGGATGCCCCATTGATATCCTTTATAGTGTGATCAGGAACTAAAAAGTGTTCCTTCCATCTCATGAAGACAAAATCAGTCCCTTTAAGTGCTTCATAATCAAAGGTATCAGAATTAAAAGTCTTGGCGTATTGGCAGAACGATTCAAATTTGCTCTGGAAATAAAAAAAACACGTGGGTGAGTAATTCACAGCAAAAAAATTCAAATCGCGTATATGTCATACCCAATGTTTTTTATCGACGTCTTCATCAGCGTCCCATTTACGAGTGAGAAAAGGATATTTCTTTGATATAATCTCACCATCAAAGAACGTCGTTAACGTGGGAAATTCCTCAGTCAGGCCTTTTATTTTCAAATACCCACAGAGATAACTATTTTCCTCATCCACGTGCTGCAAAAGAACAATAATAAAATTACGAAAAGACTATAAAAAAAAATCTGATCTCAAATCTGAGTGAATGTTGTATTTTTCAATAAACGAAATATTAATTGAAGTATAAATCACATTGCAATCTGCATCATGACGAAAGTTAAAGGTGAAAATGATCTTTAAGGCAAGAATTAAAGGAATAATTATCTGAATATTGTATTAATTAGTCAGCAGATTAATTAGTCAGGATTTCGCTGACTTATTGATGCATTTGATTGATAAGTCAAGGAAAATGATTATCAAGATGCAATGGTCGAGATATCTCCCATGACATCTGGACCCCAACTAACCTGCAAAACCACCTCGACATCGTAACTATTTCCCTTGGACTTTTGTGATCCCTGGAACCTTGAGCCGTTGTATAACAATGACTTGGTGACCCCAGGTTGTTTTGAATTGGCAGGTGGTGGTGGCACAACATCCACTTTGACCGGCATCCTCTCGTCAATTGAGTTTATTTAAAAAAAAAAAAACACTTCACGTCAGAATTGCATGCATCGCAAGGTTAATGGTCGCATCAGGTTTTGTCTGGCTGTTTTCACCACTCCCTGGGGACTGTCTTCGATTGAAAAATTGTGATGAGATGAATAAATGGTGAATTTGGCTGAGACGTAGAAAATACGATGAAGTCTTCTGTATTGGTGACACGCAACACGCCACTCCCCTGTTTCACTCGATGAAACTCCGACGAAACTGTAATTCACTGAAAGTCTGAAACTCTCGCCACTCTCGATTGCTCTCGACGCTCAAATTATCGTACAGTCAAAAGTTAGGGGAAAGGGAGACCCGAAAGACGGTTTTTTTTTATTTTAAAATTTGGGCGTCTTTTTCAGGACTGACGTTCGTTAAAACAGGTTTTTTTAATTTTTCGAATTTTTGATTCGGAATTGAAGATTTTTAATTTTTTTTTTATCTCAATACAATATCTTCAATTCCTTTGTCAATGAATTTTGAAAAAATGGATTTGCGCTATTTTTTAAAGAAAAAATCGCACGTTTATCAAAACGGCCAATAAAAAATCACTAAGAATATTTTTTTCATGAATTAAAAAAATTGCAAATGCTGAAGTTTCGATAAAAAAAAAACATTAACATTATAATTCGTTCTACTTCCTAAGGCAATCTTCGTAGAAAAATGCACATCAGTAATTTTTTTTACAAAATTAAAGAATTTTCTAAAATCGTTTTTTCAATTAATAAAAATTTTGCCTAGGAAAAATAGACAGCCCGTATAATTATTCCACATGCACGAATGCATGTACGATTGTGCCGGAAGTTCTTGAAGAGAGGAAGAACCAAAAACAAAATGAGAAATGCCTTTTGCGTTGGAAAAATTGACAATTGTAATGACTGACTCTTCACGATTGGTTGATGAGCAATACCGGATGCTCATTTGGAGCATTCAACTCATCCATACATGGACATACCTCAAATTCCTATTCTTACCTACCCTACCGATGCTGCCAACATACAGGTAAGACAATGTGAGAATAGAAAATCAGAGGATAAACTAGCAAATAATGCCTCTGATTGTCTCCAGCAGCTACTGCCAGCAGCGAGCACCAGCAAAACTACAACTCAATAATTTCCAGAAATATAAGATTGGCGCCACTAACGTCACTTTAAAAACCAAAACATCAACACAACACGCCCCAATTTGAGGACTGATGGATTGGATCAACTGTCCCTGACCTAATGATCCAGTAAAATAATTCCATCCACAACCCTAATCTGTCATCTCCAAATCAATCGATTCAGCAAAAAAAAAAAACACAACAAGCCATGAAAGTAAGCAATAGTCTTTATTTCTCACAAGAGAATTACATCTGCCTGGAAATTACTCAATTATAGAAATAAAGTTTTGAGAAAAAGCATGTTTCTGTCAAGTAAATTGATTAATGGGGGAAATAATTTGTTGTTTTGTTTCAGTGAAGGGAAAATTCTTGGGAGTCGGCGCATGAACAATTCGTGATGCGCCCTCTCTTCTTATCTTGACACAAAATTCCAGACCCCTGAGGGTCGTCCATTGCGGACATTCAGAATCATACAAAGTCCACCCTCAGAACAGTGACAACTCGACTCCCCTCAGTATTCGCAAATGAAAAATCCAAACGTATACCTCGGGAAAAAAAATCGTCAAATAATTTGATAACAGATCATCGTTCGCTGCCAAGGCGTCTGCTGACGCATTTTATTGTCAATAATCTTTATCCAGGATTGTCAATTTGAGTAAGTCATCGCGAATGCATGATTATTCAAAATTGCATGTTTCACACAATGTTTCATGATTCCATCAGTCACTCTATTTACATTCTATCAACATCGATGTGTCCTTTGTCTCTTGAGCTGTCAACATTATTTTCTGACAGCTGTCTATTTTCAAACCACTGGAAACTACGTCATGCGGACAAGGCACGATCGATAGACTTCTTTGTTGCTCCATCCAAATAACGAAAAAAAAAATATTCAAAGTCGTTTTTCTATCCTCCTTTCTATCCTATATCACCTCGACTTTTTGAATACTTGATACGAGTGTAACATGATGATGTCACGTATTTTTTAAATCTATTGCGTTCACTTCTTGTTCATCATTCCATCGGATGATGACCTCGTAATTACGTCACATTAACAAGGGAAAGACCTAAATTCAGGGCACTACGATCGTTGTTATTTGAGTTGTTGCTTTAGTACAAAGAATATTGCTGTAGAAATTTTGATGGTTCTTCATGCACGTAAATATCACTGTTTTCCTTAAATTTATTCTTATTAGTACGTGACGGATTTTAAAATGATCAGCCTGCATGATTAAATTGGGGACAGTCTAAAAGGCAACAAAGTACAAGGCACAAAGTTCGAGCTGTATGATGACAATCTAATCGCACGATTGACACATTGAATCCAATCAAGACCAATCTGCTCAAATGGCCATTCGTACGATTAACAATATTACGTAAACCTTCAATGGTATTTTTATCTTGGAGATCATTTTTCTGAGACTGGATTCTTCGGTATTGACCTCTTAGATTTCTATTCTTCGATTAAGTCGAGTTTTCCAATTGTCTGTCTGAAACTCAAGGTCAAAAATAATGAAGTATGATGTTTCACCGTTGTATCATGGCTGCAGACATTCTATATATACAGATCCAATTCAATTGTTTATTGCAATAGATATAACGGTAGTGATCGTCCTTGCATCGTCCACATGTTTCCATGTTTTCATATTAAATTCCTCTGGTGTTGGAGATAATGAAGGCCGATTACTTGGAGGCAAAATTTATCCTATTTTCAGAGCGTACGTACGCCACTTCCAGAGGTTCATTTCGACGTCAAATACGCGACTATAAATAATTAAAATAATATGATTAATGAATTAATTAATCAGAGAGGGCGTTTTTTACATTTTTTTAAAAACATAAAAATTGAAATATCTCGAATACTTTGTAGGACAAATATATTCTGAGTGTCTACTTGCTCCGGCCCCCAAACATTTTAGCGCTCCAATAGTGGAATCTATTATCATGATGAGTCAGAGTCAACCCAGGGCTTCTCAGCTCTGGAGTTTGCGAGAAAACACCTGGGGTTAGCCCACTTCCCCTTCCCCTGTGATTTAAATGATTCTGCACTTGCCCAGCTCCGAGGCGACGAGTCAGTGAACGCTCGAGGGAACGTGATCGGGAAACGGCTTGCCACAGCACAACTACAACATTAAAAATTACAGTCCAGAGGTACACGTGAACACGCGGATCCCCAGTGATGTCCACGTGATCAGAGCATGCAATCCAACAACGGCATCGACCGTATTTTTCCCTCCTCAAAGCCCCTCCACCCAACCGGTCTCTTCATTCTCTATTTCTCCGTGCTCTCACCATTATTCTCAACTGTGCCTGTTATTTTAAGGATGTTCCACACATATATATCGAAATCCACCTTTTTTTCAATTTTTCGAAAATTATTGAAATTTTGTGAGCCATTAAATAAATGACAAAACGCAAAAACGTGATGTTTTTTCAAGTCAATCCCATAGTGATTCCGTTATTTTTTAAAGAAAAATGAAAAAGCGTTAATTCCGGCTATGGGTGTGGACATGGGTGTGGAATACCCTTAACTTCGCTGTATATTCTCTCATGCTTTGATTTTTTATACTTCGTTGATTAAAACAATTATTTTTACCAAGTAAATGTAAATGTACTTCAAACAAATATCACCTGATGAGTAATTTAATGTGGCGTCTTGAGTCACCTGTTTGCTTTGGTTTATCAAATTATTTGCTGGTTTTACAGCTACCTTTTTGATTATCTCACTTCTACCCTTTTTTTATTGGGGGTTCAAGTGCTCGAGTAATTGAACCCTATACAATATATTATTCAGTCGTCTAATTCGTATCGTTTATTCCTAGGAATGGAATGACTTTAAGGCCCGGATGGATTATCAGGAAAATATCATTTACTCCGAAATTTGGACTGCTAGTTACTCCGGAAATTAATCATTTTTTTCTAATAATTGTTAGCTAGCGCCGTAGCGGTTGTTAACAACTAGAGCGCTAGCTAACAATTATCGGAAAAATCAATTAATTGATGAAGTAATTAGGAGTGCCAAGTTTGGAGTAAATCATCTTTTCCAGACAATCCAACCGGGCCTTGAATTGAATTTAAACGAGTTTCCTAAAAATAAACTATGATATAACCGAAACTAATTCCATCGTTTACACTCGACGGATTAGAAATCAGGTAATTAGTCGACATGATCTTGTTATCACTTCGATTAAAAAAATATATGTAACCGTTCCATAATGTTTACCACAAGCTTGTTACGAGATCTCCCGCAAAGGATATGGATTTTTCTTATCATTATTTTACTGATTCTCGATAATTCCTGAAAAATCTCATAAACAAGCGATAAGAACGTGTTGTCTATGAGACCCGTGGGAAATATTCGCATGTGCGCACATGTAGTAAACTAGATTTAATTAAAAAACAATATTATTGATCTGATAATACAGGATGATAAGACTATGAATATATATAACACCTCATTTTTTAGATCAGGCATGTCTACTCATGTTGTCTAATCTGTTAAGGACGTTCTAACTTCATCTCATTATATTCCGTGATTATATACTCAGGTATATAGTGAGTATATAGTGAGTATATAGTGAGTATATAGTGAGTATATAGTCAAAACCTGCCCATGAAAACCAAAATACACTTTTGTTTATTACAAAAAAAGCAGAACTTGTATATTTTATAGTAGTAATCCAGTTTATTCTATTTTCAATACAAAAAGCAATTCGTTATCGATTCCACCATCTGCGAGAAATTAATAGAATTTAGGAGATTATGTGATACATTTTTTCCCGTGTACGTGAAAAATAATTCATTGGCAAAACGAATGACTGAATTTTATGAACGAAATATGATCGCGGGTAATTTCTACGTCATTGAAAATATGAACAAAGTACAACGGTCGTCATTGTCCATGTCATAATTATTTTTTGTTTTCAGTTTTTGCTGAATGCTGGGGTTGTCAATGAGTTAGACAAACGGTGTGAATAGTTATTTCAAGGTGCCTTTCTGGGTTTCTAATGTCCACTCTCAATATATCCATAATTTTGCAATACGTCTTTCTCAATAAAAGTATTGTTTCCCTATTTTTTCAATCCGTTCTATTCTATTTATACTTCAGACTGCGTACTTTCTGTTTTCCAGAATGAGCACGTGCGGTTATTAAATGAAATTGAAGCGAGAAGATAACCCGATATTCCAGAAAATGCGCAGAATGTTGATTGTTTGCGTAGAAAAAAACTCGAAAAACTATGATTCTGTATCAAAGTATCAAGCGACGTTGACACACATGCAATCAATTTCAAGTATTAATTTTTTTCGAGCAAAAAAAAGGTCATGAGAAACCACTCGTTATAATTACGTTGCAATTACATAGTGATGATGTGGTTGTGCCATTCAACTACTGCACGTACTGCACAATTGCCCACATATTGTTCAATTTATGAGATTCCCCAATAGAGGCATGTTCGAGAACGAACTTGAGAATTATTGCGTAATTAATAATCGAGGATTTTTATCGGGAATATATTTAAAAAATAGAGGTGAAGATAAATGAAAAAGTGAGGTGTTTACTTCGTGAGATCACGACTCACACCGGGTTGTGATGCGTGGCTTTAAAGAGAAGAAAAAAATAAGCAGTTGCTTGCACGCATTCTCCGAGTGTTCGGCGAGCTCATCCCCACCACAAATATCCGATGTTTTCCCCTGTGTTATTCTGAGGAGTCGTATAAAAGCGAATGAGAAACCTGGCCTCGGATTAGTACACAACGCTCAGCTGTTCGGATAATAACAATACATTGTTAAAGTCGTTGAGGTCCCATCAAGAATTGTCTAATTGTCAATCATTCAAATTTAGTGACAATGATTCATACTCCAGAATAGAGGAAATTACGAAATTCGTGGTTATCGCTTCTTTGACAATTCAAACGACAATTAGAAGTCGTTAGTCGTTCAGTTCTCTAATCGAAGTGAAAAACAAAGAAATGCCTGTCGAAGTAGCTGCACCTGGCCAACCTGCTCATGGCCCTCACAAAGCTTTTAATGGGTATATTTTATTTTATTCTTTATTATTTGAATTTCATGATTGTCGATTTTCAGTGCCCTTGGACTTACCAATTACTGTTTATTATGCAATTGAACTTTCATTTTTCTCGATTTGGAGTGGACAGCTGAATATAAATATGATGAATCATTCGAAGATGTTTTCACCAAAATTGGCCAAAATTGAATGGGAGTATTTTAAATTTTTTCAGGGAATCTAAGAAGATGAATAAACTTTGCCGTCAATTGTCAATTGAGAGTCCAAGCGTAACGGGACGTGATTGTGTCTTCAGTTTCGATGTACCAGTGCCAGATGTACCTAGTCATGGGGCTAGAATTCGTGTTGTATGCGCTGGTGCCTGTTACCATCCAAAACGCTCGCCAAGCCTCACAAGTCTGACATCAGTATCAAGTTCAAGTAGTCTGGCAACTGAAGCATCTCTAGAGGGTGATTTTCCAGTTACTCTGCCACATCATGGAGTGAGAGATGCCTCTTTATTTCCTGGATATGAAGTTGCTGGTATCGTTGAATCACTTGGATCAGGACTGAGCGAAGACTGTGGATTTACCGTTGGCGATCGAGTTATACTTTATCCATACGAGGGCATTCCAAATGGTTACGTGGAGTATCTCGTCGTTCATGATCTCAAATACCTCATTAAAATACCAGATAACGTATCACTGAGTGTCGCTGCAATGCTACCTGCTGGTGCTCTACTTGCTATGAATACAGTATTTGCGGCACACGAACACGTTCAGGTACCAACAATTCAACTTATTTATATTTTTCATTGGACATTGTTGTTTTGTTTTTATACGGTCACGCGCGTGCTCTCTCTTTCAATAAACAAGTGGATTTCTCCTCTTGTTGAATGGGTCATGACGAAGTATTGAATTCTTTGCGTCAATTCTCAATGTTATTCTCCACAATGTTTATTAATGATTCATTTGTTCCTGCAGCAACTGGTGAAAGAGCGTGGTGAAAACAGCATTTGCAAGATTCTGATCGTTGGCACTGGTGGATTGGCTCTGTGGGCTCTGAGAATTGCCGCCTATCACTTCACAAATATGCGAGACAAAGTCACAATAACAATTGCCTCGTTAAAAGATGATGGATTGAAAATGGCACAGGAATTTCAGCGGTAACTACTACAAGATATTTAATTTATCATTCGATGAGCCATCAGATTAATTTTTGTACCTCGACATTACGGGGAGAGGGAATTTTTTATTTGGGGCCTCATGAAATTTAGATGATTATTTAGATGAAATAAAAATAATGTCAATGTGACAGTGCATTCATTTTATTCACAAGCAGTGTGAATTTGAATTCCAGGGTGAACGTAGTGGAGTGGAACGAGGGCCTCTATGAGAATCAGCTAATTGAACGCACAATGGATGCCTGTCGAGGTCAGGTGGATGTTGTTATTGACTTTGGTACAACATCGAGAAGCCTCCATCGCAGTATGCAATGCCTAAGTAAAGGTGGAGTGGTTTTCGTGATGAAAGAAGTGGCAGATCGTCTATTACCGAAATTCAGTAGACGGGCTGAAGAGAGACAAATCAGTATAAAGTCAGTTGAACTTGGCACATTGGAGCAACTCACTGAATTAGTCCAATTGGTTGCTTCTGCTGAAATCGAACCGCCACCACACACGGTTTATCCAGCTGAGGAGGCAATGGATGTTGTTCATAAACTTTGTCATTCACAGATTCAAGGCAGAGCCATCCTTCGTTTTTATCCCGCGGATTAGACCCTGTAATTGAGGTTGAAAACCTGAGGACATCAGTTATCGCTGATTATTGATGATTCTCGATGAACGACGCATCGATATTCATCGGACGAGGGCATTTTGTAGTGTGATCAGTGGAATGGATTTCGTCTTGGATGATCAATGTCTAGGTTGGCATATTGGAAAGAGATGGGAGTCACTTCGCAGAGATTAATCATATAATAAACATGAGTATGTAGCGTGGTAGTTCGTTTTAATTATCATGATGAACGCATACAGAGTTCGATATTAATAATGAGTATTTACGTGAAAATTCAACATTTTTGTGACGAAGTCGTGAGAGAATTTCATGAAAATTTTTCAATTCCCTCGATCGTAAAATTTTCAGCAAATACTTCTTACATTTTACTCCAAATCATGTACAGATCTTTCATCACTCCAAGTCTTATTGGAAAGCATAAAATCAGTGGGATTATTCACTTCGAAATTTGTATATGCTTTAAGTCTCAATGACTTAAGAAACTGGTTAATGAAAAAGTTGATGCAGTATCGAGATAGAAAAATTTTTTGTTTTACAAGCTGTACCAGTTGTTTAGAATAAGCATTTTCATTAGTATATGTGAGCTACAATTTTGTCAGAAGTACTGGACGCTCGACTGCGCCTTAAAAATCATAAGCCTTATTATTAATCCTAGATCAGTATTGCTGTGTTGAACTTTTTTGAGACTGTAAAATTTTTTTTTTATGAGATGGTCATTTTTTTTCAGTCATCTGTAATCAAATGTAATACGTCAAAGTTTTCTTGTAACGCACTGCATCATAATTTTTAAGATTTTATGGCTAATGTCATACCAGTGATGTATTCTGCTATAAATCTTCGTAATATAATGAATATGTTTCTATTTAAATGACTGCAGTGGTGTTTTTTCATTCATCCTTTTTTTTTCTATCATTACAAATATGACAGTGGGATTGCTACTGAGGCAGTTACCGAGTCGGCTGATGGCCAGACACCCCTAAGCTATGGACACCCCCATTTCGTGTGGCGCCCTCCCTCTCTTGGAGTGCAATACTATGATGCCGCTGAGGTCACTCAAACCCCCAGAACTGAGCCTCTACTTTAGTCAATCCTCTTTGATTAGCCGTGTGCATTCCCATTGGTGCCCATTGACCCATATAACGCCGCAACATTTTTATTTCCATTTGTCTTCAAACACCTAGTAATCATTGGACCATTACAAAAATTGGGTCGACCTTTGACATAAAACTCTTCTTGATTGAAACACAATGTCGAATGACCCAATTCAGTACTCCGAAAAGTATCAAGATGATACCTATGAATATAGGTTAGTTATTGATCTCGTGCTTCAAAATATTCTAACATGAATTATTAAAGCATTTTATCTGCATTCTATCCTCACGTTTCAGACATGTCATCTTGTCGAATGAGATTGCCAAGCATGTGCCAAAATCTCACTTGATGACAGAAACAGAGTGGAGAAATCTTGGAGTCCAACAGAGCCCTGGATGGGTCCATTACATGATGCACGTTCCAGGTAAAATCTCAATTATTATTAAATTATTATTATTGTCACTTATTATTAAATCTTCGTATTGATTTTGCTTGCAGAACCTCACGTATTACTATTTCGTCGTCTCAGAGCTGACATTGTCTCTGCAGTAAGATGCAGTGTGAATGAGCCAATAGCCATGAGATGCAACTGAGTAAAAATGAAATATCAAATGAGAAAACCACAAGTTAATGAAGTAAATTAAAATTTATTTTTCACATAATAGAGAGGTACATGATGGCAATTACATTACACAATTACGAAAATCCCCTAGGAGACCACCACAAATGGAAACTGATGACTCAAAAGTATCTAATAAATTCTATTTTTTGGTAGACTAAAAAAAATATAACAGATGTCAATCGTAATCTAGCAGTAAATATTTCAACGAGCCAATTGCGTTATGAGGGCTGCACACATTTCGAAAAATTCCATAGTATGATGGCCAGTTGATTGAGACGGGAGAGATGTAGGATCTGCAAGAAAATTTTAATTATCATGTATAAATTGTTATGCTAATTACGTCAAGTGAGCGAAGTCGTGAAAGTAGACAGCTAAGACAATTGCAAAATATTTTTTAATACGACTAATTAGTTTTTAAGTTTTCTCTGTAAATTTTAATTCTCAAGTTTTATGAATATATTCGATCCAAAGAAATAGATAAATACCCTTCATGAAATCGTCGGTCTCATCATTCGCCAGTGATTTGAAATCTAAGAGGTAGCTTTTGTAATCAACTTGATAAAGCTGGAGAGACATTTTGCTGTGTCTATTTGCCAACTTATTCTGCTGTCTAACGCGAACACTGTAGGCGTTTATAATTTTCCACTCGAAATTTAATGCTTTCATGGCACGATAAACTTCATTCATGATGTCATTCGGTTTGGATTGGGACCTGATGCCTAAATGCCATTTTGCTCGTTTGACAGGGGTCCCTCGAGCTCCTTGAGGTAAAGGCTGAGCACTAGGCTGTGATCCCTGTCTCTCTCGTAAAGCTGAAAATCATTAGCCCGTATTATTTTAAAAATTAATGGTCGCTTGGATGAAGCGTCAAAACAACAACCAGAACGTACAAAAACGTACAGAAACATCTTCAACATCACAGAAACATAGATAAATCATAATTAAAAACTAAACAGACCCTTACGTGCGATTCGCTCTGGATGCGGTCTGAGAGGGCTGTTGGAATTTTCACTGGGGCTGAATGCGACTGGAGGTGGGCTCGAAGCAACATAAAAATCCTTAATCTCAGCCTTGGCAGCCTCATCAGCGATCCTTTTATTATCAATAATGAGATGATAAGCGATTGCCAGTTGATCATGTGGATCACCAGCCAACAATGCCGAGTGCACCTCAGCCTCTTTAACATTGAACTTCTCGCATACTTCATTAATAGCATCAATATCGATGACTGACGAGTCTTGCTCTACTGGAGATGGGAAGAGATACGTTGGTAAATCCTTTTGAAACCACTCATGCTTCTTTATGTCTTCTATCGTTGCACGTTTCATCGGATCGACTTGAAGCATATGGCATAAAAGACTAACTACGCTTTTGTTTAAATACTCGGGAATTGGAAATATTCCAGATTTAATTTTTCGAAATAGTGTGGGCACGTGTTCGTCGTCGAATGGAAGTGTACCACAGAGTAATGCGTATAAAATCACTCCACACGACCAAATATCGACCTCTGGGCCAGCGTACAGTTTTCCTGATATTACTTCGGGTGCTGCGTAATTTGGTGAGCCACAGGATGTTCTCAAAAATTCACCATCCATCATCATATTTGAGAGACCAAAGTCTGCGATTTTAACATGCAAATTGTGATCGAGTAGCAGATTCTCTGGTTTGAGGTCTCGGTGGACGATCATGTGTCGATGACAGTAATCAACACCTGAGATTATCTGCTGGAAGAATCGCCGAGCCTCGTACTCTTTTAGCTTTCCATGCTTAACGATGTAATCGAATAATTCACCTCCTGACACATATTCCATTATCATGAATATATCCGTTGGAGTACTGATAACCTGATACAATTTAATGATGTGTGGATGCCGAAATAACTTAAGGTTCTGAATTTCTCGTCGAATCTTTCCGACGACATCTAAACTCTTGATCTTCTGTCGATTTAAAATCTTCACTGCGACTTTGTGTTTTGTTAGAACGTGTTCTCCAATTTTCACTTTTCCAAATGTACCAACCCCTAGTGTTTGACCCAAAGTGTAATGTCCAATTTTGACAATGGGCTGAGGCTGATTCGCCACTATTTTCTCAGCCATTTTCACAAGTCGTTGATTAACAATATTTCTTTTTCCTAGAAACAAAAATAACGCATGATTGCATTGTCCATAGATGACAATCATTCAAATATATCTCCTACTGATCAGATGTTAATGAATCGTACGAGGAGAGCGAGATTGTTTAACCTATATACCAACACCTGCCAACAGACAATTACCTCAAAAAATGAATTTATTTTTCGCCAGTGTACGAGTACACGAGTAATTTTCTGCTTCTACGTATCTTCATCGATCGAAGTTCCTTCTGTTTATAATTACTGCATATTCATCATCTTTGATTCACCATTTCGACAGCCACTTTCAATGTCATACGGGGAACATCCACTCCTTTAAAATTGTTTACGTCAATTCATAATTCACCAAATCCTATTCGTTGATGTTTGTCAACTCACATTGATAAGATTGTACTCTAACGTAACTTGATTTCGTGATAACTGAGATATTCATTGGCATTCCTTGAGAACCAATCTAATCCCCTACCCTAAAACCATTTTTCTTTCTTGCACTCACAAAAAAATGAAACAACAACAGAAAATCTCTCGAAACTCACAATAATAATTCTGTAGAACTCATGAGACGAGCTGATGATAAGGCCGAGAAGTTGATAAAATAGACTTCATGCAAACTCAAAGAGAATTGACTAAAGTAGAGGCTTAGTTCTGGGGGTTTGAGTGACCTCAGCGGCATGGGAGTACTGCACCCCAAGAGAGGGAGGGCGCCACACGCAATGAGGGTGTCTAAGGTATGATACAGGGAGGTATTGCCAAGCTTTGATGTCGCCGACACCAAATTGCTGGTGGCTCCAGAGTGGCATTATTAGTAACAAAATTAGTGTGACGTCAGTCTGCACTGTACACAGACACCGGTTTATTTGTTAAAAAAGACTGTTTATAATGATTCGCGCTGGTAAATTAATTATTATTTGTTTAGCGTGTGTTATTGTTGTAACGATTAGTACAAGATCGAGAGGAAGTGTCGAGGAGCTGAATGAGGAGAATTGGGATCGCATGCTCGTCGGGGAATGGATGGTGGAGTTGTAAGATACCTTCAACTTTATTTTTCAATACCTCATCATTGATTTATTCGTGATTTATTAGTAAATGGTATTTTTCAATGCAGTTTTGCCCCTTGGTGTCCTGCTTGCAAAGACCTGGAGCCCATTTGGTCACACTTAGGAGATAGAAAGGGAGAACTTGGCATCAATGTTGGAAAAGTAGACGTCACTGATTCACCGGGGTTAAGCGGTAGATTTATGGTCACTGCTCTACCCACAATCTATCAGTATGTTCTGGATATATTTTCTACATTTATAATCATTATTTCACATATACATTCAACTGTATTTATATATTTATGTTTTTAGCGTTAAGGATGGCTTATTTCGGCAATATAAGAGCCCGAGGGACAGAGATTCTTTGGTGAATTTCGTTAGATCAAAAACGTGGTTGAAAGTCGAGCCAATCTCCAGCTGGAAGAGTCCCACCTCTATACAAATGTCCATTATCAGTCAATTTTTCAAAATGTCTCAAGTTCTCAGGGTAAGTTGAAGATTTTTTATTTGATTTATTCTTTTAAATAATTTTGCTATCAACAATAGGGATTAATACATTTTTTTTAGTATTTTCACATTTAAATTAATTGTACTACACATTTTAATATAACGACACTCCTCCTTTTGATGATTGTCATGTATTATATGATGGCCTGTTCATTACAAATAATCTTATGAATTATTTCTTCAATAAATAAATCAAATTGCTGAAGAATTAATTAGCACCGTGTTATCTAGGCTATTCACACAAAACTAATGGAAGACTTTGGTTTACCAACGTGGGGAAGTTACCTGATCTTTGCTATTGCCACAATAATTATCGGGGCAATATTGGGATTATTGATTGTCTGCGTTATTGACTTCATCTACCCACCGAAGCCCGCAAAAGCCCAGAACTTAAATAGGAAGCGAAAAGAATCTGGCGATCGCAAGGAGAAAACTTCAGACGATGAGGACTTCATCGAGAATGTGAAAGATGATTTGGTCGACGAAGAGGGGAGTGAGTCGGATAAAGACGCAGATAAATCCGAGAAAAGTGAAAAAGCCACTGAAGCAAATGCCAGCAGTCCAAATGCTCGTAAACGCAAGCCTCGTAAAGCCGATTAAATAAATTCGTCATTTTACCTTTCCATCGATACCTCTACTTTAAAGCCAAGAACTCAATAGGTCTTTTAATTTTTTTTTTTTTTTTCATATCCTGGCAGTTACTATGATTATTATCCATTATTTTTTAACGTCAGCTATTTCATTTATAATTGTAGGGGAAAAATATCCGTCATTTTATAATTGAATTAAAAAATTGTAATGGACTGCTAAAACATAAGTTGATGAATTGTCATTAAATTTTGCGATTATCGTAATGATTGATGATTTTTCACTGTAAAACTGTAACAGATGAGTGAATACTTAATAGTGATTTCATTTTTACTCATTACGTTGTACCGACTCCAATTAATAATTATTGCTGTTCAACCGATATTCATTCCAGCTCAAGTGGCATTTTAAAAATATTAATTATACATTGAGTAATATAATTCTTTCTTAATGAAATAAAATTTGATATTTAAAGATACCATTAGTTAACTGCATTTGTTCTTGGGGATCAAAAGGAATTATTTCAATGATAGACATTAATTCAACTGTCGTAAGCAGTGTTTATTCCTTTCCTTAATCAAATTATTTTCAGTACTTAAAAAAAAAATACAAACAAAAAATGAGTACAATTATCCCGTATTTGTGACTGGAGGCAATCGGGTTACACTTTCTCATCTAGATTGCGCCTGATAAATTAATTAAGACAAAAAGATGAAATCAAGGATTGATAAAGAAAAAATGAACTGTTTAAAAATAAAGAGATCAAACATTTAATTGTCACTTGAATATAAAATTAAAAAGTTCTTATTTTTATTCTATAATCATAATAATAATAGTAATAATCAAGAATAAGGACAATTATAAGAATCAGTAAAATTTGCTTTCCGTGGTCTTGAGTCGATTGATTTCATTGCTACGTATTTTTTTCTCTGTACGTAATAAAATCATTCATCATTCACATGTACACATACAATGCAATTCAAGCAAGCAATTCCATCGCTTCAGCACAATTTATTTATATATAATTAAAGTCAGACATTAAAATTGCAAATTAAATCAATGACAAACAAAATGTCATTTTGATAACAAAGGAGTTACATCGTACGTTTGCAGCCTTTTTTTTTATTGAATTTTTATCCTAGAATTTCTGATTTTTCATTCATCCATGGATTCAGGGAATGTTGAATAAAATATTACGAAAAGTTGGGGTGGACATTTGCGATGAAATAGATCTCTCGTATGTTCAATGAACCTGATTTTGTCAAACCTGAGGGGATTAGGCTTGAAAATCATCCATTTTTCCAATCTCTTCCCTCATATTACAAATGAAGAACATTCGTGAACTTATCTACAATGCATAGATAATGAAAACATTCATGCATCATCAATAAACATCATTTATAACACGTTGTAACTCCTGTTGTAAGGTGCCCTCAATTTTTGCTCTTTATACAATGGATTTCCACAAATTAAATCGCAGAATTAATAGGTGATTTATAAATAATATGAATTCGAGGAATGAGTCGGCAGAATTTTTGTCCTTTTGTGGTGAGAGTAATGAAAAGTGGGTAATTTCCGTAGTATTTTTGTTCAATTAATGTCCGATTGCTTGAAAAATCCATTTAGCTTCTGGACATTCAGTGAGTAAAGTCAAAATTGACACAATTTGGTCATTTTCGAAAATGTCAATATGAATACAATGGCAGTCTATGCTCAATTATTTTGTTTGTCTTTTTTTAATCTTCCAAAATGGCTTGTTTTTAGCTGTGCATTATTGTTATCTTGTTTCAACTATTGTCGCCTTGACCATCAGCTCTCCGTTATTTTTCTTATGAATGTATATAATTGTATAAAATTATCTTCCCAATTGCTTCACGTTCTTCTTCCGTGTTTTATGAATTACAGTAAAAATTGCCGAATGAGTATTTTCAAACATGAAATATTACGTTCTGCGCTTATATTTTTCAATTATTCTCCCGCTTACCAGTAAAAACAATATATACCTTGAGCTTGGACAAATAATTACACTGAATAAAGTCTAGTCCGAATAAAAGCGTCAGGATATCGGTCTCTCGGACAAAATAATGATCTCTTAATTACTTATTAAATCCACGTGAGTTCTCCACCTGTTATTCAATTATACCTCCTCTTTCACTAGTGTTCAAGAAATACATTATAATACAAACATTCATGCAATATAGTACATCGAGACGCGATTACAGTCTCAAAATCAGTTCGATTGTATAATGATTATCTATATTTACTAAATCTCTTCACCCTTGACAATATCAACACAAAGTGAGAAGGTAGGAAAAACGGAAAACTAAAAAAATTCAAGGTCTGATTGGATTATCTTTCGGACATTATTTTTGTCGATTTTCGCCGTTTTTTTTTTCAATTTGAACATTTCTATTTTCTTTTACCATGAAATCTTCGAAATGTTCTGTAATTAATTTCAACGGAAAGAAAATAAGTGGCGGAAGGGAGAGATATCTAATAGGCATTGAAAGCCTCACAACAGAATTTATCCCATATGACTGAATCTGATCTTACTTTCCGCCTGAAACATGGCTCCTTCATCTACATCTCAACTACGAATGAATTCTCTTCGTCAACTACATTGATTTTTTCTTTGTATTTGTTGAATCATTAGCGCGATAAAATAATGATTTTTATGTATTTTGCTTTTCTTCTTCAATCATCATAAACTACAATAAAACGCCTAAGCTTTATATCACAAAACATTCTGTGTTTCTTATCACGACTCAACTAAGTTCTACAAATTTATCAATAATTATCATTTCTATTTTCCATTTCGTTTTCTTTTGCATCTTCCATTATTATTTCTCACGTTTCAGCGCTCGTTATATTATTTATCATGACCCTAGTCACGTAATCAGTACCTGCATTATTTTATAACAATTTCATCTTAAAAATCATTATTCGTTATTCATCACTCAGCTGTCATCGATCATGAAAATCTAATCACCTCTAGTAATGACAGACTGATATATCTAGAGTCATAATGTGCATCAGTGCAAAAGAAAAAATTAAAATTAATAAATTATTTACAAAAAACACTCTAATCGCTGAGTTGTACAATCCCTGCGTAGTTTTGAGAATGTCATGGGGATTTTATTGATAATTGATATCTACTCTTCTACTATTCATAGAACGAATCGATTGAGGGCGATATACTTCTACGAATTCCCAATTTTAGGAAATAATTACATGATTGTTGTGACATTCTCTCGAAATGCATTAATCCTTAAAATAATTACAAAGAATTTGTCTCGAAATATCGTTTCAATAAATCATTTATCACGATTGATTTTTCGATTGCCTCTCCCCATAGAAAACAGCTGCTTCCAAGCATTTTCATGGGTGCAAAAAAAAAAAACAAAAAAAAAATCAAACTCCCTTGAATGAGAAAATTTCTGCAGTTACCTCATCATATTTCCAGTGAAATCACTGAAGAATACTCCCCTGGTCTCTCCAGCAAGAATATAAATTGAAGCTTCTTTCAACAATTGTGTAAATGCCTTTTAAATTCCACATGACATCCTCAAGTATAACTCACTCTTCTCGACTTCCACATCAACCCCAAATGGCACTTGGCCCCCATCGTTCAGGGCAAACCCTCTGAAAACCACACGGTACACATGAAACAGCAAAGACAAAATCATGAGATAGATTTATCACCACAAATGTAGAACACTGTCTTTAGCAACGACAAATCTGCTGGAGCCACCGGACGAACCGTGTGAACTGTGACTGTCGTGGGACGACTCATGAGATCCATTGTGCGAGTGATGATGCGAGTGATTTGATTGTGTAATCGACAATTGATTGGACGCGATTGGATGGGCCATAGCAACTGGAAGATGTTTAGCTTGAATGGTCGATCTTTGATCACTGATTTGACGGATTTTGTTAGTAATACCAGCTGATCCTAGGTTAGTTTTACTGGAGCTTCGACTACTGGATGCTGGTACAACGGCAGTTGATTGGACAGACTGGCCATCAGTCTTGTCATCCGGAGGCTTTGGTAGCCTCCGCCTGAGCCACGGATGCCTGAGGGCTTTAGCTGGCGTCATTCTTTGCTCGGGATCCCATTGCAAACATTTGCGAATGAAATCGAGGAAGAGTTGATCCTCACAGCCTTTAAGTGCGTCTTTAAGGTCCTTCGAGGCAGGTGGACCACGTAATTTACCTCTTCTGGAGATGCTACCATGGAGAAGAGTTGCACCATTGGCGGTTGTACTGGCTTTACAATACCTGGGATAGCCCTTGGAGCTGAAGAATTGGCGCGAGCGCTTCGAGCTGTCTATCATTTTCCTTGGGGGCATACCAAGCAGCTCGATAATGCAAGCTAGTTGATCACCTTCGTCTTCTCCTGGTAGGAGGGGGAATCCGGTATAGAGCTCAGCGAGAATGCAACCCAGACTCCACATATCTATCGGCATTCCGTACTTAGCAGCTAATATAACTTCTGGTGCACGGTAAAATCTACTCTGAATGTAAGTGTAAACTCGCTGATCTTCATAACAGCTTGAGCCGAAATCAATTACCTGAAACACGAGTAAATAGTCTTTATATGTATTCATGAAAAAAGGGAAGAACAATTTTTTAGTGGACAATCGTTATACACTACCTTAATGCCACTTCTTCCTTGCTGCTTCAGTAATACATTTTCTGGCTTCATGTCACAATGAATAATCTTGTTCTTGTACAGTGCATCCAAACATTGCAGCAATGAGTGACAGAACTTTCTAACTAGTTGGAGGCTGAAGCCCTGGAACTTATTTTTCTTGATAAGCTCATAAAGATTAATGCTCAACAACTCAAAAGTAATGCACATGTGATTTCTGAAGGTGAAAGAATCAAACATATGAATAATATTCATTGTATTGTCTTTATCCTGTTCTCTTAGATTGGCAAGTATACGTATTTCCTCCTGGGCTTGTCTATGGAATCGCCTCTCATTCCTCACAATTTTTAAAGCAATGTGCTCATGAATTTTATGATCGTAAGCTTTAACAACTTGTCCAAACGAGCCTTTACCAATAACTTTGAGAACTTCGTATCTATATGCCACATGATCGTGTGCTGAATGAATATAACTTCCCTGATCATTATCATAGAGGTGATTGTTGGGTAATCCAAGACTTGCCGGTATTTTCTGCGCATTCGCTCCAATGAAGTAAATCTGTGGATACGTAAATATCTCATGCTGCTCGTACTCCGTCAATTTATTCATGTACAGCTTCATAACAATCTCAGGTGTTATCGCCATTTTTGGGATAACCCGACTCGAATTATTACCCTCTGTTCGTCCATTTTTGCCAAGGGGACTGTTTGTCTGACTGTTTGATTGGGAATGAGGATTATGATTCGAATTGTTGCTGTTGTGACTCGTGTGAGAGCTCAAACTCAGGTTTAAACTCTCTGAGTTACTCGTTAAATTTTGCAAACTGTTGTTTGCACTTGAGCCCAAACTTGGCAGATGTGTACTGCCGCTGTGGGAGGAATGGGTGAGATGTGATGGTGGTGATTCACCAGATTTTACCCCATAATTACCAGATTTTAACGGTGGCAGATGATTATTTTCACTCGTTGAGATGTACGACTGTGTTGAAATAGCGCTCATAGGCACAAACGGATTTGGTAGTGACAAGGGCATCTCGACGGCGCTACACATTTGTAATTATAACAAAAAAATTCATTATTCCATCTTCCCTCCGTTCATTATTTTATATCGACAATTATCGTACGTATCTTTTCTAGTTGCTAGTCATTTTGATAATATCGTCATTGATTCTCCGTTTACATCATTATTTCCAACTAATAAAATTCTCGAGTGAGTGGATACAATCTCCATTATGAGAATCAATCAATTATTTCACGATAAAAATTTAGAGATTACTCAGGATATCACCATTAAAAATTTGTTCTACTCTCTTTAAATTTGTCTGCACGATTTTCCCGATGCATTAGTTGAAATGCAGTTGGACTAGTTAGAAAATATTTTCCTCAAATTTTCATTTATTCATTTCCCCTGTTGCTGATGATGACTTTCCATCGACGAGTCAATCGTGGAGACTTAATGAAAATCAAATGAAATGTTCCAAACGATTTTTCCTAATACTTTATCACATATCAGTCATTTCGTCTGGTTCACCATCAACCTTCTCCCTTGTACGTTTTATTTTTCGCACTCTCAAACGTGCTTTCGTACGTCTAATTTTACAGTCTATCGTACACGAGGACAAACACATTATGAGTTTAGTCCTCTAGTATTGGAGGTTGTTGGCACTTGGCTGGCCAAGTTTGATGACTCCCCTCGTCCATTGCACCCGCACATTTACTCAAGTTCTTCATTAATCCATTAAATTACCCAAACAATAAATCCTAAATCCCTCACAATTCAGTCCTTCAAGTCATCAATGGCAATTATAAAAATTGCCTCGAGCTCAGCAAATCGAAAAAAAAGAGCCAGTCACGTAACTGCAACTGGTATTATCACTATTTTCTTCATTTTCCAAGAGTATTCGAGGCTCTTCCAATGGTTTGACTATAAACAATCAATGAAAAATTGCTCATAAACCTTGGGAAAAGACAAACAGCAGAACGCACCTTCACTTTATCGACCGATGTCGAAACCCCAATTTTTTTTCACTCAGATATATCCACCCCAACTGAAAGAATCACTGGAGTTCCATGTGTTTTAAATATCCATACCGAGTCAGTTCTCTTCCCCTAGTCCGTTCTGGTCACTTCACTTCAGCTGCACTATTTTTTCCCCCTTTTCATCGGTTGAGCTCCGACGAATATAAATTATAAGGGAACAACCTTCCCATCACAAACAATGCTATCACCATTGCCATGTACACGTGCACATTATAAACTTGCGCAAAATTACCCCCGTGTCCTCATTCACACTAATGTTCGCGGTGCACTAAAAAAAAGAACATCCAGTGATTCTAAAATTCCAGACAGATAAATTATGGATTTGTCACTTTTTTAAATAAAACTAAACGAAGGATTCTCGAACGATGGCAGGAAGGCTTCAACAATACAAGGGGTAAAAGAGACTCGAGCACTTGTATCTTCTGACTCATACTCAGTCGTCAAGTCGTTGAACTCAATTCAATCCGTACCCTCGTCTCTACCTGCACTCAGTGCTCCCATGAATTTTCTACAATGATTCGAGAATAAATATTAAACTGACACACTGGTGGCTAGTAACCTCTTCTTTATATCACAGGGCGTTAATTTTTCTTTACCTTCATGTTTTTTTTTTTCCTTTCAACACTTTTCACTGTGTTTCGTCTAACTGTATATATCTTACATAGGTGACGCTCAACTTGCCTTCAACCCGTATATTCAATCGGCTATTTTCATAGCACCAGTCCCACCACACCACGGATTTGCCGAATATGATGAATTATTGTTAGCAATTGTCCATCCTCACATTTATTTTCATACATAAATGCAGGTGAATAATTCACATAAATAAATATTATTAAACTGGAGACACTAGTGAGAGTAACACCCACGCGTGCCCACGCGCACTTGCGCCATCAAATCACACGTCACAGGGTTTTAGAATAATGTTGTAGTGGTATTCTTTTTCCAATTGTGTGGGTTGCTTTTACATCAACCCCTTAGACTTCAACAGCAATTATGGCGCCATCTCTCTCGGGAGGTGACACCAGGGTGCCTCTTTGATAACAATAATGAACACATCCGCGATATCTACATTATCTGATGGATGTCGCTAGGAGGATGTAAGGGGATAATGGAAATGCCAAGTGCGAAATCGCCGACATTCGTTTGTTCGTTTATTAACCTCTTTTATTCTCCGGTGCTGTAGTGCATGAAGAGTTTAATCAATCGAGCACTAAAAAATCATTACATACTTGTAAGTAGGAATATATTTATCCACTAATTTAACCCGAGAAAATTCGTCATTTCGAGCGTTTTTGAAAATTATATTCTACGATTTCACTCCGAAATTATTGCAGAAAATTCAGGCATCTGTCGGATTGGTATGAAAGCAAGAACTCCATTAATTTTGAAATTGAAAATATAAATAACATCGGAGTGTACTGAGACCTAGTCTTCTCCAAATCGTGGATATTGTGATACTTCAAAAAAGCAGTTACGAACAATATTCAATATTTCATTTTCTCTAAAACTCAAATAATTCTGAACTCCAGGGCATAAGGAACAACAGGCTGTGCTGAGGGGTAGTCACCTCCAAATGTCACAAAAATCCAAGAATGCACCATTTTGCGAATGAAATACCCCGCAGAGTTCTCCTGCCAACACCAGCTGCAGCTCCAGTTAGAACGATAGTCGCTGAAGGATATTCACGAGTTATATCTCTGCCAAGCGAGTCGACTCGTAGAGGTCTCCTCCCCACGCCTCTAATCTCAAGTATCTCCCAAGGAGCTAACAATGTCCTTCAAAATCCCCCAACAAGATCAATCAACCCTTCATACTCCAGTGAATCATGCCAAGAGATTCCCCACAGGAGTCGTCTCACCCAAAATCGACAAGAAGAACGAATAAATCTGTTAGAGCCCCTTTCTCACACCTCATCCAGAGTCCAGCAACTTCACACTCCAGAGATTCTCCCAGAAGGTATCGAATTAATACCAAACAGAAATATTCTATTCTGTACCATTTGCAACAGCACAGTTCATCCAAATTACGCCGAGGCCCACGCGGACACGATCGATCACAAGGCAAATGGCAGAAAACTCATTCATAAAATCAACGACACTGATTACAAATGCGTCATTTGTGGCGAAATTTTAGGTCCTATGCAGGAGGTGAGAGACCACTTGAATAGTCAGAATCATCGAGCTAGAAAATCTGTAATGAGAGACCCGGAATTGATGGCGTTGAAGAATTCGTACGACTTACCAGATGGAATACGTAGAACAAATAGTGACGATTGGTTCTGGTGTACAGTCTGTGAAGATCCTCTAAGAGGAAATCAAGTAACTGTGATGAACCATTCACTCAAATGGGCTCATTTACAGAATTTAGAAAAATTTAGGAATAAAGAGAATAAGCAATCACGAGACAAGGAATGTTACAGTTCTCAAAATAATTTTTCATTACCGAGAGATGAAAAATACTCATTTCCACGAGGACGAGATAGTGAGACAAGTAGATCGTCTCCATTGAGGGACGAAGTCTATCTATCCTCACGAGGGCAGGATAGTGAGGGGAGTAGACCAGGACCTGAAGATTATTATAATTCTAGGAATAATTTCTCATCATCGTCTTTGACGAGAGATGAAGGATATTCACCGTCACGGAGACGAGATTGTGAAACTACTGGATCCTCGAGATCTTCTCAAAATAATCTCCCACCATCTACGTTGAGAGAACGTGAGGCCTTTTTACAATCTGCTCCCTCAACGTTTCGAGGGCGAGATTATGATACGATTGGATCGTTTAGATCCACTTCTGGGTCAAGAGCTGAGGAATATGCTCCTCAAAAAAAATTTTCATCTTTCATGAGAGAGCGCGAGGATCCACTGATATCATCATCTGGGCTATCAACATTCCGGGGGCAAAATTATGATTCAAGGGGATGTCCGAAATCTTCTTCTGGCACCAGAACTGATGAATTTTCGCTTCAAAAAAATTTTTCGTCGCCTTTCCCGAGAGGACGAGATTATGGACCAATGGAGTCCTCAACTTTTGCTCCAGGCTCAAGACAAGACGAATATTCTGTTGAGAAAAATTTTCAATCGTCATTTCCGAGAGAACGAGAAGCCCCAATGCTGCCTTCATCTCTGCCTTTAACGTTTCGAGGACGAGATTATGAGATGATGGCATCCTCGAGATCTATCTCTGGGTCAGGGCCTGATAGATTTGCATCACAAAATAATTTTCCCTCATCTTCATTGAGAGAACGCTCCAATGCTCCAATGATACCTGGATCTGGCGCACGACCTGAAGAATTTTTTTCACAAAATAATTTCTCTTTATCTTTATCGAGAGATCGTGAATCCCCAATGGGGCCTTTTGGATCCTCAAGATTTACTTGTGACTGGAGACCTGAAGGATATGGTTCGCAAAATAATTTCTCATTATCATCATCGAGAGACCGAGAGGCTTCAATGCCTTTTGGACCCTCGAGATCTACTCATGTCTCCAGAAATGATGGATTCCCTCCACCAAATGATTTCCCATTTTCATCGAGAGAACGAGAGACTTCAATGATACCTCCAGTGTCAGTCCGACCCACATTTCGAGGACCAGATTACGACACCTTTGGACCTTCAAGATCTACATCATCCTCAAGACCTGACGGTTACGCTTTTCAAAATAATATATCATCATTTTCAAATGAACGAGATGCTCCAGTGCTCCCTTCAAAATCAATTCCATCGGGGCTTCAAGGACGAGATTATGGTCCGGCTAGATCCTCGCCATTCAGTTCTGATTCAAGATTTGAAGGACACAATGCTCAAAATAATTTCCCATCCTCTTCAAGACAGATGGAAAATTCAACGATACTTTCCCGAAATTATGGTACGAAGTGCTCCTCACCATCAAGACCTACCTCGAGACCTGAAAAATTCCCTCCACAAAATAACGCCCGCCCATTTTCGAAGGAACGACAGGTTCAAATAATTCCGCCACCATCTCTTCCACCAACGTCTGAAGAAAAAGATCGACCTTCAGACATTAACAATTTTCCCTGCGAAACCTGTCGCTGCACAATCACCGGAGGCTACACAAATATTTTGAAACATATGAATACCAAAGAGCATCGAGACAAAGAGAAAGAGTCGAGGAATGATCCACAATCTGTAATCCTTCCCGAAGGTATCGAGTATGTAAAGAATGGTAAATTCCACATATGCACAATTTGCGGATGCAAAATTTCTCGGTATACACCTCTAGCCAGACACGTAGCCAGTAATTCTCACGTATCACATGGAAAAAGTGTCATCATCAGACTCAGTCAGAAATACTTTCATTGCACGGTTTGTGGTTGCACTCTAACAGGTTGGACACGTGTGCTCACTCATGCAAAACGAGAGAGTCATCAGCGAAGAAAATCCCAAGCAATAATTCAAAATCTCCCAGCGAAATTACCACCTGGTGAATTTTCCCAATCATCCAAAGGATACGTCATGGGGAAATTACCCAGTGGCATCGAGAGAGTCCATTCTAAGAGCAATAACATTCTCTACATATGCACCATCTGCGGCTGCAAGGTCGGTCGATCAGAAACTGTCGATGAGCATGCAGCAAGTCGTCGTCATGCTCTCAATGGGGATCAAGTCATAATAAGAAAGCAAGAAAGAAAATTCTACTGTAAACTATGTAATTCTTCGATTTACGGTTATATGAATGTCTTGAGACACCTCAAGACCGCCAAACATCTTTCCCTCAATGCTAAGAGCATTACCTCCCAATCTGCTGAGCCCAACAATATGAAATTATCGAAAGACGTGGGGATGGATGATGCAGGGAAAGTAGAGAAGAATGAGGATGAAAAATTTTCGGAGAACGTGGGAAATTCTGGTCCGGGAGAAAATCAAGAGAGTGAATCGGCTCCAGGAGATCCGGAGGATTTTAGAACAGGTGATGAAGAGTGGGAGGATGAGGAGAGGGATGATGAGGAGAGGGATAATGAGGAGAGGGATGATGAAGAGAGGGTGAATGATAAGGGGAATGAGGAATGGGAGGATAGGGACGAAGAAGTTGCAAAAGAGGACCAGCAGGAAGAGATATTGATTGATGACGGTCAGAGGGATGATGATGTTTTAGAAATTGAAGGAAACATTGATGATGATTTTCCACTGGATGAGAATATGAGGGAAAGACGAGAGGCTCATGATTCAGTGGATACGTTTGAACCTGAGGAATTCTCAATTGATGATTTCATCGTCACTGATGAGTGCTACGGGTCTGATCAAGAGAGATCTTCACATCGTGAGAGGAGACGGAGAGATTACAAGAGGGTGAGGACGAGAGAACGGGAAACAAGTCGACCGAGAAAATCCTCAGGGATATCTTTCTCTAGGGCTCACAGATTACCAACAGGCATTACTCAAATTCATCGGGAGAATTGTCTCATGTGTCTTTTTTGTGATCATAAACTTTCGATTGATTCCTTGGAGAGGCATCTCGCTAAAGGCACCCATCGAAGGAACAAAGATGAAGTTATTAGTCGAGATCATAAGGACGGATATCGATGCGACATTTGTTATTGCCGTTTGTTTAATTCTGATGAGGTGAATAGTCATCTGCAAGGCAGTATTCATGTTAAAAATAAAACTATTATAGAGGCACGAAAGAAAAGAGAAAGAAGATCTTGTGATGATGAGAGGGAGACGGCCGGGAAACGAAATAGGAGACTCTAGAAGGGAATCTTCACATCAGTACCTAATATTTGTGATTATTCATTTGCATATTGCATAATGTTAATATGGATTTAATGTTCAATGTATTACCGCTGGTATTTCATTGCATTGATGTTGGATTTTTTAGTGTCGAGGAGTTCACTAAATAAATGTACGTTTAAGCTATTTGAATGATAAAATTGTTTTTCAGAGAAAATTTAGTTGTTGTTTATTTCTCATTATTTTTTATTTCATCAATGAAACGTGACAAAGTTGGACGAACTTGACTTACAATGAAATTATTGATTCTTGATTTTTCCAGTTGCAAGTGGATCTGAAAAAAATCATTCATGTTCATTATAAAAATTGGTTATTCGAGGAGAATAAAATTCATTCAAATCGAGGAAGTGGAATTTTTAACTTTCTATCCAGAAATGCATGGGATACAAATTTTTGGGATGGGATTAAATTTAAAAAATTTTAATAACGATGCTCGTTAATTTATTACTCACAATCGGGGAAGATTTTTAATATAACAAACGGCCTTGGGAATGACTCCTGGTGTCAATTTCTGTCTACATCTCTCCTCCCAAATTTTTGTTGGTTTCAGTAATGTCGAGTTACTTCTAGATCTTGCGGTGGCCATATTTATTTCGACCTTATCATCTTTCTCATTTTTTAAATTAAAAATTTTTCGTTTACTCAAGTAATTGCTGTCTCGCTCTCTGCCAATAATTCGAATACATCGGAAATGAAGAAATTATATTAAAAAATCACATTTGAAATTGATTGTAGAAATGAGGAAAAATAATGCATGGATTATACCGAATAATTACCGAAAGCTTTTTCTCATTGCGGGATTTTTCACAATTTTATCATTTTTATTTTTACTTTGTTCTCCACCCAATTTTCCCTGCATTCTTTTATTTGTGTATTCATCAAGAGCTGCTTTGATTTCCATATTTCGCTGTAAAAATTGCCGTTCGTTCCAGGAGCGAATGTCTTCACTCTGATTTTTCAGTCTCGAATTTTCCTTTTCCGTTTTCAATTTACTAATCAACTTTCTCTTCTCATCAGAAGATGTAGATGATTCATTTATCTTCGAATCATTTACATTTGCCTCATGGTGGGATTTTTTATCGCTCGATTCGTTATAATTCTTCAATAATCTCGTTTTCTCCCGTTTTTCCAATTCCTTATTTTTCCTCCATTCTTTAACAGTATTCCTCTGTTTCTCTCGTAAATCAACATAAATCTTGTACCACGCCTCATGGTTTATAATTTCTTCAGCTGTCAAGTCTGGACACTTATTTCTAATCGCCACAACCATCGCTGGGACATTTTGTGCTTTCTTTCGTATTTTCAGAAAGAATAGATGATCCTGCTGTTTCCAATGCTGTGTATGACCTAAATTCATTGTGATCATTAAATAAAATATAAAAAATGGCATTCGTCTGATTACAGAATTTTCCAAACAAGAAAAGTAAAATAAATATCAGCAGATACCGGTTTTCACGACGAGCGAATCAAAATCCGCGATCTCATCATAATCGATAGTTTCCAAACGTTTCGTATTTCGTGGAATCCTTCGAGATAATGGAGTTTCCATTCCACTGTATGGCTTCTCATATTGACGGATATTCATTCTAAAATCAAGTAAAGCCTCCTCGAGTTCCTTCTGCTCATCTAGGAGAATTTCTAATTGCGACGTCGAATTAAATTCTTTTACTTTCTTCGACAGGCATAATAGCTTAGATTTCAGTTCTTCAGGATCTGATACAGAATAATATCCCATAAAATATGGTGTCACGAGGTTTTCACTTTTGCATGATTGAATTTATTGAATAAATACCAATTTTGTTCCCCTCATACACTTGCCCCACCATCAATTTCGCCGTTTGGAAATCATTATAAATAATCGATCCCAAACGATAAATAGCATCTGTCATACTTGTCCTACAACATTGGTACTTCAGACATAATAATCCCATTTTTTATTACTTTTTTCCACTTGATTTATCGGATTTTATTACCTATCAATGGAGGATTGTTTTCGTGTCTGCGAGAAGTCTTCAATTACATTAGCCTCTACCTTCATTCCCATCTCAAACGTTTCAACACTCTTTGCAAGAAACTCTTCTTGCTGTTTCAATTTAATCAATGTTCTTATAAATTTCTTCTTCTCTGCTTGACTCATATTTAAAGATAACCAATTTTTTAAATTAATACAATTTTTACTGGATAATCAGTATTTAATTCTCACTGTTTACTCTTGTATTGGATTGGGTAGATACTCGCGGTCTCCATGGATACCAAGTCGCTTCTTTTTCGGATGGAAGGGGTAAAGTTGGGCAGGTGTGGAATAGATTGTCTCTGGCTTTTCACAAAAAATCCGTCTCCTTTATTGGCAGTTGTAATCTTGAAGAATCACAACAGAATAGTACTGATTCAATACTTGCAAGAGATTTCTTCTTTCTTCGATGGAAAAATTTCTTATCACTCGGTTGATTCCCAGGTCTTGGAATTTCCTTCAATGTGCCCTGGAATAAAAATAAAACACGGAAGAGCTGTATCAAGTCTAGTCAAAATAAATAACACAAAGAGTCTTCAAGTGAGGGGAAAAAAAATATTGCAGTCTCGGTTATAAGAGAGTCCAATGTAATTCCATTTCTGGCGCTATTTTTCAAACATTATTTTTTCAATTACTGTTCAGGTTGAAACAAACGCATCCGTTGGGTCTGGTGGAAGGAAAAAATTGAATCGAGGTATCAGATAAATCATCGGCTCACAACAAATACTATAAATATTATGATTGTCAACTCCAATCAGGTTAATAAATTCCCGTAACATTTATGCGAATGAAAATTCCATTCTCAAGTGGAAAATTAAAAAATTTAATTTCATCAACTTTCCAATGGACAGCGATGAGAGAGCAGCTTTGAATTACGATTGCAACTACAATCTCTTCTTAGCGAAACGTCTCATTAAAAAACTGATTAAACTTCGAGGTTGGATATGGACGATAAGTCATCACTACATATATTTTATTTCTGAAATAACATTGTATTTTGAGGTCTTAAAAAAAATGACTTGCAGATCGAAAGCTAGTGGTTGAATGGCTGAAATACCTGATGTCCTTCAATGAAAAACTTCCCGAGATGGAGCTGAGGAATGATTTCATGTACCATTTAATTCTAAACCTGCAAAATGCCAGCCTAAAACCGCCATTCGACTCGCACCCTTCGATGACAACTTCAATTTTGAAATTGGCGCATTTCATGGTTCGTCTACTGGAATTTCTGAATATTCTATTCTTCTATTACAAAATTTCTAAAAAATCGAAAGTTAAGAAAATGTTTTTTTTTGAGCCGAAACATGCACTCCCTTTTTTGGATATAAAATTTCATTTTTTTCAGTTTTATAATTATTTATCTAAAAACTATCTCATGCTCCTTTTTTTCACCACATATATCATAAAATCCGCGAACGAAGAGTGCGGCAATACCTAATGTGATGTGATGATGATGAAGTGATGAATTATTTTTTTTCACAGCCTGACAAAAGGGACAAGACTATGACAGTCGAGGAGATGATGGCTGAGATCGATGGGGATGCTAATGGCGACGTTAATGAACCACTCGTCATGAAAAAATCACCGGATGGTGGAGCTTTTTTGGCCCAACAACCGATGCCCCATGAAGGATCTTTCGCTTATCTCACTATCAGCACGAAGCCATACAAATCGGCCACTAAAAAATGCCCGATATAATTCCCAATATGTCAATTATCAATTATGAATTCTTCCTCACAACCTGTTCAGGTAGAAAAGATGAAAACTGTAGAGAATGTTTGAAATGATTCGTCGAACCATGAGAAGAACATCATTATTATGCCTCGAGTATTGATGTTGAGTAATTGTTGATTCAAAGAGAATCATTCACATGCAGATTTTCAAGGCCGCGTATTGCTGAATTTTTCATCAAATGCAACAATTGAAATTCGGTCACGGATTATTCTTGACCTGTGTGTAAAAGAAAATTGGTATTTGTAATCGCTGATTTTTTTAATTCAATAAGAAATCAATTGGGTATCAGGAAATTATTTGCTAGACTGCGTGATAATGGAGATATCTCGACCTTTTAAAAATGGTAGAGGATAAAAAAGTATCTTGGGTTTAATCGAGAAAACGATTTAGATAATAGTATTTAGCGTAAATATTGAATGATACAAACTATTGTCGCGCGCGGCATATCTTTTGTAATTAGAGGACAAGTGGGAGATGAGAAATAATTTTCATTGAACAGTCGGTGAATTGTTGAGTTTGTTGTCGCATCTATGGGTATGCTAATTGCTCTGTCTCATACACGCTTGCAATTTTTTATAATGCCGATCGACGTGGAAATTTGCGAGTTGCGATCGGATTCAAGAAACTTGATTTCTACGGTTTTATTTCCTTTTACGAGTCACTGTGGAATCACCTCAGTTTGAGTTTAGTTCGAGGACAACATGATTCATGTGGAGACACATCAAAGAGACCCAGGGGATCCATAAATTTTCTGCGCGGTACAAATTGAATTTGAAAAAATTCAAGTCGAAGAAAAAGAAAAGATGGAGTGAGAAATATCTCAAGAGCTGAGCGTTAAAATAATCGGCTTTGCAAAGTGAATTAATGCAAGTGAATTTACGACAAGTGAACAAATTCTTACGGAATTTATATTTTTAAAGACGCATCGTCAATGAGAAAATTTCTAATGATTTCACAAATCATAACTTTGGACTTCAAATGAGTCATTATTGATTAACCGATTATTCCACCGAATCAAAAATCGTCCAGCTCATGTTATCACAAATAATCATCATCACCACTGAGATAGTGTTTAAATCTCTTTTACCCCAAATTTTTCAAAATATTTGCTATCCTCTAAAATTGAGTTCATTAAAATTGATTTTGTTTTTTTTTTCGGGAATTCCTCTTTGATCATAAGTACGATCATACAATTTCTGTGCTGATTAAACACTCTTGCTGATAAGAGCTCGTTTGATAAATGAAGGAAATGATTATTCCCAGTCAGTGATCCACCGGTGATTTCGGTAGTACGAATTCAGCTGACAAAAAAACAAACACGAAGAGCTATAAAACTGGATGTTTCCGCTCTTTATAAAAAAAAAAAAAAACAACCACCACGTGATGCATAAATTTCATTCTGAATGGCATGAGAAATTCCATTTTTTTTCACACGCCGTCAAGTATTTCGGTGACGGCGACTGAAATCCGATAACAAAGAGAAATTTTTTTACGTTTTTAGTTATTTTTGTCCGATTGCGGTGTATTGCGCAGTGAATTTTCTTCAGGTTCATGGATAGAGAGGATGTGTCTTCGGAATGTACAGTGATCTATAAAAAATGTGAAATAGAAAATTGAAAAATGAAATGAGTGCAAATATTGAACGACTGCAAGATGGGCTGTTCGACCAGTGCAGTGCTCATGTGCATGAGGAATAAAAAGAAATTCAAGTGTCGAAAAGCTGAAGAGTCTCTGGTTCAAACTGGTGAGTGTCAATTTCTCCAATTCAATCTAATTTGAAAACTCAAATAAACATTCCTCTGGCAATTAATCCGAATTAATAAATTCTCTTTTTCGATTGATTAAAAAAAAAATCTAGAAACATCTTCTCTAACATCACGAAAGTTCTTTTGCTATGATATAACCCAATCAGTTATCTACATTACGAGAAACTCTGTATTTCAATGTTGTTGCTTGAATAATAATTATTAATGCTAATTACATTCTCTCGTCAGCAATGCAATCTCGGGTGAAGCTCGTTACAAGAAATAGAAAATGTTCATAAGTAAAGTTAAAGTTTGTTATCGCCGGAGGTCCTTCGGGCACGTTCCTTACTATTTAATTATTAATCAAACTACTGGTGTTTGTTAATTAACATTTTTTCACTTGACGCGTTCCAATTTTTTTTCTCCGTAGAATCTCTCACTTCAAGCGGAATTCAGCGAAACGATTCAACTCGGTGTTATCGAAGAATCAATTAGTTTTAATTGAACATGTCACTCAATTAGGCAGTGAAAGTAAATATTGAGTTGAGTCTTACAAAATCCAATTGAATTCAATAACTATAAAAGTGGCGCGTTGAAACATGTCAATGAATTATACAGTGAAAGTAAATATTGAGTTGAAATTTACAAAATGCCGATTCAATAAAATAATAATAAATATCGATTGAACCCGAGAGTTTGGGGGGAGCTGGAATATTTAATTGAATAGTCGCGAGGCGTTGAACGTGAATGGAATCATTATATATCGCAATGAAATCAGTAGCCTAAGGCTATCGATGATTTTTCATGGCTGTCACACACACATGCACATTATCTCCCATTCACTCTGCCAACGGTGGAAAAAAAATTGTTCACTCCCGTGTATTTTAGTTCAGTCTTTGTAAAACCACTGACGATGGGCCACGGGCACCAAAATCCTCTCAAAACACTGACCCAAAAAATCGTCACTCCTTAACTCTCAACTATTCACCATCACAATCGCTAAAATCATCAAAGAGCAATAAAAATTCCATTCATAAAGATTAATTAAATTACGAAAAATCCTGAGAGTTCAGTCCAACACTCGAATAATTACTAGTCTTTATCGCAGCCGTGCGAATGCCTTTATTTTCACAACTATTTTATTTATTTGTTATCGAAAAAACTTGAAATTCTATGTTAGTGCCTCTGCGTCAATGCAACGGTACGAAATAAATGAAATATAACGTCGCACAAACAAAAGCGCATGTTTAAGTCTTCAGAGAAATTTGCGTGGGCGTTTTGACGTTTGTTGATCCATAAAAATAGTGTATTGATTATGTTCGAGGTGGATCATCGATCGAGGTGCCTCTGAAGATCGCTGGATCGATCCATCACTCTGATTTACCGGCGATTGATCATCGGGAATTTGAAATTTGTTTTTCTTGGATGGCGAATAGTGGAATTGTGTATTTGTTGTTTAAATTGGGGTTTTATGGGCACTGGCAAAGCTTATATCCACTGGTCTAGGGTAAATCCTCGCAGAATGGCATCAACCAGCTGAGCTGATGATTTTTCAGTGTCACCGACGAATTGCCCCTCAATTCTCTCAATCAATTCATTTCAATCAATTTATTTCAATCAATTCAGAAACGAAAAAGTCGAGATTAAGTTGAAATTTTCAGAAACTGCGTCTAAGAGTTATCTGTCTTTCAACTATTTTTATGAACAAAACCAGAGGTACAGGAATTATTTAAACAATTTAGCGTCTCTGTGAATGTAAAAATAAAAATTCAATTTCATTTTATAATATTAGAGACGGTGTAATAGTCCCTGTTATCAGAAAACCCGTTTGATATCGCACATCTCATTTTTCCCACCTTTGAAATGATATAAATCATGAAATAAAAACGGAAATAGCGACTCATTGATTAGCGAAAAAAATCGGTAAGTCCTGAGGGATTTAGTGATAATGAAGTGTTGGCGTCTATTCGTGGCTCGGAGTTTATCTGGAGCATCTGCATTTTTTTTCAATGTAGGGAAAATGAGTGGTGTGATATGACGTGAATACAATAACATTTGCTAAACTTTTTGTGAAAATTCAACGGCGGAGGATCGCGTGAGATTTATACATGACATCGAGTCAGATCGACAGCAATTTTTATCCCAAAGAGGATGAAATTCTCGACGAATCACGACAGGTCACCAACGGTACGTTCCATTTGTTTATTTCCGGTTGGTCGTTGTTGTTTTTTTTTTAAATAAAATTGCTGTTGAAAAATAGCAGCATGACACAAGTTGCGGGTTCGTTGCACTCGGATATCCTGTATTCCTGGTGTTTTATTATTCGTACATCGCCTTGGCAACGGTTTTGCGTCATTATTTCAATCAGACTAGTTTGTTATAAATTATGCCGGGCTAAGGTGTCAGCTCTGGTGATTTTTTAAATACTGAAATTGCTTGGAAGAGCGGCCGCTGCGAGGTAGAAGTAAATGCGAAACAACAAATTCAGATAAGAATTATGGAACACAAAGTTTTTTAATTTAACAGATTCCCTTCAGTTCAATTTTTAATTGGGCAAATTATTTTTATTTTTAATTGGGCAAGTAATTTTTATTTTCAAGTGGGCAAGTAATTTATATTTTCAATTGGGCAAGTAATTTTTATTTTTAATTGGGCAACTGATGAGTGAATGAAGGGCAATGAATAATTTTTTGTTTCAAGAAATTGTTAAATACCCCGTGCTCCATCAATCAGTTTGAAGAGACGTGAAGAAGGAATGATTTCGTAATAAAAAAGGAGAAAAAAAAACAGCAAAACATGTCCTTCACCGAGAAATTGGCAGTCATTGAATTACGCCGAAGGCAGTGAACTCGAGAGGGACAGATTTGCCCCCGAAGTACTAATGTCTCATATGTAGAAAGTGCCTCATTCACTTGACGTAATAGCCTCAGTAATGTTCCACATTCTCGTCTTGCTGAGTAATTGTGCAAGAGTCATTACACGTACAGAATAATACAGAAGATTCGGCTCAGATAATCATCAGATTAAAGAAAAAGTTGAATTGTCTAAGCCAAGGCACTGGCAGGCACGTGTCAATTGCCTTTGTCAATTAATTAATTAATTCCATTTGTGGCGGTTATTCATTGCGATGGAAGTTGAATACAATAAAAAATTGTGCCACTCAGTCCTGAAAATTGGAAAAAAAAATTTTTATTAAAAGTCTCAATCAAACAAATCCTCATTTTTAATAATAAATTGGTGTTTTTTCAGGTGACAATGCGGATTTGGATTATTGGAAGGAAAAACACATGGTGGGATTACCGATGTTCTCTGGGGAAGAAGACATGGAGTGCACCATGGCCGTAAGTTCAGTAAAAAAAATTATTTCTACTGAATAAATTGATTACTTATCTATAAAAAAGAAGTTTCAAGTACTTACAGTTTTTCAACATGATTCTTTGAATTAAAATTGTTGACATACATAAAGACTCGAACAAAATTCGAGACGTCAAAAATCCGTGTTTTTTTTTTCTGTGAGAGACGAATAGCTGTCACTCAACCAAAACTCCTCGGGGCTGTCTTGACAGTCGAATCCATCAAAGTCTTTAGCCAACAGCACTTGAAACATGGAGAATTGAAATTTCTGCAAGCAGCAAATTTTTTAATGAGTCGTTGAATTTTTCTGGTATTTTATAGTCAACGGTTCCATTCATCGTCAGGGTCTCTGATTTTTCACAAGTTCAACCATGAAGTGAATCTCCGAGTGTCCGACGATGGAATGAATTCGATCGATGAGCCACAATTGCCGGAACCCCCTTCACTCAGCAATCGTGATTACCCTCGATCCATAATTAATGACTACTCGAGAACTTTGTACATCTCTCGTGAATACCTAACTTCAGGGATTATCCACAATTCCAAGTTATAATCGTTGGTTTTAAATCCGAGAAAATTGTTGGAAAAAAAGCAATGCTCGAGCACTGAAAGGGTTTTGCATCACTTAAAAATGCATGAGACTCGTCTACCCTGATGTGTCCTGGGGTTCAAAGGCCTCAGGGTCCAGCAATAGATAAACTCTTTCCAACTTCGAATAAAAGCAACCTGAGAAATGGCAGGTGCAGGGACAGAAAAAAATCCTACATGGCGGTTTTTTTTTCCAGGGAGAGAGTGAATTTCATTTTTGTCTCGATACCGGAGATTGAGTCCCAGGACAGGTGGATTTTCTCAGACGGCGAGACAGAAAATAGTGGACATTTTAGGATTGATGGGGTTGCATGAGCCAATGGGTCATTGATCCCTGCGCCTGCGTCCGGGATTTTTCTGAGGGTTGAGGATGGTCAGTGCAATTTCTCCTCTGGACTTAAGCGTTTTGCTTTCGGTTTGGATAATCCGGTGAATGTGGGCCATCGATTAATTGATCAGAGAATGAGGATCGAACTCTCAACGATGATTTACGTTGAGAAAACAATTCTCCAATGACGATTACCGCGTACGTCTGTAATGAAAAACAAATTGCTGAGTCATTTTTATTTTGCGATAAACGGTTGTTGACAATTTTTCCAGGAAGTTCCGAGTGGTCACTTTGTTTCCGTTTTTCCATTCTTTTTAATTGAAAAAAAATGTTGTTCACTAAGATAAGAGGAGTGACGGTAAAATTGCCGTTATCAAGATAGTTAACGTGGGATTTTTTGCTGTATCGCACCGGATAATCTCGATAGTCGATCAGTATCGTTTCAGTGTCGTGACAGTTTGGACCCTCGGGACATCAATCGTGCTGGATTTTGCGAATTAATCCAAACGTTTATTTACCGATCAAAAACCCGAATTCAAATATGTAATTCCATTTACCAATTCACATCGAATCCATTTGTCATCCGCATGGCGTTGAATGATACGAGACGTTTGACCCATCGTACTCTCCACATTTCTGGCGCCACTGGACCGGAAGATGAATCCAAAACCGAGACGATGTCTGAGTCTTGGATTTCCGGTTTTTCCTCGATCCTCTGCGGGCGATTATGGAGGCGCAAGTTATTCGGTAGTCGAGATAAAATGCAAGTCCTCGTCGAATCGGAATCGTTCAAAAATTTCGTACGTTTTCTTTGGCATTTGTTGTGATTATTGAACAGCGATAAATAATTAATGGATTGCACTCGTCATTTTATAATCAATTAGTGGTCAAGGTGTTTAGTTTTGATTTTTTATTGCAGAAGGGACCACAGGATTTCAACTCAACCCTATCGATAACCGCTCCCTCGCAGATTGTGGAGGTAAATTATATAATAATTATTATTATTATTTATATGGATTGATGAAGGGTCGGTGCTATGGCAGATGAGGTAATGGAAAAATTTTCTGCAATAAAAAAAAGGTATTATTGGTATTTCCACGGGAAGATCGACAGCTCGAGGTGCTCGGGGCAGTTTCTCGAAAACTTGGATGGAGTGTTGAAGTCGTAAAGACTGGAGAAAAAGCTGTTGAAGTTTTCCAAAATCGATCCCACGATCTCGTGATCGTCGATAGAAGAGGGCATCGGGCTAATGAGGCAGATGCCATTTGTCGGTGAATAAAATTTTCAATATTTCCGTTATTTTGTGGTTATCTCTAGGAAGACTGAGACTTATGTTATTTTTCAGAGCCATAAGAGCAACAAATTGCCATCACAGCAGTGTTATTTTAGCATTAGTTAAAAAGTCGTGAGTAAACAAGTAAACAAACATTTTTTGTCCAATAGATCAGTCGTAAAAATAATTGATTAACGATTCTAATAATTATCTACTTATTTATTATATCGAAAGCTTTTTCACGGCAGCTGATAAGGATGAAATAGTGACCTTGGATTTGCTGAACACGGGGTACAGTCGAGTGAGTTATGGTCACTCATTCAATTTGTTGTTCAGGCATAGAATTCGTGCTCCAGCGGTGCAATTCTTTTATTTATGAATTTTCACAGGCAACGATGGAATGTACACACGAAATACTCCTGGGGAATCAATTGATCGGGATCTATGCCAGTGAAATACAGCCTAGGATGCAGCTCGCTGCAGCACATGCACTCTATGTTGCTGTTGACCGATGCCGAGATATGGTCCACGTCACTGATGACCAGCACATAGTCAGGGTGAGTCCAGTAAATACGAAAATATGTAATGTCTCATTATTTAGTGTGACTGAAATTTCTGCTATTTCTCGCAATGCCATTCTCATCTCCAACCCTTCGTTATATAAACAAAACCCATAAAATTAATGTTCCAGTTTGTGAATAAGGCCAGTGAAAGGTTGCTGGGATACAAGTACGAAGAAATGCTCGGTCGAAATCTGTCGGAGATAATAACATGTGAGAATTTTGCACTCATGGACCAGCAATTGCAGCGCGGACGGGAATTCGAGGGTAACATGAATTGTCGGAGAAAGTTCAATGACACTATCACCATCAACTGTCGAATTATCCCATTCTGCGCTACGGGAAAGTGCGTTTATCTCCTCGTTTCACTTGGAACTTAACGATTTATTACCGATATCTTCTAATTTTTCTTTTTTTTTTCATCCGATTGACGTGGAAAAATATCTCGTTTTTAGGTTTCATCATTATTTAATGACTCATTAATTTTAATAATCGTGTATACATTTTTCTAAATTTCCGGAAAATTTGCCGATTGTTGCAAAAGTTGCTGAGGACGTAGAGAAATTTTTCCACAGCGATGAAATCTCGTGAGATATTGAATAATAACAAAACTTAGAAACGGTACATTTTTCTTATCACTCTTATCAATCATTTGCCAGAAATTTGTAAAAAAAAAACGTGGAAAATGAGAAGGAATCGGCCGTGAATAAAATTTAAATTTATGCAATTGTGCGTGACTTTTTGTCAGAAAACCGTCGCATTATGTGTACGTCCACGACACGATGTACCTGTTGGAGAACATGGGACTAGCTGGAATAACACTTGGTCATCCACGTGTGAGCCTGATTTCGCTGCGTAGGGGCTCATACGACCTGAAATCCACCGGCAGTGATATCGGAAGTGAGGAAAGCATTACTATCTTATCTATCATTTTATTATCTCCACTTATCGACTCATTGCGCCTCTGCAACGTCAATTTTATCATTTATCATTGAGAGGCTACTATGAGGGAAGCCTTCAAGAAAATAGTCATTGGGTCAATTACAAGATTAAGGATTATAGTTTCGCTAATTATACCTCTTCGAGGCTTTTCCATGTACTTTTTCATGTTTTCATCAATTACCAGAATTAATGCATTGATATTCGTTGTTTAATGCACATTTTAACGAGCGCAAAATTATTGCATTGATTAATTGACAGCGCAGAGACGCTCGAGCCTCCAAAAACTCAATAATCTACCTCTTGAAGCCCCGATCACGAAGGTAATGCTATTACTTACAAACGCCATGACAGAAATTTCCGGGACGAGTCCCGATTTAGCTATGCAAATCGACAAGGTGAGTTGTCGAAGACTCAATCGATCGACTGGGCCTAAAGAAAGTTGTTGCAATGTTTTCTCTTTATTCTTTCCGATTCCCCGGGAAAAGGCAATCGAAACCTTGAAGACAACAGAATTATACAGACCTTATCTCAAAGAGGACACCAAGATTTACAACGATCCCGTGGCTTCGGATCTCGTTGAGGCACTTTTATCAGTGAGAATGACAAATTACTCAATATAATACATAGAATTAAAATCAGAGGAATATTTTGCTCTGGAAAGATTTCACATGGAAAAAATCAAGAGAAGAAATAAAAGAAAGATTAGTCTTATCAAAATGTGAAATTATTCCTTTTTGTATAATTATTTGACTGAAATACGAATTTTAGAAAAATTGTCACTACATAAGAGACTCGAGAAGATCTTCAAACGACTCAACTCGCAGTACCCAAATACGAATAACGCCTCCGACAACAAGACTGCAATTGAAAAATCCTCAAGGACCGAAAGAAATCGAAGAACTCCTGGATCACAGTTTAGACTGGGACTTTGACATCTTCACCCTGGAAGTGCTGTCAGAGCGCAAACCTCTTGTCCATCTGGGGATGAATCTGATGGGTCGTTACAACGTCCCGGCACGTCTCAGCTGTGACGAGAAGACTCTACAAAATTGGCTGACTGTGATAGAGTACAAGTATCACCTCAACAATAGTTATCACAATTCAACGCATGCAGCGGATGTCCTCCAGGCAACAGCTAGATTCATGCAATCTGATCGATTGCAGATGATCCTCGAACCGATGGACGAAGTCGCTGCATTGATCGCAGCTGCGGCTCATGATATCGATCATCCTGGCAGGTCAAGGTAATAATGAATAATCAGTGATTTCAGGCAATTCGTTATAAAAAAATTCTCTACTCCTCAGTCAATTCTTATGCAACGCTGATAACAAATTAGCGATATTATACAACGATCTGTCAGTACTTGAGTCTCATCACGCAGCACTCACGTTCAAACTCACATTAGCTGATGACAGCGTTAATATATTTAAGGTTTGTATCACTAAAACTTGAGTTGCTAAACAACCTCCCTAATCTCCATGATTTATCAATAGAATTTGGAGAGGGAGACGTATAAACTCATCAGACAGAATGTCGTTGATATGATCCTAGCTACAGAGATGACAAAGCACTTTGAGCATCTCGCTAAATTCGTCAATGTTTGCAGTTCACGTGGAGATGAAGTAAATATTTTCGGTATCGTGCCCCAATTGTTGTGAATTTCGGAATATATTTGATGGATTGTTTTCAGTATTACGTGGATGGGCCGGACATGGCGACCCTATTGCAGCCGGAGAATGTCACTCTCATAAAAATCATGATGATCAAGTGCGCCGATGTATCCAATCCCACAAGACCTTTGAGGTGTTGCATCGAGTGGGCCAAGAGAATTGCTGAAGAGTACTTCAATCAGGTGTTTATTCAGTAGATAGTTTATTCAGTGATATATCATCAAAAGTATCATTAAGGATGGTCGACACTCATTCACAGCCAAAATTCACGTTTTTTTTTAGATTTTTTGTAAATAAATTGAATAAATAATCAATTTTGTTTAGACTGACGAGGAGAAGAGGAAACGGATGACAGTGGTAATGCCCATGTTCGACCGCAACACTTGCTCCATTCCAAAATCACAAATTGGATTCGTCGATTATATAATCACTGATATGATCGAGGCATGGGATGGTGAGTACGAAATTTTATCTCAAATTGGCAAATTGGATTGATCGACTCGACTTTTTGCGTTAAAAAAATCGTTTATCTTTGCAGCTTTCATAGATATGCCGGAGATGGTAACGCATATGCGTCAGAATTACGAGGTGTGGAAAGAATATCATGTGAGTAAATCGGAGATCGATTCGTCGAATTGCTCGTTATAAATTTTTGTTGATTTGGCAGGAGAAGGGAATATCGACGCTGAGTGATATCGAAAGGCTGCAAACATCCCCCGAATTGAAGATCCCATGTTTACGCGATCCGCGGTGATGATTCATTTATGTGATCTACAATGAAACATGAACGAAAATTTCTACTCCCCTCCCTTTTCTTGTAAATTATTTCTCTGAATAAAACGTTGATTTTATTCTGATTCAATTGCTATTTTTATTAACAAAGGAAGAACAATCAATATGATCCTGCAGTGCTGATGAAAATGATTGAAAAATTATTATGCTGTAATGTTAGGTGATGAATCAATAAACAATCCAATCATTTAAAAAATGTTTTATTTGTATTTTCATCCTTCCAAGTCTTCTATATAATGATCATAATGAAAAAATGCTGGAATAAAGGGTAAAGGGTAAAATAATATCACAAAAGAGAACGGATAATTGATCCTTCAAAATCCATATTTATTGATGTTTTCTTTTCCCTCGATCACTATAAATCTTTTGTCAATTACAAATGGTGCATGAGTACAGTAGTTTAAAGAAAAATGTATTCAATGTTCTTGTTTATGTAACATCTATTACCTCCCGTTCAGAAATTACAATCATCAAGGTGTTTACAGCATCGCTTTTAGCGAGACTATCAATAAATATCATTACCTTATCTTCTGCAAAATCATTTTGACATCGAGTTACATTAAACGCTTGTTACTAAGTTACAGATGACTGCAATTATTTTCCACGAAATGACCAAATGCAATAACTTGATCGCACCGGAAAATTTATATTCTATCAAAATGCATCACCTGACAAAATCTAAAGTAGTGGCTGTTCAAGACATCAGCCGCTTTATCCAGTACCAGACGTATGATTTTCAGTTCCCATGAAATAACATTGAGATGTCGAAAATAAAATAGAATGGTTCTCAATTCAGAACCACTGTTTAGGAGTTTAACACAACCTTCAGCCTCAAAACCTCTCACAGATTTCTGTTCTTCAGATGTTATTATATTTTGTTTTTTGTAATCACCATTAGATGTTCATTAATTTTGCAATTTGAGTTGTTTTCAATATGGTATAAGCGCTCATAATCTAGGACCCTTAAGTTCCTAACAAAGTAATCCCTTAGTATTTATTATAATGTCTCCCGATTAATACATCTCCTTGTTTTTCCTAAATCAGTGAATGTTTCCTCTATTTTTCATTAGCTCTTGTTCAAGATTGTTTTCCGTTTGAATGATTTTAAGTTGTCCAAATGTGGCTTCGATACACCAGCCATACCCCGACTAATCGAACACTACAATCAATCGATGTTAGTAATCTCTGCATTAAGTTTCAAAGTACTCATGATTAATTCAATGCGAGACAAGTGTTAAGGTGTTACAAACATGCTACAATAAAACATCAAGTTTAAATACGTGAAGAGTGTTTGTTTTTATTATTTTTTTTTTTGACTTCCTCACGCACCCCAAATATAGACATCACGAAAGATAATGCTGTCTCCTAATATCTCATGAATGGTATCAACAAATATTTTGGCCAAGTGTCTCAAAAAACTCCCAGTGCTGTGATATCATCAGCTGTGTCACCAAATATCTCAACAAAATATTGTCTCAAGTGGTCAGTTGAAAAATTCTGTTCGGTGATTCATCCACCTATATCTGGACTGATATTATTAGCATCGCGAAATATCCAGTGCTTTTGAAAAGCATAATGAGTGGGATGGAACTTCCTGAGAGCCAAGGCGTTCACTGCCTATTTAAAGAACCCCCATCAAACGATCTGAATCAGTTGTGCCGGTGAAAAGGTACTTGTCTCTTTGAATTTTCCCTAGGAATAATCTCATCAGAGTCATTCTCAATGTACGTAACGATGAGTCTCATCAATTTATCACAATAAATCTAATCCTAGGTATTACGTCTCTTACAGACTAGTTAGTGGTAATTGAGGTACATCAATCATTATTCGATAATTAATTAATAGCATCGTAAGATACTCTGGAAACCCTCTACCCTCGCGATTGCAAGTCTGTGTTCTTGCAGTGGATGCACACGTGATCTGTGGTGTTATCTATTATTGATCATTAAAATTGGGAAGTGAATTGATTTTGTATAGTCTCGTGTTCGTGAAGTTTTGAAAATGTGCTTAATTCCGGGTTTCCCTAATTCTTCAACATTCCGTTTCAGTTCCGAATGGAATTTGCTGCTTGATGGGGTCGCCATTTTCGAATGCCCATGTGCTTAAATAAAACTCAAAATCAAAGTCTAATGAATTTTCCTCTGGGGAAGATGGAATTTTTGTGACCTCTCTTATTCGATGTAACCTGAGATATTTCTTATGTTTTTCTTTTTTTTCTCTCTCCACTTTTTTTCCCCCATCGTTCCACTTCACCCCCAGATTCCCCCGTTATTGTTTACACATTGTTGTAAGCATTATTATCAGCGCACAACTAACAATTCCTAACGTTAACCCTTATTCTTTGTAACTCGTCACAGCATTCACGGGAATAATAATAAGCTAATTAAAAATTCAATATCAGGCACGACAAAGGAATTGAGATAAAGATTAAACGATAATTGGAGCTTACGGGCATTAATGAGGTAATTAATTTATATTAATTTAGCATTCTTGATCCCATCTACCTTGGTCTAGACTATTCATAGAAAATATTCATTTCAGTAATCGGATAGAAAAATAATCGCAAAAAGCATCAAAATAATCGTTGGGATTTTAATAATTATTGATTGATCGGTAGATTGTCTCACGAGATTTAATCCATCTCGATTTTGTCCCCTAAAAATCATAATAGCCAAAATAAAAAAAAAGAAACAAGAAGATTCACCGATTGAATTGAAATGTTAAGTAGGAGTTGAAATGTACCGAACTAAATATTTACTCAATCTCGCTTACTCCTATCTCAAATATTAATTATAACTTACACCTAGAATTTTTAACTATTAATTGTGCGGTCGCCTGATCGGTTATCAGTTGTTATCCGATCTCAAAATTCTTCGCGATTGTACCGATGCCTCTCACAGGTGTTGATGATTACCGAATAAAAAAAAAAAAATATCAAAGAAAACCCCAATCGGTACAACTCCAGACTTTTATCATAGTGATATCCGTAATCCATAAGTTATCCTAATAATCCAGGTGATATAGTTGATTTATCTTAAACTAATAGTTTTCAAACGATCTGGACTTAGTGCTACATCTGCCGCGTCTCAAACTCTACGATATTAACTCTCTCCTGATAGTTGAAAGATACCATCTCCACCGTCAATTAAACCGTTGTACTTGATTTTCATCTGCTTTAAGTATCTTATCTTCATTCTCAATTAATCCAGCCCAATAATACCTATTCCTTAAATCTAGGGGTGTTCAAATAGCGATTGGAGAGATAGTCAGAAGGATTTAGATTTTGATCGCCTTCCGATTGTTTTTCATTTCTTACCCTAACTTCTTTTTTCCATTTTAATTATTATGACTTTTTTTTTTACAATTTTCTGATATTATTTTTCTCCTTCGATTAATGAGAAATGACGGTATTTTAATCGCAATATGTATTAATTAGACTCATCGCACGCAGTGAGATTCATTGATCTATTGGTTTGAAGGTCTATTGTTCCACTGATGTTTCGTGATTGGTGGGAGGAATTCGATCGGCCTGCATCGAGATTGATCGATCAGCATTTCGGAAGCGGTTTGAGCCGCGATGATTTGCTAACTAGTTTTTCATCGTTGGGGCTTGGTAGATCACGACCATTATTCACTTCACCTGGGTACTACCGACCATGGAGGACATTGGCGAGACAAAATTCTGGTGGTGCAAGCACTATTCAGTGTGACAAAGACAAATTTGAAGTGAGTAATCGCCGATTTTTGTTACTCTAAACACTGACCATTTTTCATATTTCCCTGATAATTTTAATGCGCCTCAATCTCGTCGCTTTTCCCTTCTCTATCAATTTCGAAAACTCTGAACATCTTAGTAAGCATTATGTCAAGTGGATCGGATCACCGATTATCCTAAGATATTATCGAGATTATCATCACAAACAACTATCGTTATATCTAATGGATTTTGCATAGATATAAGATGTCTCAATCTATGATTATTATCGCGATAGTATCCAAAAATCCTAGGTTACAGAAGTGGAAACATTCAAGTGGAGATTGAGCTCCTACATTTTTTTTTTGGTTTTTTTGTTTGTTTTTTTTTATTTGCATCTCAAAGGTTCTTAACGAGTAGTGAATGGTTACGCAATAATTAATCTTTCGTTTTTAATCACTCGATATTCTGTGGTATTTTTTGCGGTTATTTAGACGGCAATTTATGAGATGACTACAATAATCAATTAATTCAAGTCTTATTATCAGGAATAGTCGTTATTTCTAATTGAGAATCAAGAACTCCTGATTGTATACTGGCCAATGTCGATGTTGTTTAAAATTTTTCAAATTAAATTTATTGAATTTCAATATTTTAGCAGATTTTTGTGGAATTGGAATCTCGAGTGCTGGAAGCTTGATGACATTTATCATTTTTGTTCATTATCTGAAGTTGAAATCGATTCAGAGGACACGATTCCTGTTTCTTCTGGGGTCCTTCATGAAGAAAAATCCTAGAAGAAACAGGAATCGTCAGCTTCGACTATTTCTCAAACAATCACTACTCTTTTTTCTTGGTTAAATAATAAGGCACAATTCAAAAGAAAACGGAGAATGCTATGTTATGGAAGATCGCAATCTTAGTTATTCAATCGTCCCTTTTTTCTCTCCTTGTTATTTTTTTTTCTTCTTATTTTTTGAATGGAAGATCGGAATATGGGTCTTGAAGACCAATAGAATCAGTGAGAGTCGCTTAATTCACCTCGATAATTGACCAATTATCGCAAAAAAATAGTCAGATCCAACGTCGTAATTCAAACGTGGACAATTCAGGATTTTGCAATCCCCCAGTCAAAACTGAGCGACTGAAAAACCCAAAATTGTCCGAGGCCAAGCTAAATTAATAAATTTGCAGAATTTCCTGAGTCAAATATTGTAGTCGATAGATAATTAATTGAAATAAAAAAAATAAGGCTGTCAAATAAAAAATGAGAAAAGCAAATGAAGAGGAGAAGTAAAGGTATCAAAGAAAGAGATGATCAAACCAGTCAAATTACTTTAGTTATGAAAATATTCAACAAAAGTAATCTATAGTATTAAAAAAAAGAAAGACAACGTGGAGATGCCACAACGGATACAACACACAAAGATTGATCGCTTAAAAACTAATAGTATACCTTGAAAGTCCACTAATAGATTCCCCGATACTCAGAAGACAACTCAATTAATTTGCCATTAGCAAATTCAAGTCATTTATGTTTTGTAATGAAAAAAAAAGCTGATCAGTAAATCTCTTAAATTCTCTTACAATGTAATTTTGATTTTTTTTTGTTGTAAAAATCGTGTCGTGGAAGTACTGAAGTACGACGTTGCGTACTCAATGGTACTTCCACGACACGAGTTTCCCCTCAGAAGGTGATTTCCTCACGCTCGAAACACCTGATGAGCTCGTTAGTACGCTTATACCTGTTTCTAATTAAGTATTTGTTGACGTTTATCTTGATTTGTTGGATGCAATGATCTAGTAATTCAAGATCTGGCTAATAGGTTTTTTTTTTCTCGAATTAGTGCTGCTTTTCTATTCAAAGTTCTTTTTTTTTTGCTGTTTGTTTTTTTCGCCTTTATTAGTTTTTTTCTCGTTAGGTAACTGGATAAAACGCCTCAGTAACTCAACTCTCTACTACCACTTAATGATTTTCGAATCTGTTATTTGCCGGTCTGTAACTTAGTGACAACTCGACTATTTTTTAATTTTTAAACGCCGATCTATAACTACGCGTCGTAGATTGTACGATAAAGATGATCAAGTAATTTCTCTTCCCACGATTTCACTGATCTTCCAAATAAATCTTTATGAATTCGATGGAACAATTCAAGATCTCAGATCGATTAACGATACGAGTCAAATGATTTGGTATTCGTAAACAGAATTTTTTTTACAATAAAAAAACAAAAATTCTTCAATATTTCTTATGCACTCATTGAATGTGTAAAAAAATCTGTTGATTTCTAAACTATTTTACAATTGAAGCGAGTCTATGATACAATACACTTATGATCTCGATCGATACAATTTTAGATGATTCATGGAATGGATCTGCAATCTCTCATTTATGAAAAATCACTTCATTTCAATCAAGCAAACCTCCCGCCCCCAGCTCCACCCCCCCTCATCGAGGGGGGCGCTGAGTTTTTTTTCTTCAAGTACTTTGTTGTAACAACAATGACGAATTTGAATAATTTTTCCAGAATGTACAATAATTTCGAAAGATCGCAAGTGCCTTGGGAAAATGTAAAATCCTGTTTACAAAATCACAGTCGTACCAGCTATTTTCACAATTGATTCGACTCCCCCTCCCCCCCCCCCTACGTCTACTATTTTTTTGTCAGTATTTTGCCTTTTTGTAAAAAAAAAAATCTTCCTCAGCAATTCAGTCTTCGATAGTAACCCAAAATGATCCTTAAAAGTTGATTTTCCCCCCTTTTACAAAATATTGTCAAGCCACGATCTCGTGCCGAGTCCAGGGGTCGGAGCCCCGGCACCCCCTGGCACCCCGGTCTGCTTTTAACGATAAATACTTTCTCTATTAAACGTCGGCTTGTTGTTAAAGTACAATATATAGAAAAATAAATGCGTTACAACCCCGACGGCCAAAAAACGACGCAACCGAAGGTGTCAACCGCTCTTTCTCTCGCTTTCTCTCTCACATACGCATTACTGAGTGATTACATCTACACGAAATTGAAAAAAAAATGGGAATAATCATTGGAAATAAAAGAAAAACAAATGATATCGCTTCAGTTTTCAGTCCTTAACCGATAGTAATCGCTCAGCATGCGCGAGGCCCTCATATCCCTGTCTTTAATAAAATCGTAATTCTCAATGAAATAACATGGCGATATGCCCTTCCTCCTTTCAGCATAAACTCCGCACAAGTAAATCATCATCAATTTCCCTACTTGTATGTAATCTATTGAAAATAATGAAACAGCAATCACACAAGTAGTTGTACCTCAGAATCACATCGTACGTTGAAATACTATTGAAAATTATTTGGTTAAACCGTGAAAGTCATCTAAACGTAATACCAGATTTTTTTAAATTCCGACTGCAAAACCTGCTGTCGTGCGAGCGAGCTCGCAAGACCCAGGTATCTGCCGACCTTCGTGCAGATGTAAAGTATGACTAGATCCGTGTAAAGTATTTTTTTTTAGGAAAATTCTCATAAAAATTTACGTAGGATTTAAAAATACTCCGTAATGTCAGCGCTAACCTTTTTTTTTCCTACTCTGTATTCAGTTTCTAGGTTCTCCAGATGTGCGATGTTAAATTGACCCAGTGATGGTACTTTTCTGTTTTTTTTTTTACTTTTCAACTCAGGTGATACTAGATGTGCAGCAATTTTCACCGGATGAGATATGCGTGAAGACGGTCGATGATAATGTTATCGTCGAGGCCAAACACGAGGAGAAGAAGGACGAGCACGGATTCATAAGCCGTCACTTTATCAGACGTTATGTGTTACCTTCAACACACGACCCAATGGGTGTTACGTCGAGCCTCTCCTCCGATGGGGTCCTCACGATCGCCGCAACCAGAAAGGTAATTTCACCCCTCAGTAGTCCCACTCCTCCCCGATTAGTTGAATTTTCAGGGCCCCACAGAGCCGAGGCCCAGGCTAAACAGCCCGATGATATTTCCCTTCGATTGTCCTTCGATTTTTATTAATCACGATCTTTTATTATCCTTTTTCTCTTCTGATGATTATGAGATCGGTTTCTTAAGGAGTGATGCTACATCTCGATTGAAATTTTAAGCTCTGAGGGACAAACAATGATTTCGGTTAAAAGAGGTCTTTTTTTATTCCTCAACGTTCAATACTGAAAGAGTGATTAATAATTTCAGTGGAAATGACAAGCCACCTTTGACCTTTTCTGCCGGAATAATTAATCAATTGGTAATAAATTATTTCTGAAAAATTACTAATTGATTAATTTATCTTCTAATTAATTTATTATTCGTCACTGGTTCAGTATTATTTTGGCATTGATTTTTTAAAAATCAGTCTTACCTAGAAATTAATCCAGCTCAGTGTTGATATTGAATAATCATCGGATTAAAAACGAAAATCTAACGCCACAGCTGGTACAGGTGTTGATTGAAGTACGGATTGTTCAAGCACCAAGCCACTAGGGCACTCTAAAAAACAATTAAAACATCTTATTGTAGCGAGACGCACAGGAAAAAATCAATTTACAACAAAATTCGAAAATTGAATAATCAACGGAAACATCAAAAGACTTTTTCGCGGCTTCATTCGAAAAATGTAATTTAATATATTTTTCTATTTTCAGAATGTCACACCAGCGGGAACCGAGAGGATCGTCAACATCGTCAAGACCGGAACCCCAGCAGCTAATAAACCTGAAGAGGCTAAACAACATGTAATTACAACCGAAGAGGAGAAATAATCTCTCATTCAATAAAAAGCGCGAAATAAATTCACGAATTCCATTAAAATCTTTCGTTTTTTCATCTCAAATCCAAATGCTCCCAATAAAAGACGAATAAATTGACAAAAAAATGAGCAGAAAATAAATCTCAATCGATGTCTGAAAAACATCTGCAAACGACGATAATAATTATCAAATCATCCCCGCTGAAAATAACAATAACAATAAAATAATTCCGGATCCCAATTTGTCGACATCCAGTCAAAAAAATTATCCAACCGCTAATTTAATTATTGGAATTGCCCCACCTCCCAAGGCCGTATTGCGTCGTCTTTAGTTGCTGGAAAATGGAATAAGTATATCCAAAAAAAAAAGAAAATGACAAAAAAAATACTCACGGCAAATGCTCGCGCTCCGCACTGCGTCGCCGTTTCTACATTGTATCACCGTATTAATGAAATACTGTCAATGTACAATATACACGTTGAATGAATAACGTTTTGAGGTGTTTGAAAAAATGATCTGAACTCTGCAGTGGTTTGTTTACGAATACGAGATGCCGGCAGTGCCGGCCGCCTTATATAGCCCCCGGCCCAGTCGCACTACCTTCCAGAATGTTCCATCCCAGGTCCCTCAAAACAAACTGCGCACATTCTCCATAAACCATTAAAAACATTAAATCTTATCACAAATGACGGTTTAAAAAAAGCCCACCATTTTTTTATGATTTATCATACGAAAATATCGCACAATTGTCGGAGAATTCACTGGGTTTTTACGAAAAATGTGTGACCGGGTAAAGTATTGATTGAACCGGTGTTGAGGAAGATTCTAGCACGTCCACCATTTCACCCAGAACCCGGCGGTTTCAACCGTCACGTACACCATACCCAACACAATTACCTTCTCTTTCAACACTTGTATTCATTGTATTCGTATACTACGGGTATAACCGACACCGAACGGCCAATCTCTCCCTAAATTTCTACGCAGTTACCGAATTTATCGTGATTCCATTCAACACCGTTGAATTCTGTTCCCAAGTTGTGGATTTAAATTGCATTTTTTTTTCGAAAATTGTTTTTACCGGATTTCTCGGAGATGGAGGAGGACTGATATTTTCGAAGATACCTTTTTTGTAGATCTCATATTTTTCTGGAAAAAATGTTTATTCGAAAAATTCGCTATGTTTCTTCAATCCGGAGATATTGGGTAAAAAATGATCTTGAAAAAATGCTCTTATCCCAGGTTACCACTTTGTTATTGAATTTTATTTTTTAAAAACTTGAAATCTTGACCTATTCATGGTTACTCAAGAACTGCCATTATTTGTTGAAGTTTGTTTGTTAAAAAATCGAGGCATAACTAATTCGCTATTTCTGGGAATGATTAGAAAGTTGAATTTTCGGTTTGATATCGGATTATGGTGAAGGGGAACCAACGGTTTTTTTGTCTACTGCGTATTTCTAACCATCTGCCCAACCTTTTAATTGTCTTGCAAATTAGTGGAGAGTAATGGCGCTGTTTGCTTTTCTTGGCGATCCGTTGGCAGAAATTGTTACGACGCAATTCCACCGAAAAAAATAGAATTGAATTTTTGGGAGTTGGTGTTTATTACTGACAGAGGCATTGACTTCTGTTGACCTACATTCAGTATGCAACCAAAAATATTAATGTAGGAATAATATAAAAAAAATATGTGATTAATTGTTTAAATTACTTGAACAGAGAAACAATGTTAATGAATATTGAAATATTTGATATTTCAAACAGCAACATTTCGGGGTTCACTACTGAAAATTGAGCCAAAAATTAAAGAGTACAACTGACCTCGACTTTGACCCATCTCCCGATCAATAGAAATTTTATTCTACTGCGTAGTCGAATTTATCTGATTTATTTAATGAGACACATTGAGAAACCTATTTTTTGGTGAAGGTATCCAATAACTTGTGACTTCAGTCACAAAACTACGAGAGTGAAACCAGTAATTTCATATTTTGCCAATTCGATAAAATCTGACAACCATTGGCTTCTCCATTTTCCAGAGTGTTCCACCGCTGGGTGCAATGAAAATCAATACCATCTACTGCGTCTCAATTGAGAACCTCACAGGTCCATATTGCAGCGATTGCTGCACCTTAAAATCAGTGAATATGAAAATAATTGATAGGATATCCATTCCGATAAAATAAAAAAGCTGCACTAGGTCCTTTCCTTGTTTGGAATAAAACCTTAATGTAAACAATGTTATTGATACCTGGTGCATGACATAATCAACGACGACCACAAATTCTATTTTTACACCTCATATCTTTGCAGAAAAAAATGATAAAAAAAATGTGATGGTACAGAGCGCAGATGCAGCGCTGACGCAGAGACCAGAATTTTCTGGTAACCCAGGATTATCGATCCTCGCTTTTGTGACCCGGTAACCATTTCTAGAAGGTTCTCGTCGCTTCCATTAGCATCCTCTCAGACTTCGGGCACAAAAAGATGGATGATAAAAAAATATTCTAATGCTTAAAAATAGGTTTTCAATACTCAAGACCCTCTTCACCTCGTGGATACTTACAAATCATCATAAATAATAATCCCCTCGGAAGAAATGGCGAGCCCATTGAAAAGAGAGAACTATTAGAAAGTTGTTATGGTCAACAACAGAATAACTGAATTATTCCATACATAATGATGTTCACTTTCGATTCAAGGTGAGTTCATGTATGAAAATGAATTGCGCATAGGGCGGTGGCCATTTGTGATGGGTCGTTCGTATCGAATGTAAACAAGTTGTCCAGATGTAAGGGTAATTGTACACCTGGGTTTTGCCGAATTGTCGACAAAGAGTTGTAGTTGAATGGAGGGTCATGGGAGTGTATGCAGGATTTCCTGCGGAAGTATCTGATCCCCTTGTCCGTCGTGGAGGCCAAGGTCAATTGTTGAGAGCAAGGAGAATTGACTAAAGTAGAGGCTCAGTTCTAGGGGTTTGAGTGACTCCAGTGGTATTGTAGTACTGCACCCCAAGAGAGGGAGGGCGCTACACGCAATGCTGGGGTGTCCATCAAGTTGTTGGGGTGAATTTTATTTTCTGCGGTACGAATGTTCTTTGTTTTTTATTTGTTTAACTGAAATTTAGCCGGCTGTAGAACGAGCGGAAGGGGGAAGCCACATCTTGTGAAATTTCAAATGGAAAAAATTAGTCAATATATTGAAGATATACTACTAATGAAATTATACTCTTACAATAGCGCGTTGTCTAATGGGCAACGCGCTTGGCCGGCTCACGGACGGCTAGGGTTCGATCCCAGCCATCATTGATTTTTTTTTATCAAAATCATTCCTATTTTTTTTTTGTAAATGGTTAATCAATGGAAATATCGTATAAAAACTGAATACTTGAAAATCGAGGAGATATCCAGTGAAATTGAAAAATTCGCAATTTTTGAAAACGATACTTTTTCAAAACATATACCCCTAATGAAACTAGACTCTTATAATGAGCACGTTGTCTTATCAAGAAGATGCTTGACTGGCACGCGGACGGCTACGGTTCGATCCCAGCCATTATTCATTTTTTTTTATCAAAATAATTCCAATTTTTTTCTCATTCACCGAAATTGAACAATTCGAAATTTTTGAAAAAGTATCAGGGGACCATGTGAATCGAGGAGGTATAACATTTTTAAACGATATTTCGATTGAGCAACCATTTACAAAAAAAAAATAGGAATTATTTTGATTAAAAAAAAATGAATGGTGCTGGAATCGAACCCAAGCCGTCGCGTGTCAGTCAAGCACGTGGACGATTAGACAACACGCTCAGAATAAAAGTGTGGTCTCAACAATCTCACAAAAATTACCAATTATTACATTTTTCGCGATTTGTCCTGGAGAGATTCGAGGCACTGAATGCCCGTAATTTTTGTCCGCAAGTACGAAGCGATCAGCTGGCAATTTTAAGGAAACTAAAATTAGGCAGATGGCGATAGTGGGCCCTCTCAATTTCGGAGAGGCAAAAATGAGTTTCACGGCAAAAGTGATCATGAGCGAACGAAGGAGCGGCACTTTTGGGCGGATAATTTCCCAATGGGGGGCTACGAATAAATGGGGTTGGGAGGGTGAATGGCTAAATTAGGGGTTGGACAGATGCGTGAAGGTAGACGGTGGGTGTAAGGATGAAGCTGGAATTAAGGAAGGGGTACGTGTATAAACATGGTGTTTGTAGGCATGGTTAGGGGTGAAATGAAGGGATGAAAATGGGATGAATGCTAGCAAAAAATTGTGGGTTTTATTTTCGCGGTAGGACCCATAGAAAGCGAGATACTCGCATTTTTATAAACTGAAAAAAATTTGCTCAAATTGAGTTCACTATATGTGAAATGGATGCGTCTCGCCGAGATATAAACGAATATGACCTTATTTTTGCGCTGGGACGCATAGGAAGCGAGAAAATCGAGTTTTTCTAAATCGAAAAAAAAAAAGAGTCGGTTGATTATCGACTGCCAGCAAAGCAGTAAATCAAAAGAACTACTCAACACTCGATTGTCATTCGTCGATGTAGATATCGCCAATCGGACTCACTGACTATCGGTATGAAGTCATAATTAATGACAGTTGGATTTTGAATTTTGATTCTCAGGTCTGAAAAGGTCAAGCTTTGATCTACATCTATGTGATAGATGAATAGCAAGAGCTTCATTCGTATGGTAGATTAAAAGTTGAAGTTCTGAAAAAGTTTCCAAAGTTGATTGCACGTTGTAGGGGTATAGACGAGTCTTTGGCGAGCACATGAATAATTGATTGAGGTAGATTCCAAACTTTCAGGCTATAGCCTCTCAATTACTCTGTACCTCTCTTTTAGCCATCTAAAAGTTGTGTAGATCGATCTACAGCATTTCTACTGAAGTTTCTCGCCATTATAGATTGTAGTCTATAGCTGTAGATTTCATCTATAGCCGCTGGAATGGCAGAGTCAAGTCGCTCTTTCATAATTCTACTGATAGAGTTTGAATGAAGAATTCAAATCTATTGTCATGTTTTATATTTTTTTTTATTTACTCTTGTATAATAATTATGGAAAGACCAGTTACAATGTAGATATGGAATCCTTCCGTTGTTGAACACAATTGTAGTATAATTTGTACGTAAAATTGTACTTAATTGAAGAATTATGACTAGCAATAGTGACACTAATTGAACGATAGGACTTATTCTAGAGCACTTGGTCATAATGAATCGACACCACTTTTATCCTGTACGAGTGATAATTCCACATCTTTGTTCTCCAGTGTTTCAGGATTTTCCTCGGGAACACTGAACAACACTTGATAGGTATAAGTCCCTAGGAGGGCCCCTAGAACTGGCCCAATCCAGTAAATCTGTAAAAATCAGTTAAAAGGTTTTTTTTTAAATTTTCATTCAAATTTTTAACTGCAGGATTTTTTCATTGAGCTCTTTTTTAATTAATTTTAAAACTACATGTCTTATCCTGAGCTGAGAATGCGGAATTGATTATTGCGGGTAAATAATGCCATTATCGCGGAAATGATTTATCGATCGTAGAGATAACGAAATCACAACATTTCTGCGAAAAATGCAGGTATTTATCAATTATAGGGAATCAATAGTAGCAAAATAAATCGATCGATTACTTTATCACGCGGCATAATCAGAGGAATTTTCAGGTGATTCGTAAAAATTAGATTATTCGCAATAGAAAATTCCTTTCTGGAAATGTTTGTAGGGATATATTTTGGCTAAACTCACCCATTGATTTTCCCACGCACCATTGAAAAAAGCCGGTGCAAAAGTTCTTGCGGGATTCATACTGCATCCAGTGTATGGGCTCTGCAAAAAAAAAATATCTTGTTAAGATTTTTACGATTTTTTACGTTTCAATTTATTGATATTGAAATTGCAAATTTACCGCAGCGAAGGAGAGACCAGCAACAGCTAATCCAAATTTCATGGCCACCGAATCATTGGTATTGGCACATCGAGAATCCCAAGTGGCACATGCCGTGCAGAGAACAATTGCTGTGCACAGCATTTCTATCAAGACTGCTTGGACTTTTGATACTCCTGGATGAACTACTGTAACGCAGAGAGGAATTTTGGAGTCAGCGAAGCCGTCGTTGAATAAAAAATCAGGTGTCACCATCTGCGATTATTTCAAGTCACAAAAGGATCATTTATTTAACAGCCACAAGAACGGAGGACTAATTTTATTCGATAGCATTTTCTTTTATTCAAATATCCTGACCGATTTCAGGCACGAAAACTAGTTTGAGATTTTTATCATTTTAATCCATTTTCCGTTATTTTTTTAGGATAAATAATTATTTTTGAGGGATTCGCACCTTCAGTAATCCATATCCAATGATTGCACCAGTGAATTGCGCGATCATGTAGAGGAATCCAGTGGCAATGGTCTTCTGCCGAATGATAATAGAACCGATTGTCACTGCGGGATTTAAGTGAGCGCCGCTCACGTGCCCCAGCATCTGCACAGAGTAATTAATTCATATCTTAAAATAAAATATCAAATCGATTCATATTGCGTTCCGATTTCTCCAAATTTACCATGATGATCATGTTGACGGTTAAACCAAATGTGAATGCACTCTGCATGGGAGGTGGTGGGCTGCGTCCTAGAGAGCCGATGCACCCCATGCATCCGATGAAGATCAAGACACCAGTACCCACCACTTCCCCCAGGAACATCGTCCTCGTCCCCTTCTGCAGTTTCCACAATCCATCTGCAACCAAAAGAAAATACAAATCCATTTTAAAATTCGTATTTAAATTAAAACTAATAATTACATAATGCATGATTTTCACTTTTGATTTTCGAGGTAATTACGATTTTCTCCTCTTCGTGCCACAAATTTAATTAATTGTTTAATGAAATTATAACAGAATACCCAATTTATTCTGTCTGTCACTAATGACTACATTCTCTTATCTATAATTGAGAAGAAATTAATATATTCGTGGAGATTACCTCTATTAGACATTTTCATTGACAAATTCAAATCGCGAGGCGGAAAAAAAAAATCGCGTAACTACCTCTGCGGAACTGAATCGCATGGATCGATGATCCGATGATCATTCACAGGGTGGAAACTACTGACAAGTGGTTGTGACCGAGGCGATAAAAAATACCTTATCTTGAATGTATTCACTACGATTGCACTCAACACGAATGGGTTAAACACAAATGATAAAACACTCTCTTTTTTTATATTTATTTTATTTAAAAATTTCCTATTTATTCAGTGTCATTTAGTTGAAAATTGTCTGAAATCACTGGAACATGAAAATATGATTAAAATTTCATTAATTTTCCGAGTTTTCGAATACTAATGGCCCTTAATTGAAAAGCTATTAATTACAGAATCTGACGAAATGATGTTGAGGGGCGTCCGTTGCCGAACACAAATGTCCCACGGCTGTTGATTAATATAATTATAAAGAAAATGAGGAGTTAGGTCTCTCCGATCCTTTTTCAATCCATGGAAAGTACAACTCGAGCATTTTTAGCTGTCGTTCCACTTTGCTTCGTTCACCCCAACATCTGAAAAATTCACTATTCCCCAATCCCGTCATTATGATAATAGTTTTTCAAAGTTTCTTGAATACAAAAGTTGATAGCTCACAGCGCAAGCGTTGAGAATAGCCTCTTCACTGACGATTCCCATGATTTACCTCAAAAGTGCTCCAACCGTCAATCCCACCAAAATGGAAAGACTAGAAACAACTCCTACAAAATACAAGAACACTGATTGCGAAACGAATATTAATTACGTCGTGAAGATATCTCGAACTCTGCTGACACCGATTGGAATTTATCCGCTTCATGGATCAGGAACAGCGCTGAGTAATTTCCTGGTGACAATTCAGATAATCATTATTTTTTCGCTGATGCTGTTTCTTCTGGTTCCCCACCTGATTTATACGTACTGGGACGCCGAAGACCTGACGAAGCTCATGAAGATCATCGCTGCACAGGTGTTCAACTCCCTGGCGCTCATCAAATTCTGGACCATGATCATTAACAAGGATTCATTGAGGTGGTGTCTTGCAGAGATACAGGACAGCTGGAGAAACGTCAGCTGCGATGAGGACAAACAAGTAATGATAAAAAATGCAAAAACTGGGAGATTTCTCACAGTTGCTTATTTGAGTCTTTCCTATGGTGGGGCATTGCCTTATCATATTGTCATGCCTCTTGTCGCTGAACGAATTGTCAAACCTGATAATACCACGCAGATACCACTGCCTTATCCCTGTGACTACGTATTCTTCGTACCTCAAGATTCACCTGGTTACGAGATGCTCTTCGTCACGCAGATCATCATCAGCAGCTTAATTCTCTCGACCAATTGCGGGATCTACAGTTTAATTGCTACGTACATCGTTCATGCGTGCTGCCTGTTTGAGATTGTTGGGAGACACCTGGATGAGGTGGGAAAGACCGTTGAGGGAGAGGTCCTGCAGAAGCTCACTCAAGTTATTGATAAACATACCTTTGCTATGAAGTAAGCGTTATCAAAATTAATATATCGCATCATTAGAATATCATGAATAATAAAATGGATAAACATTTGTTGAGTTCCAGCGAATTAAGTTGCCACAAAATAATATTTTTATTTAGACTCCAATATCAAGCGAAGAGAAAATAAAAAAATTAACATCTCGTCGAATTAAAAAGAGAAATTAATAATTTAATGAATTTAAAAAAAACTCCCAATTTAATTCCAGATATGCGTTGACGCTTGAAAAATCTCTCAACATTGTCTTTCTATCCGAAATGGTAGGCTGTACAATAATAATCTGTTTCCTGGAGTACGGAATACTTCTGGTAAATATCACCCCATCATAAATAAAAAATCTCTATGAGTTTCACAGAAAAAATTTGCAGGATTTCGGTGAGAAAAATTACTTGGGAATGGTGACGTATGTAGTCCTGATGACATCAATTCTAGTGAATGTCTTCATCCTATCGTTCATCGGAGATCGATTGAAGGAACAGGTAAATCGATTAATACACCACAATCGGCATGAATAACTAATAAATCTGTTTATCAGAGCTCCAAAATTAGTGAATACACGTACGACTTGGAATGGCACTCGATGCCAAAACATATGGTGCACAATCTGCTGTTCATTATGATCAGATCCAACCAACCAGTGACGCTGACAGCCGGAAAACTTTTTGACGTTTCACTACAAGGATTCGCCGACGTGAGTTTTATAGAATTAAATACATCAATGAATAAATAAATTGCTCACCACTGAAATTACATCTGTCGACAGGTCGTTAAAACATCAGCTGCCTATTTAAACTTCCTCAGAGCTGTCGTATAGTCTTCATGATTAGTATAATTAACACCACCTACATGAAGTCGAATTAGTTCATGTATTAATAATTGTGCATGTAATTGCGCGAAGAATTCCATAGTAAAAATATTTAACATGATTTTTTTTCTTTTCATAAATACAAGAAGGGATTCAACCTCTTCCCAGAAAAGCTACCAGAAGACTATTCCCTACTATTTTCCCACAAACTTCTGACCCTCGTCATTGAAATAATTCCCTCAATCATCTGTAATCATCCTAATTTTCATTAAAGTATAATGCAGTTTTCCGGGAAAAGGTTGAAATTAGAAGTAGAGAACTTTAAAATGCAGAATTGATCAAATCATTTGAACGCAAGCGCAGAGTTGAGTTAGCCTCATCAGAGAAAGATCAGCTAGTGGTCGATGACTTTTCGATGAAGAAGGATGAGCTTGGAGGCCCCCAGTAAAAACACGAGAGTAAATCAAGACGTGGAGCACGCAATCGAGATAATCAGATGGCTACTAAAGCCTCTGGGCTTGTGGCCATCCAATCGTCAAACGCCTATCGAAAAAATGACAAGCATTTTCCTGATGAGTGTCTGCACATTTCTGCTGGGATTTTTAATAATTCCGGGGAGTTTATTCGCATTTGTGAAGATAAAAAATCCAGCAGTGAGAGTGAGACTCACGGGTCCACTGAGCTTCTGCGTCATGGGGATCTTGAAGTACTATTTTCTCTTCATCGAGCGTCGGAATATCGCCACAAGCATTAGACACATGATAGCTGATTGGCAGAAAGCTGTTGCAGTACGTGATCATCGTATTATGCTGACATATGCACAATTTGGAAGATATGGATCAACAATTTGCGCTGGTTTTATGTACAGCGGAGGTCTGTTTTACGCTCTGATATTGCCATACGTGTCCGTTGGTGGTAAAAATGAGAAAAATATTACAATCAGACCTCTCGCTTATCCAAGTCATTATTTGCTGTTCGATCCACAAGAAAGTCCTGCCTATGAGATTGTCTTCACAACTCATTGTTTCTGTGCCTTCGTCATGCATTCAATTACGAGTGCTACATGCAGTCTTGCGGTGGTCTTTGTGATGCATGCCTGCGGACAATTGGAGATCCTGATCATGTGGTTGAAGGATCTAGTGGATGAAGGGGCTGGTAAGAGGTTTCCGAAGGTCATTGATCAACATGTGAGAACTCTCGAGTGAGATAATCTATATTCAATCCAATAATTCATTTTATAAACATTTCCTTCGTAATTCTGAATGATTTTTCAACTAATCGATCAATATTTCCATCGCACGACAGCTTCATCATTCGTACAGAAAAAATACTCCGTGAGATTTGCCTGGTAGAAATTTGCGGATGTACTCTAAATATTTGCTTCATCGGTTATTATTTGATGATGGAATGGGGAGAGGCAGATGCCATCGGAATAACCACCTATACAATTCTTCTCATCTCCTTCGTATTCAATATTTTTCTCTTCTGTTACGTCGGAGAACTCCTTACAGAAGAAGTAAGTACTGAATTAATAGTAGATCACACAATATTATTTGAAAGAACTTCCTTTGAATTAATTGATTGGTACTCAAAGGGATAAGGACGCATTTAAAAAAAATAATTCTGAGTACAAACAAAATTTGTCAGTGCAAAAAAGTTGGCGAAACAACGTACATGCTGGAGTGGTACAGACTTTCTGAGAAAAAAACAGTGGAGCTGACCTTGATCATTTCAACAGCTCAGCATCCTATCACCATCACTGCTGGCAGAATGATTGCCTTGTCTTTGAACAGTTTTTGTACCGTAAGTCTAGTTCTCCACTGGACTGCAGTGGTCTCAAGGGATGAAAACAATTGAATTATTAAAAATATATACTTTTCATTTGACAGGTCATTCGAACATCAGTTGCATATTTAAATCTTCTGCGAGCCCTCATAGATTGAAATGTTACTATTGCGTAGGATTATTGGATATTAAACATGAACAGGAGAATAATTATCTAATTATCTAATTGTTATTAAGAAGGAATCAAAAATATACAGCATTCTTTCAAATTGCTCAACAGTACTCACAAAATTTCCGTTTGTTATGATTTCCAAACATAGTTCAATGATAATTATCTCACATTTTCAGTCTTCTTATCTATCATTATAGTAAATGTCTGAATGTGACATGAGTCTTGCAAAAAACGTTTGGAGTATTCGTTCTATGAGTGGAGAGGGTTCGATTTTTCCCCTCCTCTTCGCTCAGGTGAAGGATAAAAATGAAACAATGATAAGTGCTTCTAAGAAGTAATTTAACTTCATAATCATCAAACCAGCTGACTTGTTCGCAGTGCATGGGAGCTAATTGTCATGAAACAAACGCATGCGCTTTCTTTAGAATATTTAATGTTATCTTCAGTCGAGTATCAACAGTCATTCAAGTGAAAATGCGAGACGACGTGGTAATCCTTGGGGTAGTGCCCAGCCCCTCAGAGCGATCAGAGGCAGATGTGAGATACAGTACTGAGTTGAATCGGTGGTTCCTGACGCCAATCGGCATCTGGCCAACTCGAAGGGACGCTCACATTCTCGAGAAAATACTCTCTGAGTTTCTCGTCTTTCTCTCCTGCTTGATGATTTGTTTTCTGCTGGTCCCCGCCAGTCTTCACACCTTCATAAAGGAGAAAGATCCAAAACTCAAGATGAAGATGATTGGACCGTTGAGTTTTTGCCTAATGGCCATCACCAAGCATCTCTTCCTGTTTAGGAGGAGAGGAGAAATTCGGGAGTGTCTCGAGCACATTGATGTCGACTGGAGGAGAGTTGTACATGCCGATGACCGAGAGATCATGCTGATGAAGGCCAAATTTGGTCGGTTCATTGCTTGGCTGTGTGCTGGCTTCATGTACGGTGGTAGTATTTTTTTTCATACCATCATGCCATTCTCGTTAGGGACTCTTGTCACACCTGACAACGTCACAATTCGACCGCTTGCGTATGCCATTTATGATCCGCTCTTCTCTGCCCAAACTACACCGGCGTATGAAATAGTTTTTACCATTCAGTGCTTCTCTGGATTCGTTACTAACACTGTTACGATAGGTGCTTGCAGTCTTGCTGCTGTATTTGTACTTCATATATGTGGACAGCTTAAGATTGTAAGATCAAGATTGGGGAGTTTGGTCAAGGGAAGGATAGATGAGAACAAAAATGTGAATGAACGAATGGCAGAGATCATTCAACTTCATCTGCGAGGTCTTGAGTAAGTCAATTTTATTACTTTGCAAGTGTTCTTCAAGACAAATGTCTTCTTGCAGGTTCGGTGTCCATGTTGAAATGATTTTAAATGAAGTCTGCCTCATTGAATTCGTTGGCTGCACCATGAACATTTGTTTTCTTGGATACTACTTTATGACGGTAATCAGGAAAGTTTATTTGGAAAATATGAGGAGGCGAATGAAAATGTCATTGTTTCAGGAATTTGAACAGAGTGCGGCGATAGCCACCGTCACCTACTGCGTTCTCCTAATATCTTTCATCTTCAACATTTTTATATTTTGTTATATTGGTGAAATGCTGACACAACAGGTAAACAGGTAAATGCTCTTCCACATAATGTTGAAATCTTTGGGATTGTTTTCAGGGCGATAAAGTTGGAACTACCACATACATGATTCCCTGGCATGAACTTCCACCAAAAAATGCAAGGGCTATAATCCTTCTTCTCGCGATGACCAGACAGCCGGCTACAATCACAGCTGGAAAAATGGCGGAATTATCCATTCGAAGTTTTTCTGGAGTGAGTTGAAAATTGGATTATCCTAATTAAACAAAAATTATTTAGTTACCAAATCCATCGTTTCCTAGGTACTCAAAACAGCAGCTGCTTATTTCAATCTACTGCGAACAGTTTTAATATAATCCAAGCAATGATGGCATCCCCATTCTCACATAATTGATATTTCAAAAAAATTTCTTTATGAATTTCAACAGGGACAGGTCCCTCAACAATTTCTTCACGAGCTTTGTGAGATTTTCGCTATTTTATTCACATTGTAGAATAATGTTCTTGTTCAGCCATAGGATTTCTCCACGAACTCCTTATAATCTTAACATAGATGCTTTCCGCATAGGTCAAATGTACATTATTTTCACCCATTTCTATTCGGTGGTTTTCGTTAATTTATCTAGAGCTCGTTATTTAAATATTAAAGTGACAATTCCATTGAAATTTCACTGAAAATTTCTATTATATCGGATGGAATCTGTTAACGTCAGAAATCTTGGAAAAGACATTTAAAATATTCGTTCTGCGAGTCGAGAAGGTCGGTTCTTTCCCTTTCCACCCTCTTCCGATGAAGCGCAAGAAAAAATAGTGATAATTCCTTCTACGAAGTAATTTAACTTCATAATCATCGAGCCACCTGGGTTTTTCACAGTGCAGGAAAGGTAATCGTCATGAAGCTGACGCACGCGCTTTCCTTGAAATATTTCTCTCTATCCCCAGTCGAGTATCAACAGTCACTCCAGTGGAAATGCGAGACAAGGTGGAAATTCTTGGGACAGTGCCCAAGCCCTCAAAACGTTCAAAAGCGGATGTGAAGTACAGTACTGAGCTGAATCGTTGGTTCCTGACGCTAATCGGTATCTGGCCAACTCGAAGCGACGCTCACATTCTCAAGAAAATACTCTCCGAGATTCTCTTCTTCCTCTCCTGCTTCCTGCTTTTTTTTGCCATGGTTCCTGCCGTACTTCACACCATCTTAAAGGAGAAAGATCCACAGCGCAAGATGAAGATGACTGGACCGTTGATTTTTCACGCGATTGTCATCATTAAGCATTTTATCCTGGTGATGAAGAAACGGGAAATTCGAGAGTGTCTCGAGCACATGGATGTCGATTGGAGAAGAGTTGCACATTCAGACGAGCGAGAGATCATGCTGATGAAAGCGAAATTCGGGCGGTTCATCTTTTTGCTGGACGCTGTCTTTATGTACAGCGGGGGTTTTTTCCACAGCGTGATCGTGCCACTTTCAATGGACAGTTTTGTCACTCCTGACAACATCACAATTCGACCGCTATCTTATGCTGTTTATGAGCCACTCTTCTCTACCCAAACTAAAACGGCATATGAAATAGTCTTTACCATTCAGTACGTCTCTGCATTCGTTGCTAACACTATTACCATCGGATGTTCCGGTCTTGCTGGTCTATTTGTTCTCCATATATGTGGACAGTTCAACATTGTGAGATCAAGATTGGAGAGTTGGGTGAGGGGAAGGACAGATGAAAGCAAAAATGTGGAGGAACGAATGGCAGAGATCATTTACCTTCATCTGCGAGCTCTTAAGTAAGTCAATTTCATTACATTATGATTTTTCTACGAGGCAATGTCTTCTTCCAGGTTTGGCGCCCAAGTTGAAATGATTTTGACTGAAATCTGTCTAATCGACTTCGTTGGTAGCATCATACACATTTGTTTCCTTGGATACTACTTTATAACAGTAATGGGAAAAATTTATTTGGATAATTTGTGGAGGTGGGTTGAAATGTCATTGTCTGACGAATTTGAACAGAATGCCGCGATATGTATCGCTACCTACTGCGTTCTCTTAGTGTCTCTCACCTTCAACATTTTTATATTTTGTTATATTGGTGAACTGCTGACTCAACAGGTAAACATACTCTTCCATATTATGGTGAAATACTTGGGATTGTTTTCAGGGTGAAAAAATTGGAACTACTGCATATATGATTCCCTGGCATGAACTTCCACCGAAAAATTCAAGGGCTATAATTCTTATTCTCGCGATGACCAAGCAGCCGGCTACAATCACAGCTGGAAAAATGGTGGAATTATCCATTCGAAGTTTTTCCACAGTGAGTTGAAAAATTTGTTTATCCTAATTGAACAAAAATTATTGAGCTACCAAATGTATCGGTTTCTAGGTACTTAGAACAGCGGCTGCTTATCTCAATCTCCTGCGAACCATTTCCATATAGTCCGAATAATGATAGAATATCTATTCTCACATAATTAATATGAAAAAAAAAATTCTATATGAATTCTAACTGGTCCCGAAATAGCCTCTCCATGAGCTTTGTAAGATTTTTGAAATTTTATTCACATTGTAGAATAATGTCAAAGTCCGCACTTTGTTCACTCATAGGATTTCTCTAGAAACTCCTTATAAGCCTAATACAGATGCTTTCCGCATACGCCAAATGTACTTTATTTTCCCCGATTTCTATTCACTGTTGTCCATTAATTCACCCAGAGCTAGCTGCTGAAATTTCAAACTGAAAATTCCCTTAAAATTTCAATGAAAACTTCAATTATATCGGATGAAATCTGTTAACGCCATAAATCTTGGAAAAGGCATTTAAAATATCGGTTCTGCGAGTCGAGAAGTTCGATTCTTTCCCTCTCCCCTGTCTTCCGATGAAGTATAAGAAAGAGGTAGCGATAAGTGCTTTTACGAAGTAATTTAACTTCACAATCATCGAGCCAGCTGGTTTTTTTCACAGTGCATGAGAGGTAATTCTCATGAAACTGACGCACGCGCTTTCCTTAGAATATTCCATTCGAGTATCAACCAGTCGAGTATCAACAGTCACTCCAGTAAAAAATGCGAGACAGGGTGGAAATTCTTGGGGCAGTGCCCAAGCCCTCAAAACGTTCAAAAGCGGATGTGAAATACAGTACTGAGCTGAATCGTTGGTTCCTGATGCCAATCGGCATCTGGCCAACTCCAAGTGATGCTCACACTTTCGAGAAAATAATCTCCGAGTTTCTCGTCTTTCTCTCTTGCTTCCTGATTTGTTTTTTGCTGGTTCCCTGTGGTCTTCATACCTTCATGAAAGAGAAAGATCCAAAGCTCAAGATGAAGATGATTGGACCATTGAGTTTTTGTCTGATGGCCATCACCAAGTATCTCTTCCTGATTGTGAGGAGACGGAAAATTCGGGACTGTCTTGAACACATTGATGTTGATTGGAGGAGAGTTGCTCATTCAGACGATCGAGAGATCATGCTGATGAAGGCGAAACTCGGGCGTTTCATTGCTTTACTGTGCGCTGGCTTTATGTACGGCGGTGGTTTTTTCTATCATACCATCATGCCCTTTTCAGTGGGTAATTTTGTCACACCTGATAACATCACAATTCGACCGTTAACTTATGCTGTTTATGAGCCACTCTTCTCGGCTCAAACTACACCGGCATATGAAATCGTCTTCACCATTCAATGGTTTTCGGGATTTGTTAATTATAGTGTTACAATCGGTGCTTGCAGTCTTGCGGCGGTATTTGTTCTCCACATATGTGGACAGCTCAAGATCGTTAGGTCGCGATTGGGTAGTTTAGTAAAGGGAAGGGTAAACGATAGGAAAAATGTGGATGAGCGGATGGCAGAGATCATTCAACTTCATCTGCGAGCTCTTGAGTAAGTCAATTTTATTACTTTGCAAGTGTTCTTCAAAACAAATGTCTTCTTCCAGGTTCGGCGTCCATGTTGAAATGATTTTAAATGAAGTCTGCCTCATTGAATTTGTTGGCTGCACCATGAACATTTGTTTTCTTGGATACTACTTTATGACGGTAATCACGAAAATTTATTTGGAAAATGTGGGGAGGCGGATGAGAATGTCATTGTTTCAGGAATTTGAACAGAGTGCGGCGATAGCCACCGTCACCTACTGCGTTCTCCTAATGTCTTTCATCTTCAACATTTTTATATTTTGTTATATTGGTGAAATGCTGACTCAACAGGTAAACAGGTAAATGCTCTTCCACATTATGTTGAAAATCTTGGGATTGTTTTCAGGGCGATAAAGTTGGAACTACCGCATACATGATTCCCTGGCATGAACTTCCACCAAAAAATGCAAGGGCTATAATCCTTCTTCTCGCGATGACCAAACAGCCGGCTACAATCACAGCTGGAAAAATGGCGGAATTATCCATTCAAAGTTTTTCCGGAGTGAGTTGACAAATTTATCCTAATTTCCATTATTCCGAAATTATTAAATCCTTAAATCTATTCATGTCTAGGTACTCAAAACGGCAGCCGCTTATCTAAATCTCCTACGAACAGTTGTAATGTGAATAATAACAGTATTTAATTTCTGATACCATTGGCATTTCGGAATTTTTATCCAGCTCAAGACATTCGATCAGAATTTTCCCTTTTACTATTTTTGTGATCATAAATTCTGGATAGAAGTATATGGACACAGATTCATCTATAATATTCATAAGGATAATTTCCACTCCAATGAGACCAGTGACATTTTTCCCAGAAAAAAAAAATAAATTATCCTAGATATTGATTGACATACCATTAAAACCCGTTAATTTCCAATCCATTCGTTGTATTTCTCAACCCTTTGCTCATCGATATTAATATACCCGAAGCAGACGACATTCTCCCCATCCAGAAAATCCAGAAATAACTGATTTCTCAGTTCCATCCTTGCCCCATGGCATCTGCTGACATTCCCACAATTCAGGAATTAATGACAAACTTCCCAATCAATTTCCCGGATATGACAGCCCCTCTTTTTGCGCAATCGCACTGGGCATTCCATTCTCTCCATTTTAATCCATCATTTCTCAGTGACTTGCCAACATCGTCCCCTCAAACATGAGCACAGACTTGGCAATCAGCGGCGTCTTCAGACAATCAGACAGACGGAAAATTGATTTTGCATATAGCACCCAAGTAACTCGTCTGGTATCAACATCAATCGGTCTGTGGCCCCTGCACCTCCAGTCCAACGTATTCAAACGTTTCATCTTCAAGTTCCTGGTGATCACAATCTCCTATTTACTTATATTCTTCTTCATTGTGGCGTGTGGCATGCACGCTCTTTACATCGAGACAAATCTCCACTTGAAATTGAAACTTCTCGGTCCCATCAGTTTCTGCTTCATGGCAATAATCAAATACTCACTGCTGATTGTCCGTCAGGAGAAAATAGGCAATTGCCTGAGGCACATGGACAGCGATTGGCGGCGATTCGGTGATCTCGATGACCGAAAAATTATGCTGACCAATGCTCGGACTGGAAGGCTTGTAGGAATTCTATCTGCCTGCTTCATGTATGGCGGGGGCGTATTCTACCGGACAATAATGCCAATCACTATTGGTACCCGAATGACTCCTGAAAATATCACGGTACGTCCACTAATTTGCAAAGTTTATGAGCCCATATTTGGGGGACGGAACAGCCCGTCCTACGAATTGTGCTTTGCTGGCCAGTGGCTCTCCGGATTTGTTGTCTACAGTATTGCAATCAGCACCTGCAATTTTGCTGCTATTTTTGTGCTGCATGCCTGCGGACAGCTTAAGATCGTCATGTCTCGACTCAATGATTATGTCGAGGGGACCAGGAACGTCAAGACTTCCGTTGAGGACAGAATACGCGAAATTGTGGAGCTGCATCTCAGAGCCTTAAGGTAATTATTCCTCTCTTCCTCTGTATTAAAAGAACAAAAGTTTTTTTTTCAATTCAATCAGTGCAATTAGTTTAATTGGCTGGTTAGTTGGATGTTCACCGAAGCTAAGAGCTATTTTAATGTAAATTTTTTCATTTTTCAGACTTATTTTTTCCACTCAGTCAATTCTTAATGAAATATGCCTCATAGAAATTGTTGGCTGCACCTGGCACATATGTTTCCTGTGTTATTATCTCCTCACGGTAATTGATATTTAGGGGAGGACCTGAGGAATAATTGGAATAATTGGTTATCGGGGTATGAATTTAGGAGATTTCAGAGAATATGGGGACAGTGGCGATGATCACGTATTGCTTAATGTTCACATCGTTTACCTTCAATATATTTATTTTCTGTTTCATCGGGGAAATGCTGATGCAACAGGTAGGGATAACGGCCGTTGGCGTTGCTCAATATAAAATTGATAAATTTCTCGGTGGAAGGGGAAGAAAATTGGCTCGACAACGTGGATGATTGATTGGTATAAACTTCCAGGTAAAAGTCCCAGGGATCTCATTTTGATATTAGCCATGGCGAATTATCCCACCAGTTTGACTGCAGGCAAAATGATCGACCTTTCGTATGCCTGTTTCTGTGGTGTGAGGACATTTTATTTCATTGAATCCACGAGGAGAACTGGAAAAAATAAAACCCCGACTTCCGTAAAAAGAGGGAGAAATTTATGAATAAGTGGGGAATAACTAGACGTTCATATGAGAATGAAGGGTGCCATTTTTGAACGGTTTTCCTTGAGGAAATTATTTTATTTAGGAGAATTCTTTTGGTATTTGTATTAATTTCTCTGCATTGGATGTTTCAGGTTCTCAAAACTGCAGCCGCCTATTTCAATATTCTTCGGACACTGATTCAGTGAAGAGCCAACAGTCACTGCACAAAAATTATTATAACTTAATTAGCTGAAAATGTAGAGATGCGGTAGTGTTTTTTTCAAAATATAAAGTGTACTGAGGGAAAAAATTGGAAAAAATTGGAAAAAATCGCCCCAAGAAATTCATTTATCTCCATTTACTCAGACACTTTTCGTTTTGACGCTATAAAATGACTGAAATGGTATTATGCTCGGTGATTACTCGTGCGGGGTAACCACCTGGTAATTTTCTCAGGCTCAACCACAAATAGAGCCATTGGCACCCCCAATCACAGGGTGATTCCTCCCTCCAATACGCAAGCGCTTTGTCGCAGCTTTTTCCCGCTCGAGTTAAATTTCTCCAGTATTCCCTGAATCGTCGATGAGTAAAATATGAGAAACCAATCGTCAATCGTCGGCCGGAAGTCAGTACCAGCGAAAAAATCAAAAAGTGATTTCAAAGAGGCAACTAACATCAGCCGATGCCTCTTAACACTTCTCGGTTTATGGCTATCAGAAAATCCCACGAAACTCCTAAAAAAAGTGTTATTGGACTTATCAATCGTCATCTGCTATTTCCTCATATTTTTTCTCCTCATCCCATGCGCTCTTCACACATTTATTATCGAAAAAAAACCTAAAAAGCAGATGAAGATGATTGGACCGATGAGTTTCTGCGTTATGGCATTGATAAAATATTTTTTTATGATCATAAGGCGAGAAAAAATTCGCGGGTGTCTCCATCATATTGAGATTGATTGGCGAAGAGTTGAGAGTCTTGAGGATCGAGAGATAATGGTGAAGAATGCTAAAATCGGTCGTTTCATCACAAGTTTATGTGCCACGTTTATGTACAGCGGTGGATTTTTCTATCGAACAATTTTACCATTCGCTCTACCGAGAAAATTACTACCTGATAACACAACAATGCGGCCCCTTCCGTATCCCGTCTATAGACCCCTATTTAATTCACAAAATACCCCTGTTTATGAAATAGTATTCACAACCCAATGGTTCGGGGGTTTTGTTATATATACCATTACTGTCGCTGCATGCAGTCTTGCTGCTGTCTTGACTCTCCACGCATGTGGTCAACTGAAAATTGTCATGTCACGACTCAATGATTTTGTAGAAAACAGTGTGGGCACCGATAAAACTCTGACGAGTAAACTGGGGGAGATTGTGGATCTCCATTTTCGCGCATTGCAGTAAAATTTCATTTAACTCTTTATATTTTTTACCAATCATTTTTAATTAACCTCAAAATTAATCTTTTCAGATTTGCTGTGAAGATCGAAGGCCTTCTGAACGAAATTTGCTTCGTAGAATTTATTGGCTGCACCATGAACATATGTTTCCTGGGGTATTACTTGATCACGGTATCCATGCACGAATAATTCTTGTGTGCAATCCTTGACTCACGACTTTATGTATGAGTTTGTTAATAATTAATTGAATTTTAATAGGAATTGGAACAAGGTAAAAGTTCAACAATAGCAGTTGTAACGTATCTCTTCTTGATAACATCATTCACATTTAATATTTTTATCTACTGTCACATTGGTGAACTTCTGAATCAGCAGGTAATTATTGAGGGGAAAAATTCATTCGACAATTTGAAATAAACCCTCACGCAATCTATTGTTTTTTTCCTCTTTTGTTTAGGGGAAAAAAGTTGGGACAACTGCATACATGATAAATTGGTACGAACTTCCAGGGAAGAATGCGAGTGGTTTGATTATACTTCTGGCCATGTCCAATTGTCCAGTGACAATTACAGCTGGAAAAATGGTGGAGTTGTCATATGCCACTTTCTGCAATGTGGAGTGTCACGGATTTTATTTATTTTCTCAACAGACAATGAAGATCCGGAAGCATTAACTGTTGATTTGTTGCAGGTTCTTAAAACGGCGATGGCATACTTCAATCTATTAAAGTCAGTCATTTTGTAACCGATGACTCGTGGATATTGTGATCAATATCTTTTGGATTATGAAACGCTCGGTTGTAGGATTGTTAGCATAAATTTTTAATTGATAGATAATTATGAAATTCTTGTAGTCTCACTTGTTTGTCGTTGAAAGATTTTTAAAATGGTTTATAGTAGCTTTTTTAAACAATCATAAAGCATAAGCTCTTGGTGAATAAATTTTAGAAGACAGAATTTTACTGCCGACGTCATTTTACGAGGCGTGGCACCTCCTCTTGTGTGGGTGGTGCTACAATTGCCCCGCCTTATTTATCTGTTGAGGATTTATTTGCACTGGATAATACATTGAGCGATTGAAAATAAAAAATTGTTCACAATAATCGCATTCAGGGATCACCATTCTCAATCTCCGACTATTTGGAGAATTTGAACGAACCCACCCCAACGACAACTCTGGCTGCCCCATCAGGCAATTTTCTCACGGTCTTACTAAAATAATCTAGCCACTCCCGCCCTTCTCCAACTCGAATTTGCAGACGCGCACGCGTTTTTAAATTAGCCATTCCGTTTGAATATAGCGATTTGCAAGCGTTAGTTTCACCAAACCTCTGTATAAGAGAATAATCATGAGGAGCGAATCCCGAGTCCTTGGGTCAATCCCCCCTCAAACCAAGAGATCAGAACTTGACACGAAATACGGTACCAACATGGGCCGATGGTTTTTAATGACCATCGGTATCTGGCCACTGCCATCAGACGCTCACATAATAAAAAAAATTCTCTGTGAAACGTGGATAGTAATGTGTCATAGTTTGATTATTTTCATTCTTGTACCCGCCTTTCTGAATACAGTTTTGATCCAGAAGGATCCCCGCAAGCAGATAAGAATGATTGGACCAATGATATTTTGCACAACAGCCTTGACAAAATACAATTTTTTGGTGGGGCACAGACAGGCAATCAGCAAGTGCATCGAACACATGAACATTGACTTTAGAAGAGCCAAGAGTGATAACGACAGATCAATTGTCCTCAATTACGCCAGAACTGGAAGGACAATTGCCACTGTATCAACGAGCCTCATGTACGCCGCTGGTTTTTTCTACCGGACAATTTTACCCCTGACACGACCTGTCATCGTTACATCCAACAATTTGACCATTCGACCATTGACAGCTCCAATCTACGATCCTCTTTTCAGTGCTTACACGTACAGATCGTGGACCCTAGTGTTCATCGGTCAATGGTTCAGTGGCTATGTGATGTACACAACTGCTGTTGGTGCTTGTAATTTGGCGACAGTCTTTGTTCTTCATGCCTGTGGACAATTGAAGCTTGTCATGTCGAGACTGGAGAGCTGCGTCGAAGGAAGCAAACATGTCCCAGCTAGTGTTGAAGACAGAGTTGCAGAGATTGTAGAGCTGCACGTTCGATCATTATGGTAAAAATATTTCCTCCCAGGAATTTCGTAAGTGTATAACGAATGCTTCTTGAATTTCAGCTTTGCCTTTCGGGTGGAAACGATTCTCAATAAAGTATGCTTCGCCGAAGTTGGGGGATGCACGCTAGTTATATGTTTCCTTGGCTACTACCTGATAACGGTGATTAGGAGGAATGGGAAGTGCCCGAAAATATTGATTAATGTGATTTATTATTTGAATGAACTCTAGGATGTGAATTCGCATGAAACAGCAATATCGCTACTCACGTATTACGTACTCATAGTTTCCTTTACGTTCAATATTTTCATTTACTGCTATATCGGTGAATTGCTGACACAACAGGTAAGATCATCGATATAATGAATTCATCGATTGCAGTCGATTTATTATATTCCTTTCAGTTAATTATTGCTCTTCACTCAAGTCCTTCAGAACGCTTTTATTATAATATTTTTTAAGGGAATGAGAGTTGGCACTGTAGCCTATTTAATTGACTGGCATAAATTGCCGGTGTCAAGTGCTAGAGGTATCATGCTGATAATATCAATGTCTGCGTATCCCACGAGTATCACAGCGGGAAGAATGATGCAGCTGTCGTACAGCAGCTTTTTGAGTGTCAGTATCACATTTTTATGGACAAATATTCAATAAAAACATGCCATCATTTATTACAGATTATGAAAACCTCGGTGGCGTATCTGAATGTTCTCCGAGAAATGACAGATTGAATGTTTTATATTGTTATTATTATATCAATGTTCAAACTGAATACTTACGTCACGAATTTCGAAATAAAAACGGAGATGATTAGATTTTTGTGAGACATGCCGTGTAAATTATTGCGCACTCTCTGAACTACGGTGGACAATTAATTTGCACACGTCTAAAAATGACTGCCTATTGCCCACCGCATGCGCAAATCAATCCCTCATGAAATATTCACTCGATTTTTTTTCCAAGTCGAATGCAAATCCCAACCAACACTCCTAATAGACCGCTCGAGCCAACATGTCACTTGAGCCATTCAAATTCCCAGTTGTCCACCAACCCGAAGCCAATATAAATTATGAGCTCCAGTACACCCGTTGGTTGTTAACAGCTCTTGGAATCTGGCCGATGATATCAAACGACGTGACAAGACGAGCAAAAATATTATCAATCATTCTCATCGGCTTCAGTCTTTTTGCGATAGCCTTCATCCTCATTCCCATCGCAGTTTTCATGTTTCTGAAGGTGAAGAGCCTGCGATCCCGACTCGGATTCATCGGCCCCATAGGATTTCGCATCTCGAACACCTGCAAGATCATCATGATGATGTACCGCGCAAACATTATCAAGGAATGCATCAACCAAGTGAGATCTGATTGGTTGGGAGTGACAATCAGAGATGAGGAGGTCATGATGAAGAGTGTCACTCTGGGTCGCAGTCTCACCGTTGTCTGTGGAATATTCATGTTCTGTGGTGGAGTCTTTTTCCATATTGTGATGCCTCTGCTGAAACCCAGACTATTGAATGCCTTCAACGTGACAATCAGACCACATGCCTATCCTGGATACGACTACTTATTCGATTCCCAAGCATCACCTGCCTACGAAATCATCTTCAGTGTTCATTTTATATGTGCAACAAGTGGATACGTCGTTGTCACTGCCTCTTGTAATTTGGCTGCTGTATTTGTATCTCATGTTTCTGGACAGGTGCAGGTCATCAAGTTGAAACTGGCAAGACTCCAGCAAGAGGATTCCGAGAAGATGGGGGATCTCAGTCACCAGATCGCTTCTATCGTGCAGTGTCATGTTAAAATATTGAAGTGAGTCGTCTTCCATTTCATTATAATTCTCAATATATTTGATATGATTTGAAATCATTGGTATTGATAAATGATTTTCATTTATACAGATTTTCGGATAGGATCAAGATGGTCTTTCGTGAAATATGTCTCGTAGAAGTTGTCCTGTCGACCATCGTCATCTGCTGGCTCGAGTTTTATTGCATGACGGTACTATCTAAAAAGAAAATACCGATATCACGAGTTCGATTGTCAATTATCGATGTATTTATGAAGTATTCCAGATATTAGTCGGCTTTGTGTATAACTCATTCGTCATGTTGCCAGGAGTAATCAGGATTAGTAATAAAATTCATCGGAGTCACTGGGCATTCACCAACACGGCTTCTCTTTTTTTAGAATAAGAGTGATTTCCTTTGCGAACTATGAACATTAATTTTCATATTTTAGCAATGAAATACTGATTTTTTTATGAGCTGTGATGTGTGAATTGTGTTGTAGGGATGGAAAAATAGTGCGACCATATCCATAGTTGGCTACTTCGTGATCCTCGGGTCATTTTCATTTAATATATTTATATACTGCTACATCGGACAGATATTGACGGATCAGGTAAATCAATTTGTAGTCAACATTCATTCAATTGACAGAAATAATGTTATAATGAATTATTAAGTGCGCATCGGTGGGTCAAATGACATATATGTGCAACTGGCATCGAATTCCACCAAAAAATGTGTTATCACTCACAATGATCATTGCCATGGCGAGATATCCCAGGTACATAACAGCAGGCGGCATGATAAATCTCACAATTCGTAGTTTCGGTGATGTGAGTGCATCTTAAGGCTCGGGTGGATTATCTAGAAAAGATCATTTACTCCGAAATTCGGATTCCTAATTACTTTGGCAATTAATCGTTTTTTTCAATAATTGTTAGCTAGCGTTCTAGCGGTTGTCAACAACTAGACCGCTAGCTAACAATTAGCGGAAAAATCGATTAATTGACGGAGTAATTAATCGTTTAAAAGTCCCAATTTTGGAGTAAATGATCTTTTCCAGACAGTTCGTCCGGGCCTTAACGGACTTTACAGATTTTCTCATTCTCATTGAATCACTATTTCCTTTACAGGTGATGAAGACTTCAGTTGCCTACTTGAACGCAATAACAGCAATGGGTGGATGATTAGAGATATGATTGATAACGAATCATTAATTTTACCTGGATCTCACAATTTATTCAATTTTTTAAACTCATATCATTATGTCATTTTGAAAACGAGAGATATAATAAATCTGCATGTGCGACTTATCCAACCATTTGCGCATTCAATTTAGTTATGAAATAACCAGAAAAGCCTGTCAATTCTAATATTAAGAGAGATTATGAGTTAGAGGTTCCTCGGGCAAGTTTAAACTCCTGTGTAAATTCAGGTGAATCCTCCATGAGAGGCGTCCACCGCATGCGCGACTAGAACTTCGTCAACCCACTAAAATATTCAGCCACTAGTCTTCCTCGAATCGTCGAACAGGAGCCTATTATCAGTCATTATTTCCACCGCCCCCAGCATGGCTACTAAAACCAAGTTAGTCGAAGGTTCTCCGATGTCTGACAATGACAACAGCATCACCTATGAATTACAATATACTCGCTGGTTGCTATCAGTTCTCGGCATCTGGCCGCTGATTTCCACCAACGTAACAAGATTAGGAAAGTTATCTTCATTACTTCTGATGGCCCTGAGTATATTCGCAATTAGTTTTGTTCTGATTCCCCTCATCATATACACACTGACGAGCGTAAAGACCCTGCGAGGAAAATTTACGTTCATCGGACCCGTCTGTTTTCGAATATCAAATCTCCTGAAGCTCCTGACAATGGCGCACCGCGCTGATCTCATAAAAAACTGCATCGAACAGATGGGGAATGATTGGTTGGAGGTGATTATTCAAGAGGATCGAGAGGTGATGCTGAAAAATGTGAACGTGGGGAGAAGCTTGACTGTTATCTGCGCTGGATTCATGTTCAGCAGTGGAACGTTCTTTCATGTTGCCATGCCACTGCTGAGACCGAGAAAGCTCAACGCCTTCAATATCACAATCAGACCCCATCTCTATCCAGGATATGATATCTTCGTGGACTCACAAGCGACTCCTGCTTATGAGATCATATTTGCAGCTCATTGCTTCTCTGCTGCTGGAGGCTACACTATCGTCACCGCTGCGTGCAATCTTGCTGCTGTCTTTGTCTCCCATGTCTCAGGACAAGTGGAAGTTATCGGATTGAAGCTGCAGAGGCTGCATGCTCCTGGGGATGGTCAGAAGATCGACACTCTTGGTGAGCAAATAGCGTCCATCGTACAGGGTCACGTTAAAATACTGAAGTGAGTCTTGTTATCAATTAATCATTATTAGCAATAAATATTATGATAATATTTGATGAACAGGATTGTGTCACGTGTCTCTGTGTATTAACCAGTCATTCGCTGGATATAATAATATTATATATTTTTTTTTAATCGATTTGTGTTGAAGATTCTCTGGAAGCATCAAGACAGTTCTACGGGAAATTTGTCTTGTTGAAGTCGTACTCTCGACTCTCGTCATATGTTGGCTCGAGTTTTATTGTCTAACGGTAGACTACACCTAGAAAATTTTTTATCATTATCCAAATCATCTCACATGATCATGAATCGTGTCATTAATCTTAATCACCAATTTCGATAATTATATTCACGTCATTGTAAGGTACTCGCAGAAGCATCATACGTCATCGAGATTCATGTCATGATTCATATTTAATTTGATGATTTTCGTTTAAGGAATGGCACAACAGCGAAACGATATCTATCATCACATATTTTTTACTGCTCATGTCACTGACATTTAACATTTTTATATATTGTTATATCGGACAAATACTGAAGGATAAGGTAAATAAGAAGTTATATATATATTATTATCATTGATAGAAATAACTGAAAACTCATGATCAAGTGTGAATCTGTGGGCCTGATGGCATACCTCGTCGATTGGCATCGAATACCGACGAAATATATTTTATCTCTCGCTTTCATCATCTCCATGACGCGATATCCCAGGACAATAAGTGCAGGAGGACTGATGGAATTGACTATTCAGAGTTTTGGTGATGTTAGTATTTGTGTTATATCTGGGTACACCCATTTGTTCTCAATTCTTTTTTCAATCTAGGTAATGAAAACGTCGCTAGCTTACCTCAACATGATGCGAACACTCACAATGTAAATTGCCGAAGAATTGGAATAATTATTTCAATCTGAAAGATAAATCTATTAACGACGAAAATTCATACTGGCGAGGGATACCATACACTCAGTCCCAGATCCCGAAAATATTTTGTTCTTCAAAATATAATGATTTCAAATAATTCAGTCTCAATTGTAATAATCCACGAGTCAATGCGAACTGTTCAGCCTGAAAAATGCAATATTCCATGCACTTTCGCGGACGGGCGTACAAAAAATGTATCAAGGAGTAGAACAAGTTGTATTACCTCTCATACATTTTTTATACGCCTGTTCGCGCATGTGCATAGAATATTGTATTGTCCAGGCTGAACTTTCCAGTATTCAGCGAATCGTCGAGAGAAATGGGGTTGTCAGATAAAGCTAGTAAAGAAAAAACATTTATCAACGAGCATTATGATTCTGACATCAAGCGAATATTCCGAATGAGCGAATGGTTATGGTCTCCCCTCGGTCTGTGGCTGTTTATATTAGGGAGTCCAACGAAGAAAAGTATCTTGTCGTCGGTCGTCCGGATAGTCCTTTGCGTCATGCTATTTATGATGATTCTTGTTCCTGCAACGAGGGAGCTCATTGTCGTGAAGAAGGATTACAACACCCGAATTTTAAAATTTGGTTGTGTCCTTTACTGCTACAAGAGCGCAATACTGTACTTTGTGACAATCTGGAGTATTAAACCCATAAACAAATGCATTGAACTGATTAAATCAGAGTGGCGAGAGTTCGAGTGCGAGGGTGATCGCCAGATCATGGTTAACAGTTTGAAATTTAGCCGGAATATGACAATCATCTGTGGGGCATTCATATACAGCGGAGGATTATCTTATCATTCAATTATGCAGTGGTGGACTGGCAGTACTATTAACAGTCAGAATCAGACGATCAGACCTCATGTCTACCTCGGTTATGACGATTTCGTGGATTCCCAGGCAAGTCCAGTTTATGAAATCATCTTCACTACTCATTTTATCTGTGGTTATCTCGAGACGAATCTTACAACAGGCGTTTGCAACCTGACTGCTATCCTGGTTGGTCAAGCTCTCGGACAAATTCAAATAATCATGGGGAAGATGAATAAGATTATTGATGATGATAAAAAGGATAATGCAATTCCTCGTGATCAATTTGCTGCTGTGATTCGAGGTCATGTTAACGTGTTAAGGTGTTTTATTCTTCATTCATCTAATTCTCTTCAGATATGCGATTATCTTGTGATTTCAGGCTGACCATGGAGATTGATAGCGTTTTAAAGGACATAAGTCTGGTGGAAGTTTTTGGATCAATAGCCTCCGTATGCTTGCTCGAATATTATTGCTTTATATCGTTCAAAACTGGTGATGGGGCTGCTTTATTTACGTTCACTGCGTTGCTCTTGTCTAACTCCTTCAGCATATTTTTATTCTGCTTGATTGGGGAGATATTGATAGAGAAGGTGAAGTACGTTAAGTACTCTGGATAAATTGCATTGAATGGTGATTCTTTTATTCTAGTGTAATGAAATTGGCACGCTGGCTTATTTAATACCTTGGTATCACTGGCAAGGGAGACAAGGCCTTTCCGTCATGATGACAATTGCCATCGCCCAATGCCCACGAAAAATATCAGCTGGTGGCATTTTGGATCTCTCTATCCAAAATTTTGCAAGTGTGAGTAATTATTTCACAACTAATCTAAACATGTATTCAATAATAATATTATAGATCATGAGAACATCTCTAGCTTATCTCAACATTCTCTACACGATGGAGGCTTAGGAATTTCTGGATAAGTACACCGAGAATGGCATAATGCATATTGATCATCGAAAATTTCGCGTGAAATGTGTGATGATCTTCAAGTCTTTAAATTTAAAAAATCCTATCACTCTATTCACAGATGAAGTAATAAAACAAATTCTATAAAAAATATTTGGGGATTCCTGTTTGTAACGATTTTAGAGATGAATTAGGAGTACCCTGCTCTCTCGTACTATATAATTTTCAATTCATTCTGTAAAACATAGTCCGTGTTCCATACGCAGGCGCTCGAAGATCCATCAAATATGCATGGGGGAGTATTGGAACACGAGCATGGAGAGTAGGGGGTTAAAGTATGAGATGATCAGTGTTTGTATGACGTTCGGTCTCGACAGATGAGGCTCCACCCTAAAAATGGTAATTATTGCCGCTCAGCCGCTGTCATCAACGAGCATTACCAATCCGACATCGCTCGCACCTTTCGCATGACCGAATGGCTCCTATCACCCCTCGGGCTGTGGCAGTTGATCTCGAGAAATCCAACGAGAAACAACATTTATACATCAATTGCTCTGATCAGCGTCTGCATGACGACTCTCCTGTGGGTTATTTTCCCTTGCACGAGACATCTTGCTTTCGTGGAAAAAGATCGCAACATCCGAGTCACCAAAATCGGTCCAGTGAGCTACTGTTACAAAAGTATAATGCTGTACAGTGCAATAATCTTGGGCACCAAGCGGATCAAAAGATGCATTGAACACATCAAATCGGACTGGCGAGATCTAGAGAGCAAAGCTGATCGACAGATTATGATCAAGAATCTGGATTTTAGTCGGAAAATCACCATCATCTGCGGAGTATTCATGTATACCGGTGGTTTATCCTATCACTCAATCATGCAATTGTGGTCGGGGAATAAAGTGAACAATCAGAACGAGACAATCAGACCGCATGTGTACCCTGGGTACGACAGCATCGTGAACTCCCAGGTCAGTCCAGCTTACGAAATCATCTTCACCGCCCATTTTATAACAGCTCTTGTCGCTTGCAACATCACAACGGCTTCTTGCAATCTCACAGCGACTTTCGTCGGTCATGCACTCGGACAGATTCAAATCGTGATGATCAGGATAAGAAAAATTGTTGATGAAGACAAGAGACGGAATTTGGATCCTACTGAACGGATTGCTTCTGTAATTCGAGGTCATGTTAGTGCGTTAAGGTGTTTCATTTTTTAATTTCCCTGATTCTCTTCAGAAATTTATATCTTCATGTTTCAGGCTAACAGCGGAGATTGAAAAGGTCCTGCGGAACTTGTGCCTTGTAGAAGTGTTTGGATCAACTTTTGTCATGTGCGCTGTTGAGTACTACTTCATCAAAGAGTGGAATAACAGCGATTCGATTGTTCTCTTGACGTACATAGCGTTGTTCTTCTCTCTCTCCTTCAACATATTTTTGTTCTGCCAGATTGGGGAGATATTGATGGAGAAAGTGAAGTACTTAACTTGCTCATAAAATACCGTAATGCATAATTTTATTTTCTGTCTTAGTGCTATGGAATTGGAAAGCTGACTTATTCAGTACCTTGGTATCGCTTGCATGGCAAAGCAAGTCTCCCCCTGACTTTAATCATTGCAGTATCACATTGTCCACGGAAGCTATCAGCTGGTGGTCTCCTGGGGCTGTCGATGAATAGCTTCGCGACAGTCATGAAAACATCACTAGCCTATCTGAATCTTCTGTACACGGTGGACTCTTGAGCGGAAAAATTCAACAATATCTCTAGCCACAATATTAAAAACGGTATTGCTCACCTAAAATTCTCTCGTTTCCGCCGAATTAATGTAGGTCATCTTCTGGATTTCTGGAACAAAGAAAATAATATTTCGTTCATAACTCTTTTTGCAAATAAACTATCAGACAGTATTCAATAAAATTCAACTACAGACTGCTCTCTTAAAAATCCATTACGAGTGATGACATCATCTCCAATCCTACGATAGCGCATGTGCAAGCTGAAAACCTTTAGTCTTGAAATATTAAATTGATACCCCTCTCTAAAAATCTCCAACAGGGAGACAATCCCCTCCAGTGCATAACAATCGCTTGCTGTCATGTCATCGAAATATTCAGAGCCAGTGCTCGGCAACTCTCCCCTAGAGTATCAAACTATTGAGCTCCAATACACCCAATGGCTGCTGACAGCCCTCGGGGTCTGGTCAATGGTCTCAAACAACGTCAGCCGAAAATCAAGAGTCTCATCATTACCATCTGTCTGTGTAATTCTATTCGCAATAGCTTTTACTATAGTTCCATGCCTCATGTTCGTAACCATCAGAATGAAGAATTTACGGAGTCGATTGGTATTCTTCGGTCCTTTGGGATTCCGTATAACGAATCTTTTGAAGTATCTCTTTATAATATACCGTGCTGATATCTTAAAAGTTTGTGTGAATCACATAGAGGCGGACTGGGCGGAGGCAGCCACAAAGGAGGATCAACTTGTCATGTTGAAAAGTGCAGAATTGGGAAGAAAATTGACCCGAATGTGTGCCCTTTTTATGTACAGCAGTGGAATATTCTTCCACGCAATGACATTCTTGCGACCGAGACAAGTCGATGCCTTCAACGTAACTATCAGACCGCACATCCTACCAGGATATGATTTCTTTGTCAATCCTCAATTGACTCCAACCTATGAGATCATATTCGGGATAAACTGCCTGTGTGGTGCAGCTATTTACACGATTGTCGTTGCAACGTGCAATCTTGCCGCAGTTTTCGTGGGTCATGTTCGTGGACAAGTCCAAGTCATCAGGTTAAATCTCCTCAGACTTGAGGAGTATGATCACCGCTATGAGAATAACAAAGACATCAGCAAAGGTATTGCGTTCGTAATAAGATGCCATGTGAACATATTGAGGTAAGAATTTTACTGATTGGCCTTTAATTATTCGTTGATTATGCATCATAAACATTTTTCATTTAACATAATGCAGATTTGTGGGGAATATTAGAGACGTACTCAGAGAAATTTGTCTGGTAGAAGTTGTTCATTCCACGGCTGTTATATGTTGGCTTGAATTTTTCTGTTTAACGGTAGACAATCAGGAATTTCGTATCATTCCACTTATTATCTTTCTTTTTAATAACTCCAAAATTGTTGAGACGCTGTATATTTTTTATTCCAGGGCTGGAAGAACAGTGAAGTTATATTCATAATAACATACTTTCTGCTGCTTGTATCGTTGACGTTTAATATATTCATGTTTTGCCTGATCGGGGAGATATTGGACAATGAGGTATGCCACGTATGAATAACACTAACATAGAACTGATATCATAATTCAGGATGAATTATCAAGTGTGGTTCTGTGGGTCATATGACGTACATGATCAGATGGCATCACATGTCTAAAGAAAATATATCATCACTCTGTCTGATAATCGCAATGGCAAGGTATCCCTGCAATATAACCGCAGGAGGAATGATAAAACTGACAATCAGAAGCTTCGGTTATGTAAGTTCATGAAATATAAAGGAAATAGCGAATACCTTCTTGGATTATTAATTGTACAGGTGATGAAAACGTCGCTGGGATATTTCCAGATGCTACGAGCAATTGCCGCATGAGTCTTAAGCACAACACGACAATTTTAAGAGACAATTTCATTTATGCTACTGAATTTACTCATTATCGAATGTTCAATAATCATTTGAAAATGGAAATTTGTCATGACATGTGGATCTATACGCTGCATTCATAAATCTTATTCTGCTGTGTAGGTTCTTTGTCTAATATATTCGCGGTTGAATTCCCACTTCATGAATATGATGGGTCGATAGCATCCCGGAATACACCCAATTCCAAGTACAGACAAACAAAACGCATGCTCGAGACAAGCCCAGCTGTTGTCATTAAACATTAATGTATCCACCGTTTTATTTTTCGTCGGTTAGGGCGCTCATCGCACTGTTCATAAGGTGCTGGTCGAAAGTGAAGATGCCTTCAAAGAGCTCAAAACAAAAGCTGAGTCATGATCATGATTCTGCTGTTGAGTATGAACTTCAGTACACCAGATGGGTGTTGAAAACCCTCGGAATCTGGCCGATGCTATCGGACAGAAGCACCAGCTTGGACAGAATCGTGTCGTTCTTTTTAATTATCTTGAACCTCTTCGCTATTGCATTCATCCTGATCCCGTGCGTCTTGCACGTTCTGTTCAGAGAGAAAAATCCCAGGAAGCAGCTCCTTCTGCTCGGCCCCATTGGCTTCCGCGTATCCAACATATTGAAGTACTTCTCCATTATGCTTCGAGTTGATACCATCAAACAGTGCTTTAATCATGTGAAAAACGATTGGTTGGAAATGGGATCGGAGGTTGAAGAGAGCCTAGTCCTGAAGAACATCACCATGGGTAGAAATTTGACGCGGTTTTGTGCTGTTTTTATGTTCAGTGCTGGGGTGTTTTATCACACGGTGATGCCTCTGCTGAGGAAGAAGAAAGTCAATGCTTTCAATGTGACAATCAGACCCCATGCCTATCCTGGTTATGATTTCTTCGTTGATCCTCAAGCTTCACCAGCTTACGAAATCATTTTCGGTGCACATTGTCTTTTTGCTGTAGCTAATTATTTAATCACAATCGCCGCTTGCAATTTTGCTGCAACCTTCGTCAGTCATATTTGCGGGCAAGTACAGGTAATGAATTTGAGACTTCAGGGTCTTAATCAGTGCAACGAGGAGAAATTTACCGTTGCCGAGAGGATTGCATCTATCATCAAGTGTCACGTTAAATTGTTGAGGTGATTTGTCATTCCAGAATTCTCTGTCAAATTCTTCAAGTGTTTGAGGTAAAATCTCCAGATTTTTGTGTTTCAGATTGTCCAAAATGATTGAGAAAATCCTACGTGAAATCTGCATGGTGGAAGTAGTGGCATCCACTCTGATCATTTGTTTACTAGAGTATTACTGCATGACGGTAAAATTTCAACAATTCTATTCATTCACGCACATTGCTCACCGATCATTTTGCAGCACCAACCAATTACACGAATCATTTATTCTAGAGAAAAAAACGGCAATGCAAGGAATTCATTCTCATCAGGTCAGTGTAGATAATCACCAATAAATCAATCATGCGTAATCAATAGTTTTTCGTATTATTCAACCTAGAATATTTTTCAGAGTAGAGTATCTAGTAAGAAGAATCATTTTCTCATTAATTTCAATCACAAAGTACCGCCACGATGGCTTAAGGACTTCAATATAAAGAAAAATGTACTTGGACATTGCAGGAATGGAAAAACAGCGATCCCGCATTGCTGATTGCTTACTTATTGCTCCTGACATCACTGACATTCAACATCTTCATCTTTTGTTACATCGGAGAGATCCTGAAGCATCAGGTATGGATTCCATCAATTTTTATTCCATATAAAAAAATTAACAGCAAGAAATTCCAAGTGTGAGGGTGTGGGGGAAATGACTTACTCAATCAACTGGTATCAGATTCCCTGTGAAAATATTCTCAAGCTTTCTCTAATCATCGCTATATCCAGAACTCCTCAGAAAATCACAGCTGGTGGAATGATGGACCTGACAATTCGGAGCTTTGGAGGTGTAAGTTGAGAGATCTGCGATGACACTGGCATTAATGATAAGACGAACGGAGTGAGACATTTCTCGATGATGTTTCAGGTGATCAAAACATCGGTAGCATATTTGAATATGCTCCGAGCAATGGCTGACTCATAGACTGCAATTGACTCTTCAATAATTGATCATCAGTTGATTACTAGTTTCTACCATCACCTTTCACAAAATATTTTCTTCATGTACTTCATGTATTCTTCATAAATAATATTACAAATGTCTTTTCTTTTTAATGCACAGCCTTGAACAGATGAAGAGAAACTCATCACTGCGAATCGGTGCTACATGGGACAGAGCAACTGCTGGTAGATGTCCGCGGTGGTAGAAAAAAAGGAGCAGCGCGTTAAAATATTCAACGGGGGGAGTCTTCTTCGTTGCTGGCAGTTTGGTTTACCAGGCAGTCGATAATCCTATCACTGAGTCTTGCGAGCATGCAATCGAAAATTGGTGGACAAGTATTTGCATCTCTATATCCCCGAATATCCCCGAATTCATATCCAAGGGCTAGTGACTATGAGATTCAATACACACGTTGGTTTCTGACAATCCTTGGGATTTGGTCTAAACTCTCAAGCAACGTTACACGTGCTGAAAGAACATGCTCACTACTCGCAGCAACTTTTTTCATTTTCGCTGTTCCTGTCACTATAATTCCGTGCATCATGTTCGTGTCAATCAAGATGATATCGGTTGAGGAGAAACTGGTATTCGTTGGGCCTTTAGGATTTCACGTTATTAATGTCTTAAAATGGATTTTTATAGTGCATCGAAGTGATATTATGAAAAAATGTATAAATCATATGCGAGACGATTGGATGGAACCATTAACCGAAGATGAACGAACGGTTATGTGGAAGAGTGCAGACTTAGGACGGAGTCTCACACGATTTTGTGCTTTGTTCATGTACAGTGGTGCAATATTCTTCCAAGCGAAGACTATTCTAGCACCAGAAGGTGTTGATCACCTCAATATAACAATGAGGCAGCATGTCCTGCCCAGATACGATTATATCGTGGATTCACAGATTACTCCGGTGTTTGAAATCGCGTATGGCACTCACACCCTATTGATGGTTTTTCTTTATACAATTGAAATAGCAATGTGCAATTTAGCTGCTGTTTTCGTCGGTCACATTTGTGGACAAGTGCAAGTGATGAAGTTGAAGTTGAATCATCTTGAAAATATCGCTAATGCCGAAAATCCGAATGTCATCGATGATGCCATTTCATCTTTAGTACTCTGCCATGTGAAGACAATAACGCAAGTAGATTTTCATATGAAATTCAGACTCGTCATGTCTTGTTATCAATAATACCCGAATGATGCAGATTATTTGAGAATATTCACAATGCGTTATGCGAAATCTGCTTAATCGAGGTGATCTATTCAATCGTCGTCATGTGCTGGTTGGAATTTTACTGTTTGAGGGTAGACCATTGAACTAATTGGAAATTCTTTCTTTTTATTTTGTACTTTCCATTTTTACTGCAGTCTCTCAAGTCTATCCAGAAGATTTAGCTATTGCAAAAGGCCTTTCCCTATTTATCCGATTGTTTTCTCCGGGGAATTTAATTTTTCTTTATTTTACAGGAATGGAGAAATAATAATATTCTGTCTTTCATCGCATATATCACGCTCTTCGTTGCTCTCTCATTTAATATTTTAATCCTGTGTTACATTGGTGAAGTTGCAAAGAATGAGGTATAAGTCTTCCATTGACGATTATCAATTTTGAAGCTCGAATTTCAGCCGATAGAATTGCACCATGAGCCGAAGTCAATACTCAAACAATGAGAAAAAATATTTGGCAAACACAAAATAATTCAATCTGTCAATTTCAATCAGTACTTAATTCAACCCAACAGTTATCTGCTTCATATATGCTAAGAGACATTATTTTAAGAGACATTATTTTAATCCAGGAATAATAGTAATATTTTTTTTGGCAAATTATTTAGTGTGAATCAGTGGCGCGATTGGCGTACGACATTGCCTGGTATCGCTTACCAGCGAAAAAGCTTTCATCTTTTATTTTGATTATGGCGGTGGCGAGATATCCTAGGAGCATAACAGCTGGGGGAATGATGCAAATGACACTTCGCAATTTTACTACCGTAAGTAATTGATTCATTAAAGAAAATTAAAAATACTGTTCTAATAAACTCGTCTTTCTTCAGGTACTCAAAACGTCGTTTATATATTTCCAAATGTTAAGGACGGTAACCGAATTGTTGTGAATAGAATTGTTGAAACATACAGTCGTCTTCGATCAATTTCAATTCACAATACGAATCAAATACATCCACGAGATAAACAATCGGCAGTTTAATTGCACAATTCCGCTGCAATGTCACATCAGTTGTAGCTATATTTCCTCAGAGAACCCAACTGGACGGTCACTTGAAATTGCAATTGAAGCTATTGCTCTAAAACTAATTTTCTCGCATGGAAAAAAAGTTGCACGACTATTAAATATTCAGAGAGCTGAGTCTTCTTGTTCGCATGCGGGTGAGTTTTCTAACTAGTCGATGAACGTAGGTTCTACCTCTCAGGATGATCATGCGATCTAGAGCTCCTGCACAATTACTTGAATATCAACCCCAACGAGAACATCAAAGATCCAGTGATCATGAAATTCAATACACACGTTTATTCCTAACGGCTCTCGGAATTTGGCCAAAGATATCAACCAGCTCAACTAGAACTGAGAGAATGTGTGCATTTTTTCCAATTGGTATTTTCATTCTCACCTTCATTGCGAGTGTTATTCCATGCGTTATGTTTGCATCGATAAAAATGAAAACGATGAGCGATCGATTGGTCTTTCTCGGTCCACTTGGATTTCACGTGACAAACTCCTTGAAATATATTTTAATAATATATCACAGTGATGTAATGAAAAAATGCGTAACTCAGGTGACAGCCGATTGGATGGAAGCTCAGACGAACGAGGAGCAAAATGTCATGTGGAAAAGTGCTAATTTAGGACGGAGTTTGACGCGAATGTGCGCTTTTTTCATGTTCAGTGGTGCGATATTTTTTCAAGCAATGACAATGCTCAAGCCCAAAGAAATTGATAAGTTCAATGTAACAATCAGACAGCACGTTTTACCCCGGTATGATTACTTCGTCGATTCACAAATGAGTCCAGTATTTGAGATTACGTACGGTACGCACACTATATTATTAGTGTTTCTTTACACAATTGAAATAGCCATATGCAATTTAGCAGCGGTTTTTGTTAGTCATATTTGTGGACAAGTGCGTGTGATGAAGCTGAAATTAAAAAGACTTGAGGAATCCGCTTGTGAAAGATCTAACGATCTCGATGATGCCATATGGTCTGTAATTCACTGTCACGTGAAAATATTGAAGCAAGTAGATTTTAATGTTTTGTTTAGATGAATAATATAAGGTGTGAATTAATTATGTGCTCATGCTGCAGATTGATCGAAAATACTCGCAATGGTTTGTGGGAGATTTGCCTGATAGAGGTGACATATTCGGCTATCGTCATGTGCTGGTTGGAATTTTACTGTTTGAGGGTAGTTTACCTTGGCATCTTGATCTTATCAGATTGATTTGTATGATTTTTAGATCGATTTATTATGTTGATTCATCATCCTCTGCCCGGGTAAAAAAAATTGTAATCGGAATATATTTTCCAAATTTTGAAAAAAATTTCGGGAAAACTTTTCAGAATTTTTTTTTGAGACAAAAAAATTGGGAAACTAAACAATTGTATTTTTGAGAAATGTTTTGAAAATTTCTTTCGGAAATTTTTTAAAATAATTTTCTAGAAATTTTTCCGAATATAATTTTTTTTTTAATTATACTGTTGTTTTTTTACTTTTTTGATTTTTTAATATTCTCAAAAAAAACACCATCGTAATTATAAAAAAAATTTTGTTATTCAAATTTTTGAAAAATTTTGCAAAGCCTTTCCCAAAAATGAAATTGTTTTGTTCTCCGATTTGTTTTTGTTTCATAAAATAAATTTCTGAAAAGTTTTTCAGAATTTTTTTGAAAATTTGGAAAAAAAATATTCCGATTACAATTTTTTTTACCCGTGTGAATTGAGAATTTTTCAGGAATGGAGCAATAGTGACTCCCTGGCACTAGTTACGTACGCATCACTATTCATATCTCTGACATTCAATATTTTCACGCTGTGCCTCATTGGTGAAGTAGCTAAAAATGAGGTAGACCGATTGAAAAAATTATTTCTGCTAAGAAAATCGACTCTGCATTTAAAATAACTGAAGGAAAATGTGGATTTTTAAAAAAACGCGGCGTAAATTTTCTGGGCAGAAATAGTTATTCACGTCAGCATGCGAAGCTCTTGAATTAAAAAATTTATGGAATTTGCAGTGCTCATCAGTGGCTGAATTGACATACAATATCGCCTGGTATCACATACCTCCCAAACAACTCACATCATTCATTCTGATAATTGCCATGGCCAGATATTCTCGAAACCTATCAGCAGGAGGAATGGTGGAAATGACACTTCAGAGTTTTGCTACGGTAAATAATCCAGAACTCCGTTCGTAATATTTTTTTCATATGAATGCTCCGCAGGTACTGAAAACGTCTTTCATGTATTTCCAAATGTTGAGAACAGTTACCGGATGATTTTTCAATTAAACAAATGCTCAGCACTCCGCACCCGTGCCATAACTGTCAAGGATAGCCAAATGGTATAGATGCTGACAACTGCTTGGAAATGTAGCGTGGAAAAAAAACTTCACAGCTATCAAATATTCAGAGACTGAAGTCCTCTTGTTCGCTGGGAGCTTTAGTCTGGTGCCAGTCGATAATCGAACCGCTGAGTGTGATCATGCAGCCTAAAACTCCTGAACAAGCGCTCAGATTTTCACCTCGACTGACTACAAAAAATGATGGTGAACATGAATATGAATACACACGATGGCTCCTAATAACTCTTGGAATCTGGCCTAGAGTATCAATTAACGCAACTAGAGCTGAAAGAATGTGCGCATTTGTAATAATCTGTATTTTCATTGTCACGTTAATTGTCAGTGTGATTCCGTGCATTCTGTTTACATCAATAAAAATGAAAACGATGAGTGATCGATTGGTAAATCTCGGCCCTCTGGGATTTCACGTGACAAATCCATTGAAGTACATTTTCATGATGCATCATAGTGGTGTTATGAAAGAGTGCCTAAGTCTTATGAGAGCTGATTGGGTTAAGGCTGTCTCAAAAGAGGAGGAAGCTGTAATATTGAAGAGTGCCAATTTAGGACGTAGTTTGACAAAATTGTGCGCTCTATTCATGTATAGCGGTGGAATATTTTTCCAAGCAATGAGAATGTTCAAACCAAAAGAGATTGATGAGTTTAATATAACAATTAGACAGCACGTTCTACCGAGATATGATTATTTTGTGGATTCCCAAATCAGTCCAGTATTTGAAATAGTCTATGGTATACATGTCTTTTGCGCATTTTTTCTTTATACTATTGAAATAACAACGTGCAATTTAGCTGGGGTTTTTGTTGGGCATGTTTGTGGACAAGTGCAAGTTATGCGATTGAAATTGGCGACGCTTGAGAATTTGACAAATCTTGGAAGTGACAAAGAAATTAGTGATTCCATAGCATCCGTAATACTTTGTCATGCTAAAATTTTGACGCAAGTGAATTTCTTTATGAATTTTACATTAATTATTTGATTATACTATTAATGACGTTTAAATGGTACAGATTCGCCGGAAATATTCGAAAGGCTTTACGTGAAATTTGTTTAGTGGAGGTGATATATTCGACTGTTATCATGTGCTGGTTGGAATTCTTCTGTTTGAATGTAGATCATGATTGATATATTACTCCATCTCACACGTGTTCCCATGAACATTCATATTTTAATCCGATTATTTGTGTGAATGACAAATAGAAACAAATTATCTCTAAGAGAAACTTTTGAATTTTTCAGGAATGGAGTAAGAGTGAGACCTTGTCTCTGGCGACTTACTTGATGCTTTTCATATCTTTGACATTCAATATTTTCATATTGTGTTACATCGGGGAGATCTTAAAAAATCAAGTATTACCCCTATTTTCTATACATTAAAATGAACTTAGGGTGTCTCAATGAATTTTAATAATTTCTTTACAGTGCGAATCTGTGGCTCAACTGGTGTACGGAATCGACTGGTATCGAGTCCCTCAAAGAAAACTTCAATCTTTCATTCTAATTATTGCTATGGCTAGATATCCGCGGAATATAACAGCTGGAGGGATGATGGAGTTGACACTCCGCAGTTTTGGGGACGTTAGTAAATAATTCATATCACTGTACCGATAATTATTTCCAATGATTTCAATAATTCCAAAGGTATTGAAGACATCACTGGCATACTTTCAAATGTTGAGAACTGTCACTGTGTGATTTTCAACGAATGATGACGAATAGTGAACGAATAGACTGCAAAGTCCTATAAATAGAGACATGAAGAACTTGCATACCTAGTAGTAGCTGTAGCTTAATTTTTGTACTTCTAAATAAATGGCGCAGAATATGTCTGCGACAGCCGTCCGCAACAGTTATTCGATTTCTACATCGATTTATCATGTTGATTCATGGTTCTTTGAATTGAGAATTTTACAGGAAATGAAGAAATGATGACTCGGTGGCACTAATTACGTACGCATCGATATTCCCACGTCTGACATGTAATATTTTTACTCTGTGTCTCATTGCTGAAGTAACTACAAATGAGGATTGAATACGTTGGATTGGAAACATTATTTCAATTGAATGCTCAACACTCCGCATCTGTATCACAACTGATACGGAGAGCAATGGTATACATGCGGACAACTGTCTGAAAATGTTGCATGGAAAAAAAACTTAACAGCTATGAAATATTCAGAGAGTTGAGTCCTCTTGTACGGTTGTAGCTTTGGTTTGGAGCCAGTCGATATTCAACCGTTCAGTGCGATGGTGCCGTCTAAAACTTCTGAGCAAGCGCTCAGATTGTCACCTAGACGGAACACAAAAAATCATGGTGAACATGAATTTGAATATACACGATGGCTCTTAATAGCTCTTGGAATGTGGCCTAGAGTATCAATTACCGCAACTAGAACTGAAAGAATTTGCGCGTTTTTAGCGACCTGTATTTTCATTGTCACACTAATTGTCACTGTCATTCCTTGCGTTATGTGCACAACAATAAAGATGAAAACGATGAGCGATCGATTTGCGAATCTTGGTCCTCTGGGATTTCACTTGACAAATCCATTAAAATACATTTTTATGGTACATCACAGTGATGTTATGAAAGAGTGTATAAGTCTTATGAGATCTGATTGGGTGGAGGCTGTCTTAAAAGAGGAGCAAGCTGTAATGTTGAGGAGTGCCAATTTAGGACGTAGTTTGACAAAAGTGTGCGCTCTATTCATGTATAGCGGTGGAATATTTTTCCAAGCGATGACTATTTTCAAACCAACAGAGATTGATGAGTTTAATATAACAATTAGACAGCACGTTCTACCGAGATATGATTATTTTGTGGATTCTCAAATCAGTCCAGTATTTGAAATAGTCTATGGTATACATGTGTTTTGTGGACTTTTTCTTTATACTATTGAAATAGCAACGTGCAATTTAGCTGGGGTTTTCGTTGGGCATGTTTGTGGACAAGTGCAAGTTATGCGATTGAAATTGGCGACACTTGAGAATTTGACAAATCTTGGAAATGACAGAGAAATTGATGATTCCATAGCATCCGTCATACATTGTCATGTGAAAATTTTAACGCAAGTTAATTTTTTTATGAATTTTACATTAATCATTTGATGATACCTTTAATGACGTCTGAATGGTGCAGATTTGCCGGAAATATTCGAAAGGCTTTACGTGAAATTTGTTTAGTGGAGGTGATATATTCGACTGTTGCCATGTGCTGGTTGGAATTCTTCTGTTTGAACGTACATCATGATTGATAGATTACTCCATTTCATACGTTTTCTCGTGGACATTCACGTTTTAATCTGACGATTTGTGCAAATGGAAAATAGAAACAAATTATCTCTAACAGAAATTTTTTACTTTTTCAGGAATGGAGTAACAGTGAGATCTTGTCTCTAGTGACTTACATCATGACTTTCATATCCTTGACATTCAATATTTTCATATTGTGTTACATCGGGGAGATCTTAAAAAATCAGGTATTACCCCTATTTTCCACGCATTAAAATGAACTTTATTCTCCTAGGGACTGAAAAGTGGGAAGCGAGCAATGAAAAATCATGTGCCACACGGAATTACAATAAATAATTATAGAATATCTGAATTAATATAAATAATTTCTCTATAGTGCGAATCTGTGGCTCAACTGACGTATGCAATTGACTGGTATAAAGTCTCTCAAAGAAAACTTCTGTCTTTCATTCTAATTATTGCTATGGCAAAATATCCGCGAAATATAACAGCTGGAGGAATGCTGGACTTGACCCTCCGCAGTTTCGGTGATGTTAGTAAATAATTCATATCAATGTACCGAAAATTCTTTCCAATTATTTTAATAATTCCAAAGGTATTGAAGACATCACTGGCATATTTTCAAATGTTGAGAACAATCACTATGTGATTTTCAATAAAGGAACGTAGTTACGTCTGCAAAAAACACTAATAAACAAATAGACCATAATCAAAATACCACAAGTAGAAAGACGAGTTGAGGACGCAGAGTAGACACAGCTTAATTATAACACTTAAATAAATGTCGCAGCCTGCGCGGACAATTGTATATCCCAAGACATATCTGAATAATATCCGGATATATGTGATATATTTGAGATATATTAATGGAGATATCTCTTCGGGATATGCATTTGTTGCGTGCGGGAGGACATGTCGTCCCCCAACTGCACGGTCTGTACGAAAATAAAGTATACTTCGAGGGCTATGACTCGTACAATGAAAAAAAAAACAGTCAAACCTATAAAATATTCAAAGCATGAAGTTTTCCTCGTCGTTGGGAGCTGGATTCATGAGGCAGTCGATAATCGAAGAGGTCCGAGTGATTATGATATCCGAAACGCGTGCGCAAGTGCTGGGATCTTCATTCCAACGGGAATGGAAAGCCAATAGTGAATACGAGTTTGAATACACTCGGTGGCTCTTAACCAGCCTGGGACTCTGGTCCAAATTATCAAAAACCACACGCCTTGAAGAGATATGTGCAATCTTGATTATTGCTCTTTTTATTTGGGCTGTAATTGTCACTGTCATTCCCTGCACCATGTTCTCGATAATTAAGATAAAAACCATGGAGGAAAGACTTGCATTCATCGGGCCTCTGGGATTTTACTTCGTCAATAACTTGAAGTACTTTTTTATCATACATCATGCCGATTTGATGAAGAAATGTATAAATCATATGAGAGGAGATTGGATGGAAGCTGTTGGGGAGAGTGAACAGACTGTCATGCTCGAGAGTGCAGATGTAGGACGAAAATTGACACAAGTATGTGCTCTGTTTATGTACAGCGGTGCAATATTTTTTCAAGCTGAAAAAATGATTGAACCCGCACCAGTTAATTCTCTCAATGTAACAATCAGACGACATATCGTGCCCAGATATGATTACGTCGTCGATTCACAAATCAGTCCAGTGTATGAATTAGCGTACGGCACTCATCTCATGTATGCGATTTTTCTTTATACCATTGAAGTGGCGGTATGCAATTTAGCTACTGTTTTTGTCGGGCACATTTGTGGCCAAGTGCAAGTGATGAGATTGAAACTGGAGCAGCTTGAGCAATGCGCCATTTATAATAATCACAAGGGCATCGATGATTTCATAGCATCCGTAATACAGTGTCATGTTAAAATGTTGACGCAAGTGCTTTTATGTCAAGTATCAAGTGCATTACCTTATGTTTTTCATTAATTATCGTGCAATTGTACAGATTTACTGGGAATGTTCGAACTGCTCTGAGTGAAATTTGCTTGGTTGAGGCCATATATTCGGTTGGAATCATTTGTTGGCTCGAATTCTTCTGTCTAAAAGTACATCAACGATTCTGTTGACGAAAACAGTTGAGCAGAATAAAATTTACATTTTTCAGGGATTGAACGACAGCGACATCCTTTCTATAATCACATATTCCACACTCTTCCTATCTCTGTCGATTAATATCTTCATTCTTTGTTATATCGGAGAGATACTGAAAAATCAGGTTATATGCTAATTCACCAGTGAATAATTAATTCTCATTATCTCTTAATAATTCATTATTGTTGAATATTTAGAGTGAATCCGTGGCTGAACTCACGTACAGAATTGACTGGTGTCAAATACCTCAAAGGAAACTTTCACCTTTCATTTTATTAATCAGCATGGCTAGATATCCGAGGAATATAACAGCAGGGGGAATGATGGAAATGACACTTGGTAGTTTTGGTAATGTCAGTATTCCCTGAAATTCAATTTAACAAGATTATTTCATCATCTCGATTGTTTTTCAGGTGTTGAAAACTTCGTTCGTATATTTCCAAATGTTGCGGACAGTCACAGACCCGGATATATAATATTCATAATCATTCTGAGAAGAAAACTGATTAATTATGATTACCCCGAAGTAACTAATAAATACAACTAAATCGTTATTAATCCGTTGAGTGATCATTGATCAATTGCTTAAGAAAATTGATGAGTTTTCGTTTTTCGTTACGACTCCATGTGATGACAGAAAACAAAATGGCCATTGGTATATTCGAGTTGGTGAATGGAAAAGACTTACGGTCAGACCATCCACTCCACTCGGCAATTCACACGAGAGTGACGCCAATCGATAAGAAATCCCCTCCCAACCTCGACCTGTTACCGTTAAATAAAATATTCCCCTCTAAACGTTGAAAATTGGAGAAAAGAAAATGTCACCGCAGCCCTCAGTCCACTACCATCCCCGAATGTGATCATGTCTCTCCTGAGCCAAAAGACTCACGGTGAAGAGAGCATTAAGTTCACAAAATGGTTGCTATCTATTCTAGGAGTATGGCCCTTCGTAAAAAGACAATCAACAACAATCGAAATTCGTCTAGCGATCCTACTACAGCTATTCTGTCACATTTTACTCGCATTCGTAATAATTCCCTCAGTGTTTCATATATTTCTGCGCGAAGTCAATCTCAACGTGCAAATAGCACTGTTCGGACCCGTTGGATTTGTGATAACAAATCTCTTGAAGTATTCCGCGATAATTTATCACCGCGACAGCATTAGAAGGTGTATCAACTACATAGATAGTGATTGGCGAGCAATCAGAGATCAGGATCACCGTGATATCATGATGGAGAACGTCTCAACAGCAAAGAACTTGACAATCTTGTGCGCATCATTCATGTACACCGGTGGAATGATGTATCATACCGTCATGCCATTTTTATTGACAAATCCAATAGCTGCTGATAGGAATTCTTCAAATCGACCAATAGTCTATCCAGGTTACGATATTGTTTTCAATCCTTACGTCTCACCTGCGTACGAAATGATATTCATCTCTCATTGCCTAGCTGCTATGATTATTTACACAATTACCACAGTCTCTTGCAATTTGGCTGCGAGTTTCGTTACGCATGCTTGTGGACAGATTCAGATTCTCATAGCCAGGCTGCATTATCTGATGGACAACGACGAAGACAAGAGTGAAAAATATTTGCAGAGGGAAATTGGAGGCATCATTCGTTATCATGCGAGAATCCTCAGGTTCTCAGTTCGCGTCTTCAACTTCTTCTTAATAATAATTAATTATTGATAATCATTCGAGTAATTATTCCATATTCATTGATCAGATTTACAGTAGAAATTGAGAAGATTCTCCGTGAAATATGTCTCGTCGAAGTCGTCGCGTCAACATTAATCATCTGTTTGTTGGAGTACTACTGTCTGACGGTACAATAATGATGATTTATTCGGGATAATGATCGTTTATCAATGCTGATTCCAGACGTGGAATGAAAGCGAAACTATTGGTATATGTACGTATTTGATACTGTTGATCTCATTGAGTTTCAATATCTTTATCTTTTGCTTCATCGGGGAACTTTTGCAGGAACAAGTATTTACTGTTAAATATTACCCGTTTATGTTACAAATGGTGTAGAATTGTTGATAATTCATGTTCTTGCAGTTCAGCAATGCGGGCACTTCGATTTACATGACCGAGTGGTACAGATTACCACCGAATTCCGTCCTCATGTTGATTCTGATGATTGCTATAGCCCAAGTACCACGAAAAATCACAGCTGGTGGTCTCATTGACCTTTCACGCAACAGTTTTATCACTGTATTATCCATTTTTCAGTTCTAGTCATTTTAACATGAACTAAACATGAACATTTATCGTGTTTCAGGTAATAAAAACGTCATTGGTCTATCTGAATTTGTTGAGAACTGTCGAAGCTTGAGGACTTATAGACGGACACTATATTTTCCTATTTCTGGCGAGCCCTGGAGATAATTATATCACAAACAATTTGAGAAATCGAAAAAAAGTCTTTGAGATTACTATTTTTATTTTAATGCTGTCACGTGGAAAAAATAAATCGCATATTTCGGTGGAGCTGTTCAATTTTACCTTGTACATATCTTGAAGTAGATTTTTATCCCAAATTATGTTGACAAGTTACCGGATATTTGTTTGAGTGGAAGTTGAAGAGAATATAGTTTTTGGAAATGGAAATTTACGGAAATTTCCCATTTTGGGAATCACTCCATTGTCCACCAAGTCCGAGCTCATTTAATACAAAACTGCGATCGTACCGTGGGCGTGAGAGTCCAATCGAAACCGAAGTAACGGAAAAAATGGTATCAATACCGGTGAATTGTACTTGCGAAGTGCAGCGCAGGCGTGAGAGACTCCCATCAGTCGCATCCCTCGCTGAAGCTCGTCCAATGCAGTACCTTTTTGCCAGCCCTCCTTTCCATATCCCTCACGATGTTTCAAGATTCTCTCAGGAGAATATCGTCAACCAGAGAGATGGACTTTGGTGGTATTAAACCTATAAAATACACGCGCTGGCTTCTCACAATAGTCGGCATCTGGCCAACAATTAAAAGACACTCAACAGCTAAAGACCAAATCGTAGCTATTCTTCTCCGAATTGTTTGCTACATACTCGCTTTTTTCGCTATGATACCAGGACTTTATCACATGTTTTTTCGTAAAACCACGAGTATGAAGGATAAAGTGGCTCTTATCGGCCCTGTGGGCTTTTGGGTGATGGTGACGATAAAATATACCATCATGATCTACCGCCAGAGAGGCATTAAAAAGTGCATCGAACATATTGAAAGCGATTGGGAGAGGATTTCCAAACATGAGGAGTACGAAATTCTCGTGAAAAATTTTTTGACAGGCAGAAAAATAACCATTATATGCGCGTCATTCATTTACACCGGTGGATTATCCTATCATACGGTGGTACCATTTGTGATAGGAAGTGCTGTTACCACAGAGCGAGAGGATCGGCCACTGATTTTTCCCGGTTATGATGCTGCTTTCGACGTTTATGCCACACCAGTCTATCATTTTGTTTTTTTATCCCACTGTGTTGGAGCTTTCGTCATGTACACTGTCACCATCATTGGCTGTAATCTTGCTGCCAGCTTTGTAACACACGCTTGCAGTCAACTGGAGATTATCATTTTGAAGCTCAATGGATTGGTTGACCATCGCTACGACTGCAGTGACTCATTGAAGTGCAAGCTCAAGTCCATCGTGCAGGATCACGTGAGAGTACAGCGGTAATAACAATAATTCAACAATTCTCCATCACGTCACATAAATAATATTAGATTTCACAGATATGCTGGGGATATTGAGCTAGTCCTGCGTGAAATATGTCTCGTAGAGATTTTAACATCGGTTATAATCATTTGTTGGTTAGAATACTCCGTTCTAAAGGTAGATACAATTGCAATGAAATTTTTGAAGCAGGCAAAGCAGCATTTTTTTTCATGGAAAATACTGGAATTAATTTCAGACGTGGGACGAGAGTGAAGCAATAGGTTTACTGACTTACTTCACACTTCTGATGTCTTTGACATTCAATATATTTGTTTTTTGCTTTATCGGTGAACTCTTGAAGGAACAGGTAGACTATCCTCGTCCGTTATATTCCGATTGATAACTCTGATTTGATATTTAAAGTGGAATGATACTGGAAAGTCAGCATATATGGTCGACTGGCATCGGATGTCCCCCAGGATAGCCGCGACGATGATGCTCATCATCGCTACAGCACAAGTGCCAAAAAAAATCACCGCTGGAGGATTGCTGGATTTGACATACGCCAGTTTTACATCTGTACTTCATCTGCAATCAATTCTCCATCCATCATTTAATTTTGATACCTTTTCAGGTGATGAAATCATCAGTCATATACCTTAACATCTTGAGGCACATAGACTTGTAAGATTGATTGATTGCATCAAAATTGCCTTCTCCAGTGCTTGAACGTTATACTTAACGCATAATTATTTGTTCAATCGTTGGAAATACACTACATGTCCTCGGTTGAAGAGTTCTTCCCTAAACGAACAGATCGATATGAAGCTCGCACACGGTAGTTGAAAATAAGAGTAACTAAAAATTAGATGAGACATTTTTTGTTCTCCATGGGAACACATGGACTTTCCCACCGAGACCTACGCAAGCGCAAACTTTTATGATACCCCTCAATCGCTTTCAACTCTCTCTCTCTTGTCTCAGTTCTCCCACATTTGTTAAATCCCTCAGATATTATCAGGTAGTCTGTCGTATAAACGAAACAATGACTGTGAATAGAGTGATGGAACCAATTCAATTGACTCGATGGCTTCTGATGTCACTGGGAGTCTGGCCTTTCGTCACTGATACCTCAACGACTATCGATATAATCATCGGAATAACAGTCCAGGTATTCTCGTATGGTCTACTCATATTTACCATTGTCCCCACAACGTACCACATATTTATTCGAGAGCAGAATATGGATGCGAGGATAACTCTAATCGGTCCTATTTGCTTCTTCATTACCAATCTCATCAAGTACTGTGCCATTATTTACCACCGCGAGGATATAAAGCAGTGCATAAACAGTATTAAGGGGGATTGGCAACGAGTGACAGATCAACGGGACCGTGATATAATGATGAAAAATGTGTCAACCGGAAGAAACTTGACAGTTCTATTCGCCATTTTTATGTACTCCGGTGGAATGTTTTATCACACTTTTATGCCATTTCTCATTCCCAGTCCTGTGACTGGTACCAGAAATACTACCAGTCGACCACTGGTCTACGCTGGTTATGATCTAGCTTTTGATCCTTATGTCTCTCCTGTTTATGAAATTGTTTTTTTGTCCCACTGTCTGACTGCAATGGTCGTTCACACAATCGTCACTGTCTCCTGTAATTTAGCTGCCAGCTTCGTGGCACATGCATGCGGTCAAGTACAAGTCATTGTCTCCAGGATAAATTGTCTGATTGATGATGAAAGTATCGAGGATAATTGTTGCTTGCAGAGAAAAATGGCGAGTATAATTCAGTGTCATGCCAGAGTCATTAGGTAAATTAGGATATATTGCCTTTCTGCGGTATTTGACCGGTAGTTTCTGTCCTCGTTTTGATGTGATGCATTTAATTTGCCAGATTCACTGTTCATATCGAAGTCATTCTACGTGAAATATGTCTAATCGAGGTTGTTGCATCGACATTCGTTATCTGTTTACTCGAATACTACATTTTGGCGGTACCAAAAAATCAAGTGTCTGATGAATGAAGATGATTTACATTTCAGCTTTTATTATTTTTCTCTTCTAGACCTTCGGTGGAAGTGAAGTCATCGGCATTCTCACTTATCTCGTGCTTTTGATAGCGTTAAGTGTTAATATATTCATTTTTTGTTTTATCGGTGAGAAGCTGACTCAACAGGTGTGCTGAATTATTCACGGTGAATTGTTTGAACTTCATAAAATAATTATTGTACTTGCAGTGCTCAGAGGCGGGTAAAGCTATTTACATGATAAAGTGGTATCGTTTACCGCCTAATGTGGCTATAGCTCTGGTTTTATTTCTTGCCAGTGCACAAGTACCCAGACGACTTACTGCTGGGGGATATATGAGTCTATCACTCAACAGTTTTGTTCAGGTAATTTTACATTTGTCTTGCCTCCTGCTATTTCATTATTCGCCACTTGATGGATTGCAGGTGATCAAAACATCAGTCGTTTATTTGAATTTACTCAGGACGATAGAGAGTTGATCTCTAGAAAACTGATCTTCGATCAATCGATCCCGAATTCCAGCCGAACTTATCCAATTATACGTGACTGATCATAGTTGATATACTTTTGACAAACATTTTGTTTATCATTCCGAAATTTGGTCTATCATTTACTAAAACAATAAATCTCCCCAGCCTCGAAATAAAAATTGTGATCATCTACTTATTTAACATTTTGATAAAGCTCTCTAGGTGCTGCAATGCAATAATACATCCAATAAATTACTCATTTCGCCAACTGAATAATTTTACATATAAATTTCCTGGCCATTTAACATTGTAGTGTATGTGATGCGTTCTCAGCACAGACTGTCTCCCAATTTGAAGTGAAAATCGAATGAAAATGTAATAAAAAAACTCAACTTCGTAATTACCGTTACGCTTGACGATTAGAAAACGTCAAGAAGAATTTTATCAGATATTCTTCACGTAGAAAATTTGCGTGGGGCACTAGCACGACGAAAATTCTTGGAGCTGTATCCAAAAAATTTTAAACAATAATACTGAACAGTGCAGTTGAAAGAAAGTAGATTAACGTCAAGTTATTGCAAGTCTCTTTCGATCACTGGCTCTAGCCGAACTCTCCGCAAAAATTGAAATCACCCAATGAAAAGGGCGCAAGCGCCTGTTTCACCTCTCTCCATCCATCAGAGCTATTGATAATCGCCAGTAGCTCAACAATCGTTTTACCGTGCATATCGGCAATGCAATACCCGAGAATCACTCGTAACGAATCAAAAGCGATTGAACTCACCCGCTGGCTCCTGACGCCCCTCGGTGTCTGGGCCTTCATAAAAACATCTCCATCCCCCAAAGAAATAATTTCGGCAATTTTCCAACAATTTATCTGTTACAGTATCATCCTATTCGCCCTGGTCCCATCGATATTCCACATTTTATTTCGTGAGAAAAATTTGAGTGCTAAAATCGCACTCTGCGGACCCGTTGGATTCTTCATGATGAACTTATTGAAGTATTCCGCTATAATTCATCACCGTAGAAATATAAAAATGTGCATCGAGCACGTAAAGACCGACTGGCTGAGGATTGACAACGATCTGGAGATCGATATCATGAGAAAAAATGTTCTGATCGGTAGGAAATTGACGATAGTGTGCGCCTCATTCATCTACACTGGAGGTATGTCTTATCATACGGTGATGCCGTTCCTCATGGGAAGTCCTGCATCAAGTGTTCATTTCGACGAGCCTCGACCCATGGTTTTTCCTGGCTACGACGTTATTTTTGATCCGTACATAACACCCGTTTATGAAATTGTTTATTGCTCTCATTGTTTAGCTGCTCTTATTATTTACACTATCACCACAGTATCTTGTAATCTTGCTGCGAATTTTGTGATGCACGCTAGTGGTCAGATTCAGATAATTATCGGTAAGCTGAATGGATTGGTTGGTGATGAGTACAAATCGGATGATAAATGTCTTGGAGAAAAAATAGGGGACATTGTTCGTGATCACGGGAGGGTTCTCAGGTGAATCAATCCCAAGATCTCAAAATTATCCCATTATGAATAAAGAAAGAAATTATAAATAATTAATAAACTCGGCGCATAGCAATGAGGAGTTTTTTTTTCAGATTTACAATAAAAATCGAGAGAGTTCTCCGCGAAATTTGCCTCGTCGAGGTGTTTGCATCAGCGATAATCATTTGTCTCCTAGAATATTACTGCCTCACGGTAGAAGAATGTATAATCTAAGGAGCAAATAACAGATAATCAGTACTTGAAAATTAATTTGCATTGCAGACGTGGAATGAGAGTGAAACGATTGGAATTATCACTTATTTTCTTCTCTTGATGTCTCTGTGCTTTAATATATTTATTTTTTGTTATATAGGAGAAGTTTTGAAGAAACAGGTATGACTATTGCATCCTTCAGGCAGGGGTACTCAATAAAATTGTGAGAATGTGTTGTTACAGTGCTACGAACCTGGGCATACGGCTTATATGATTGACTGGCATCGGCTTCCACCGAATAAAGTGTCTGCATTGATTTTGATCATCGCGAATGCACAAGTCCCGAGAAAAATTACAGCTGGAGGAATGCTTGATCTTTCTCTCAGCAATTTTCTTACTGTATTCTTCAGTCAAACACTTACGTGATAATCCTAAATAATACATGTCTAAAATTTCATGATGTCCATTTTACAGGTAATGAAGACATCATTGGTCTATCTGAATTTGTTGAGAACCGCCGAAACTTCATGATATGATTTCAACCGAACAAATGTCAATATCACTAACAAATTATCTATTTCGAACGTAAAACCGTTACGAAAGAGGCGTATAATTTTTATTGCATTTTTCTCTCCGTGTAGCAAATAAATTTTCGATAAAAAAAGTGTCGTGACATTTCCCTCCAAAATCAATACCTTCGGAAATTAATCGATACCCAACAAAACTTTAACACTCAACTCATCTCACTTAACAACTTCGCTATTGAATTATTCCCGCATTAAATATTAAATTATCCCAATGAAAGGATTGCGTGTTCATCCAGAAGTTTGCCGACCCCCCAAAATTCGGCAAGAGAAAAGAAAAGTGTTAAAATAATCAAGAAACAATTGATTCCAACCATAAAACGATAAATTCATAAAATTCACTCAATCATCACAACTTACCCCCGTGTACTTAGCCGAAAGGATGCAATTATTAGGGAAACTATCTTATGTATTCGATTGTACATCGCTAGTACATGATTGTACTAATTTTTTTCTTGTTTGTACATTCACTTATTAATTATAAATAATCAATTCATTTTTACCATGTTGCTGGCTGGAATAAAATGAAAAATTTCTCAATGGATTGAATAAATAGGCAATTCGATAGAAAATTGTTTGTACATCATGAATTATATATATTCTTTGTTTGTACATTCCTGATTAATTGATTAAGGTGGTTGTCGCGCGACAGTCTCTGTAAAAAGTTTATCCGCTGTAAAACGGGCCAGTTTAGAACACAATCTTTTAGCGGTATATAGTCTCACTTGATTGATTGCATTGTGCATGGATAGCTAAAGCATAACTATATATTTTCCATATTAACTATTTTCAATTATATAAATTTATGAATTTCCGATAATTATATTCCGTAAACCAAACGGTCAATCGATTTGATTTTTTTTTCTGTATTTCCTCCCACGATGTATATTCCACGTTTTATTTTATTTCTGAAACTGTCGAGCCGTTGATTTTTAAAAAATTCTAATCGGCAAAACTCCATTTAAACACGTGTTAAATCACTCGAATTTCAAAAATTTATATCTCAAGCTCAAAACGGTCAATTGCAAACGGAAAAGGCTCATTTTGTTGCTAATTTTTCAAACTATTCACCATAAAATTGTGAACGAAAACTGTGGAAAAAAAATTCTACGCGACAACAACCTTAAATAACAAATTAATAATTCTCATTCGCCCTCCACCCCACGCGAAACTGCTATGGGGTCTGCGTTGTTTGCGTTTATATATTATGTATACTAAAAAGCATAAAATTGAACATCACGAAATCTGGCAAACCATCAATTGACTCAATTAAACATGATTCAAACATGATAATAAATATCATCATATTGAGGACATTGGAAATTTGGACCGAGGTTTTTCACAGCTTAAAGGAAGTTATGATGAGGAATAGTCAATAACATTGTATAGTTTTCAATTCAATGTTATTTATAACATTGCAATGTTACTGACTATTGACTATTATGACCTCATCATTTCCAATGTCCTCAATATGAAGATATTTATTATAATGTTTGAAACATCTTTAATTGAAACAATTGATGGTCTTGGTGTTCAATTTTATGTTTGTTATGGAGGTAGAAAGTAACAAAATGAAGTATATATATAACCACACACAACACAGGAACTGTCCTGTGGGGCGGTGGGCGAATGAGGATTATTCAATTGTGATTTAATCAATTAACAAGGAATGTACAAATAAAGAAAATATGTAATTTATGATGTACAAATAATTTCCGACCGATTTGACTATTTAACCCATTGAGCAATTTTTCATTTTATTCCGGCCAGCATCATGGCAGAAATGGAATAATTATTTATAATTAATGAGTGAATGTACAAACAAAAAAAATCTAGTACAATCATGTACTATCGATGTACAATCGAATACATAAGATAGTTTTCCTAATTATTGTACCCTTTCTGCTAAGTACACGGGAGTTCACAACTTCTGCCCATGAAGGACTCCCCAAAAAACACTACCTACACTATCTACAATATTTATAGGAGACAGTAAAGCCACAATTACCCAACAAACTGAGTGTAAAACAAGCAGTTTGCCATTCCTAGCCGTAGAAGACACATGATTGTTACTTCACATGCTATTTATTTATTTTGCTTCCGAATGGAAGCATTGCAATCGTCCGATCCCGACCGGAAAAAAAAATTCTAATTTTTTTAAATTTTATTTTGCCATCAATTTCATTGATGGTTGGCTTCCGAATGGAGTACCTGTAATCTCTCAAATTTTCATATTTTTGGAATTAAGCCTATCTTCAATATGAAACATTATGGTCATAACAGAAAACTTTGTGCCAAATTTCAAGTTGATAGATTGATTTCTAAAAATCGGAGAGGGTGTACGTCGCATTTTTTTTTAAACATGAAAATTGACATATCTTCAGATTTTTTTTCGAACGCGTGAAACTCTTTGGTTCATAGAATTAGGGCATAATGTATCGACTATTTTGCAAAAAAGAAAAATAAAATCAGCTGTGTCGTTTTTGAGATATTTGAGAAAATCGCTTCAGATACAAAGTTGAATATCTCCTGAACGAATCATCCGATTTAGCCCATCTGCAATCCCAACCATCGCAGTTATAAGAGGAATCTTTTTGCCAAATTTCAAGTTTGATAGATTGATTTTTAAAAATGAGAGAGGGTGTAGTTCGCATTTTTTTGAAAAAAATGAAAATTGAAATATCTCGAAAACTTTGCAGGAACATATATGTATATTCTGACTGATCCATATAGAACACATTGAGACGAACATTTCAAAAGAATGAAAAATGTAAACGGTTGGATAGTTTCTGAGATATTTCCAAAAAACTTTT